CGCACGTAGCACGTCCATACAATGTTTTATTTTAATGAAGCTTAGAACAACAAAGTATTATTTCAATAATATTCGTTTTTATTAAGAACATTAATTCTGATGGAGTCTGTTCATGGTTAACACTCAGTCTGGTAAACGCAAGTTCACGCACACTGGCGCCGATCGCACCTTGGCACCGCATTATGCAGAACTCGATATTCAAGAATGAAAATGGTGTGATAATTTATGTTTTCTTTTTTCCCCTTTTTTACTTTTTTTCTACATTAATCATGATAAACTTCTATGTAAGGCAATCTATATGGAAGAAGGAATTGAGGTATTTGTTATGCTTCCATTTTGGTCTATCGGGTTTAATTTAAAACACATGTGAGCCAACCATCTTTTTTCTATCATCACGACATGTCATGTAGCAAACATACAACATTTTATTCTTGATCCATTGACCTCCTAGCTTTGATTTGGTAGACTACTCTCCTCTCTTTGTTTTGAAAGAAAGAAACAGCAAATATGACGGCAAACATTGAGATAAAGCTAATTTATATCAAAGATAAATTCATACAACTACGAATGTTATAGTTCACAAGAAAAAAATAATTTTCATTGTTAAATTGTACATAAGCCGGTGCTAGGGTACCTTAACGATAGCTTCAGTTCATGTTAAATGTTGAATTCTGCTTAAGCTGGCACTACTTGCACTTTTCAATACCGTCAATCAAACCTAGCCTGCAACGTTTTCAATTTTGTCGTTATGGGATCGAGTTCTTTAGGAATTCCGTTTTTCTCACTTCTATTACATTTACCACTGCCTTCTTTAAACAGGCTCAAATAAACCGAGCCTTTATTTTTAATTTTGCCGTGTTGGCTCATCCTTTCCATCTTTTATCTATTTAATTGGCTATTTGAAAAGAAAATGTCATTATTACAACAAAATGATGCCCACAGGAAATATTAAGCTGTAAGTTTTCATTTTTAGTATAGAGTATAATCTTGACTAATATTATAACATTAACTCTGCTGGAATAAGTTACACAAAAACTCCTGTAATGATATACATCTTAAAAGTGTGTGGGCGTATTCTGTTTATTTACTTGTTGACAATACCACATTGTCGTCTGCAGCCGAAGTGGGGTGAGAGGGGAGTTAAAAGTTTTCGATATCATCAAGCAAAAAATAAGATAATTGTCCTTCTCAATGCAGAATATAACTTTATGTCCAGGATAGACAATCGACGTCATCATATCTAAAATAGACCGGTATCTGTTATTTCCCATCTTGATTATTTAATAATTCAGACATAAATGTCATGGTTATGTCTTTAAGGTATCGTCATGGGGAAACCAGCTGATAAAATTAGCTGTTCTTTCTCTATTTTAAAGATAATGATTTTCTTGTTTTGCAGTGTATATACACTTAACGCCCAAAAGGATTCCTAAAATAGGTCTTATAAATAGATCAAATTTATTTTGATGGTTATTCACAACATTGCTTAACTCAGATATTTGTTTTACTTGGGTACCATACGTCTCTTCTCATGGAATGACAACAACGTGTCACATTAAAGGGTCCATGATAACCACCATATAAAGACCTCTGCGGATGATGTTTCAAAATTTCAAATTTTACTATTTCATGTTAAATGTTGAATACTATATTAGCCGGTGTCGGGGGGGGGGGGGGCGTGGACGATTACTTGCACTTTCCGTTACCGTCCACGAACAGGCTCAATCAAACCGAACCTGCAACAGCTCAATGTTGCCGTTTAGAAATTCTTTATGTCTCTCTATTTTGTGACCGTGAACAGAAGTCACACATTGATTCAGATAGAAAATATTAACGCTTACACATGTTGAATATGTATTTTGCGACCAGTACAGACTAACATCAGCAAGCATATTCGTGCCGTCAGATTCAATCAGAACTTACTTTGAAAATTTCCCCTAAATTGATGAATGCTTTCATCTGAACTGGAAGATGGACATGTCCATTTAAGATATTTAGGGTGGTTAGGGCACAGATAAATAGCATAATACACATGTTGCAAAGTCTTTTGCAATAAAACTAGTTTTGAAATATTTTATAACAACACGATTTTATGATATAATATTGCAATTTCGTTACAACTTGTTTTGCAATAGAATTTTTAAGTCATTTTCAAAAACTTTTTTTCAAATAAAGTATTTAGAAATTGTATTGAAAATTATATCAATTTTGCTTAGGCTAAGTAAATAAATTAATGACTGCGTTTTTGAGTCAACTATTTTCATGTTAAACTGACAATATGTGACTGGAATCATGTTGAATTGGTGTTACAGGAACATTATGCTCCAGAAATGCATTTATTTTTTCTTTCAAAAGCTTTTTATAGTTTTTTTTTTTTTAAATATTATTCATTGGCCAATTACCTTAACCATTTTTCTTCTTCTATTATTAGACAGTTAGTACAGATATAATGATATAGTATTATGTATTGAAGTCAAAATACTACTTTGTTAACATTTTGCTACTTTTATGACAAATTATTTCACATTTAGCGCTACTTTCTTCAGACAACAAGGATGTTACATGATCTAAAACAAGTACTTCTATTTAAAGATTATTAGATTCATGTTTGCCATTTCTAAAGAAGTCAGATTTTATTCGTTTCTGAGGCATAACAGGCCTGTTAATGTTTAATGTTTAAATGTTGAATTCTGCTTAAACCGGTGCTAGGGGGCGTGGGCGGTAGTTTGCAATTTACAGTGCCGTCCATGAACAGCCTCAATCAAACCAAGCCTGCATCATTTTCAATTTTGTCGTTTTGGGCTTTCTTAAGGGATTCTTATTTTCTCTACTTTAAGTGTAATATTAGTTTTTTTATACTTAAGCTTATACTTAGTACGTTCTGGAAAGGGGCGATATCCCAAAGTAGCAACGAAAACAACAAAATTACATGAAGATACAGACACGGTTTGATAAAGTCATTTTGTTAGAGACCCTGAACATTACACCATCTTCCACACGTACCCTAGCACCGACTGAAGCAGTATTCAACCTTCAACCATTAATGTGTTGCAATCAGTAATCCCCGAAGGACGAGCAATATATAAGAACTCGGAGATAAAGAACGTAAAGATTTTTTAAAGTCTTGTTTATAAATACGTTTGTTTTGGGATTGTTTACAGCAATATTGTTTGCTATCGTATGCTGTCTTATGTCTGGGTCATCGAACGGGTTACAAATGGTGTTGCAGACGATGTTATTTTAACACTACCACAAATTGATGAGAGTAAGAATCCCAATATTGATTGAATTAAGGCGGCAGTCGACAAATATAACACAAGGGTATTACACAATAAATGTATTTGTTTCAAATAATAGAACAACAACAACAGTAGCAGCGGCAGCATACGAGTTTTTCTTATTCAAAGGTATAATAAATGTGTACAGGAAATTACAAGAGACAAGAAATGTAATATAAGGATATTACACAATTATTTTCAAAGAATAGAGCCAGGGCAGAATAAGATATTTCTTTATTCTGTGGTGTTAGATGTTTTATATTTTGTTTTTATTTAAGCCAGATAAAAGTCAACAATTTACCACGGTTTAATATCACAATACAATAAATTGAAATAAACGACAGTGCGTAAGAAAACTAATTTAACCTTAAATTAAATTTGTTATAGATTAACTGGTTTTTTCAAGGAACTAAAATAATTTTTATAATAATTATCTACTATTGCATTTTCACAGTAAATTTAACATTGAGCCATACCCCTACCACTGACATTCAAGTCCAAAAGGATAAAACAGAGAAAAAGTTAATCCCTAAAGAACGCCCAAAACGACAAAAAATTGAAGATGGTGCAGGCTCGGTTTGATGAGCCTGTTTATGAACGGTACTGAGAAGTGCAAGTTACCGTCCACACCCCTAGCACCGGCTGACGCAGAACAAACATCAATGAACATATATTTGAATCGTATCTTGAAATTATTGAGCTGAGTGAAAATTGTCTCCTTGTTCTCAATACATTCTCTAAAAATCAGACAGAGAAATTAAAAAAAAATCAAAAACATATACTTATAGCGTCCAATGTCTGCCTCGCTCACTTGCTTTTTAGATCTATATGTCTTCGCAAAACTGTTAATTTTCTCGTGATTGAATTCGCAGACGATTGATTTATGCTTGATTGACTTCCAGAATACAGTTAAAACAGAGGCGTAATCCTCGGGGAATTTCTTTGTTGTCAATTACCAACTCTTCTCACGTTCCAGCTTTCTTTACTGAAACATCTCTTAACTATTCTTGCCACACATGAAGATCTCTTTTACAGTCCATCAGGCGCCGATTATTGTCACTTATTTTCATTGTTAACATCTGAACCAACAGTTTACAACTCTTGTCAATTATGTACTTCACTTACTTTTTATCCATCACATTTTTGTTTCAATCTTTGTATCTTATGACCAGTTCCCAAGGCTACGGTAAGAATGAACTTTTGTCACTTCGGTATTATCAGATATATTGTCATCTCACTATAAATTTTAAATTCATTTGAATTCATTCATCATGTTATGTAAGAATATCGTTCACATCTTTGCTTGATAAACATCGTTGCTAAAGGACAGTTCAATATGATGTTATAATGCAAAGCTCTCTCCAGATTACGCTATTATATATCTTAAATTTTCAATCTGAACAAAACTATTCACTAGTTTAAGGAAAACTTCACAGTATATAATGACCGAATAGCAAATAAAACAAATCATGATTAGATGGCACGAATGTGCCAGCTGATCTTGGTCTGCACTGGTTACATGGGAAGAATTCGGCCAGTTAGGTTGGACATATTGTTTTGTCAACATTGATAGTAGTACATGTAGTAGAGGCGTCTCAACGCCTCTACTGTACTCTTATTAACGACGGCCTTTATCTACGAATTTTTATAATATAAAAAAAGTTATTTTTGCTAAAGTTATTCTATAATTTGATTGAAATTTGATTTTTAAATTCGTTTCAGAGCGGCAAAGATGGGTAGCACGATGGGAGATGAGGACGATAATGAGTTCACACCATTTCAACCTTTCACCCGCGATTCTCTTTTCCTTATTGAAAGGAGAATCGCTGAGGAAAAAACTAAGGTAAGAAAGTGACGTGATTCCTTTTTACGACGTCATCTTATGATGCATGAAAAGTAGGTCAGATTTTGAACAATGTTAAAGAATGAGATCAACGTTTGATTTTTTTCTGTAGAATATGTTGATAAGTTTTAGATGTAGGTTTATATTTAAGTAAGTTCTGTTCTTTTGGATTGCAAATTCTATACAGAGTAATTGCTTACATTCCTCGGATGTCATAGAGTTGATTTGATCTTGCAAGATTCTAAACTGTCATTTTTTTTATAATTGTGCTTACGTTTTCCGTGAAATATTAGGTAAAGGAATACAGAAACTCTGTCAAACTATAAAGAGAGCATATTCTCAAGATATATAAACATTTATTTCCCAAAATAAAGTATATTTAAAGCCAGATAATATCGGTTAATTACCATAATGAATGGTCACTAAGCACTTTTAACGTGTATTCATGAACTGATTTAATAGTTTTTTGAAGAAGAGAAAATATGGGTTATTTTATCATTTTGAATTGTGCACGGTTCTGTTGTAGGAGGAAGAGTTAACCAAATTGGTAAGATTGGTCGTCTGTCTTGACCTTTGACCTTTCAAGGTCAGACTGACTACGTCATGAATATGTAAATGAAGAATCTAGTTTTAACCTTATATATGATTGCTCCCTTAAACACTTTATCAGTTTCGTAAAAGTCCGAGGAAATCACCGAATTATTGCGCCAGACAAATTTGTAACTCAAAAGTTTGTCACTTTTGAAAATGATTGAGTTATTCGATGTTCGTAATTAGGTTAACGTTTCTGTAATGGCAAATGATTATTTACAGCAATATTAATTGATTTAATTGTGACAAATGAATGTTTCAAACCATTTCATCTCTAAAATATTAACTGATAATTGTAATGTTTTCAACATAGATATTATCTTAAGAGAAATTATTTTTAATATCACAAAGTTTGCTAAAATTAGCCAGTTGATATCAAAAGAAACTTTAATTACTTACTTGTATATATTAATTAATATGTTATTAAAAATGTCATTGCTATTTAATGCCTGATAAATTCAAAGTTTAAGTTTAGCGTTTTGTATGATAACAAAACAGAAAAATAGTTTAATAATAGATTGTTTAAACAATATATATGTTTGTTACAAACAAGAAGTGAGAAACAGTTGTATATTAAGTAATAAATGGATTATTCTCTTGTGACAAAAACATGTACCATAGTGTACATGTAAACTGGCGTTTGAAAAAAAAGATTGTTCCGCAATTTTTTATGGAGCAATGCAAAAGAATGTTCTGGAAACAGATATGCCATAAACAAAAACAATTATTATTTCAAAATTGCATTAAGATAATCAATTGCCAATACGTATTTTCTACTTTGAATTATTCAAAATTATGTTAAAATCGGATTTCCTCGGACTTTTTCATGAGCTATAATATTGTAATATTGTCCTTTGACAACTTTATTAAGGGGAATGCAAGTATTCACAAAACATTAAAATTATTTGAATGCTCTTAATATTAAATTTCATTTTTTTTTGGTTTATACAAACGGTGTCAGTGTGCCTTTTTATCTTATGTTTTTATAGTTTGGTTTTTCATTGCCTTTAATGTATTTCAATAAGAGTCACGTTTTGTTTTGTGAATACATTTTTTCTGTGATGATGCGTTATACGGCACCTACCGACTGTCACAATATTAAGTTTTTTTATGTTCTAACATTCTGTGTATTAAAATAAATGTTTCTTGTTATAAAAATGAATATGAATAAATATGTTGCCCGCATTGATTTTATCTCCGTATATGTTAATACATTGTTATAAATATAATAATCAAATAAAAGTCCTATTCTTTTTTACAGAAACGAACTTCTTAGTTCATGAATTTAGTAAAATATTTGATTTTGTGATATTTGTTTATGATATTACTATAAGACGAAGGTTTTTTGTAATATATTCACTCAAAAGTAAAATAATAATTAGGACAAAAAATATACTTCTTATTGTAAAATATAGGCAATAATCAATGTGTGCAAAATTGTATTGGTTATGTCGTTTTAAGAATACTTGTTAGAAATTATTATTATTATCAGAACTATGTTTCAACGTTTCAATAATTTAGGTATGTAAAGTAAAATTTGTAGATATGAAATGATTTGTGACTGTTTTTTTTTTTTAGCTTTGGCATCAATGTCTACAAACCAATCTCGCATTGAAGGCCATTTATGCCCCTGAAATCAAATCATTTAGATCTATTTCTCAAAAATATGTTCATATTTATTTTTGATGTGTCTTGTTATAGCTTCCAAAAAGCATATTTTGTTTTTCATTGATTTTTGGAACGTAGTACATGTATATAATATCGTGATTTAGTATGTTATATTGAATCAAAATACTACTTTGTCTACATATTTTTCTTTTATTACAAATAATTTTATATTCAGCGCTACCTTCTTTATGTGATAAGTTTCGTTATAAAATTCAGACGTGCCCTTTCTTAAGAAGGGACAATTAATTCCTGTCTGATATATAATATGCCTTTAGAACAATTTTCTGATTATTATCAAATCCCATTTGATATTTGCAAATTTTGATAACAAATACATTTTAAACAAATTTAAAAAATCTCTTACCAAGTAACAAGTTTAGAAACCGTCCATATTTGGGAAGATACTAAAAATAGCTTTTTTTTCCTGAAGTTGCTTTTATTGCTATATAAATAACGTTAGAACTAAGAAGTTCATTTCTGGAAAACTGCAAATAAGGATCCCTATTTTGATGTGGTATTATATAATACTCTTTTATGTTATTCATATATTGGTTTATATGGTATATTTGGACATACTTATGCTGGGATATCTAACATTGGTACTAAATACATTAAAACATATATTATACTAATCATACTATTTATACTCATATATACAGAAATTGTGTTTCGTGATTTAGAGATTAAGTACATGTAGCACAAAGAACATGTATGCGCGCCGCCTTTTTTCAAATTGTAACGTCACATTGGAAAACACCATTTCACATTATATAATTAATAAAAAATAATTGAACTTGAGCATGTGAAAGCAACTTCGGATTGATTTCGGTATTATCCGAAATTAGCCGAAAACAACGGTTAGTAATCGCATTCAACATCGTGCGAATTCTATGAGTACACAGAATATGGCCAAAAGTATAAAGGTTTGGTCTAATTTTCAAGTTTTTCATGTTAACGAATGTGGCAGAAACAAATGTTACAAAGAAAATATCAAATTATGTTTAAATATTACATTTTTATGTTATATTTTATACAAATATCAGTTGGCATTTTTATCAAAGTTCCCGTATTTCAAAGTAGTATAGGACTCCATTTAATGTACTTCAATATGACCTTCTTTTATAATGACACTATTATAAACAAAATCATATGTACTGAAAATCGGTACTTGTTTATTGTACTTAAAACATAAATCACCCTGTTGAAAATGTGTAAATCATTAAGTCACTTTATCACTTTTTTTAGAATTATAAACATACTGTAGAATTCGACAATTATAAATAAACGCATATTCGAGTATACGCGCACATAAAACAATCCGCTTTACCGTAATTCTATATGGCAAGGAGCATGATACCTTCTTGTCCGAAAATAGGCTTACATCCGAGTATCCGTAAAGATCAAAAACGTGTAATCAATCAACCCTAACTCTGCTGTAATTGAATGTGCTTAGCCTGTTCTGCAAGCATAGAGTCAGGCTAGTGCAAATCAGTGTTGTCTGACTAGGATCTTTACTGTTTTAAGCTCTTTCTTTGTATTTTAATATGGAAACCATTTTACTTAGGATAGACTTTTTCAAATTCAAAGCAAGGCAAATCCATTACAGAAGTTTAACAGGTTAATTGTTGATTAATACAGAATTTCCTTTAGTTTAATTGTGTAGGAAGCTATAAGCTTACAGACACACTTTTGAATCCGTTCCTGGAACCAAACAGTACTGATCAACGAGAGTAAAGTTTTTTGCTCAAGGAAACAACGACTCCCACCCCCCACCATGACGGGGTTTGAACCCATGTGGCGAGCAATCATTAGATTACTAGTACAACGCGGTAACCTCATGCAGCCAACAGGTCGTTAGTAATCTGTACTCAAATAGCATTCATATTATATTTGTCTGAGATTTATTCATCATTGCATTACGTTTTATCCCTTATTGCATTTTTATAACGCTTCCCGAAACGTGTAAATGTTTGTTATATATGTGAAAAGACATTACGATTGCTACTTTCTTCGGATATTTTATTAATTGAAACATTAATCTTCTGATCACGGTGGTAAGACGGGCATCCTGAACTCTCTTATTCATTCATTGATTGATTGATGATGAAGAAAGGCGAGCTATGTATAGGGCAACAAGCAACAAGCATCGTTAATCTGATAAATTTGTCAAACCAAGCTCTTGTTTAACAATATCTTTCCAATTAAATGAATTTATATACCTTATTCCGATTTGTGATCGTTATGCAAAGAACGTATACATGAATTCAACTGGCAGTGCTCGATTTGTTACATGAAATTGACATTAGCGATGCTCCAACACTATTCATGTAATATGCACGCGGCAAAGGCCAAATCGATCAAATAAATATTCAGATCGTATGCATACGGAGTGCATTGAACAGACACAATTAGATTGTACATTAAAATATGCAGTCAGTATAAATGAAACGGCTGATAATTTCGATATACATTTTAGAGACATATTTTCAGAAACAAGAACTTAACTTTACAATTTTCATATTGACCTAGCCTTTTACCCTACTGAATTTCATAAATGGACGTGCCCTTTTTTGTTAATTTAGAACTGATCTGTCTATTGTCAAATTTAGGGATGTCAAGAAGAAAAATTAAAGTTACAAGAGGTGTAGTTTTAGTCGCTTTTATACCAAAATTGAATGAACAGGATCGGGTCAAATATAAACTGTTGTTTTGTCATTGAACTGAAAAAAATCCAGAGAATGAACTAACTTTTCCATTGTTATTGGTACTATAAAGTCAAAGTGAACTTTACTACAAAACATCTAACATGACCGTTGGAAATTGGCCAATGATGGCAGTATATGTAAAACCATAGCCAAGTAGCACAATAAATCACCTATTGATTTCTAATAATTAAGTTCGTTATTGATTAGGAAACCTCATAAGTTGTCGCATTTAAGGTATTCAATCAATATGACAAAGTTGCTGCAACTTTCTATGTTTATCTTTTGAGAATTTATTTTTATTGAATACTGTTATAGGAAGATCCTGTCTCTCCGTGGTACCAACATTTAAGTGCATGTTTATAAAGCAAATTTACCCCTAAAACGCCTGTGATTATTAAAAGTCGGATATTATTTCAAAACTACACTTCAAAGTCTTTAATTACACGGTAACATATAATCACCTTCTTGCTTGGCTTTTTTATTACATAAAAGCATGTGAAACTGTTTTTAAAAGCACACATACGCACACACATACATGTAATATAGCCAATGTTGAAATGAAATATTGGCTACAATATTGTCTATAACATCGTTTCTTGCATACAATTTTTATTGACCTTGTTCATCAGATAAGACCTTAAAACCATCTCGAGACTCCATTTGAAATGCGGCGTAATTGATTCATATGTAAACGAAAAGATATTAATTACTTTTGTTGATGTGGTATCAATGATAAGCCTTTGCAAGTATATTTACATAATAACTATACCTTTAAACCGGTAAGCATGGTATATACTTGGATATAATATTTTATTTTGAAGTCTTCCAGTAACCAAGTTAATTAAAAAGCAAATTTATATATATTATACTACTTGGGTATAATGTTCATTTTTAAGTCTGACACTAACCCAGCTGATATATACATGTATATATATTATACTATACTACTAAAATATTGATTTACTTTGAAATCGATGAGTAATCTAATTGAGTAAATTTTCCTATATAAGCCATACATAAAGAACGATAAAGTAAGCGTCATGTACATATAGATATATTTCTAGTTAATACCGTTAAACGCATTATATACTCGTTTTGACGATTCTATAATTAACTCTGTTTCTACTACACACCTGGTACCAATGAAAAAGAAAATAACAGAGAGTTAAAGAACTGAACACACATGAACGTAACAAAATAGAATTCATGTTTCTTCCTTTTTTAGGACAATGTTGTATACAACTACCAGTCATGTTGGTGCATAAATTAATCTTATATTTGTTTCTATTATAAATGCTATTTAAAACTTGTAAATACGTTAGGACTTCAACGGAAACGGAAGATAAATGTTCAAATATCAGCGAAAGGACAAATAACATGTTCCTTCTACAAATACGCTTTGCGTAACGTTGGTAAAGCAACCGGTGTTTGTATATGGGAGGCCCTATTTTTGTGTTTCGTAAAGTTTTAGGAAACAAATCCGCAAAAAATTCAGTTTAAATTTAGAACCAATAACTTAATGTTCAGGTACATTGTTAGAAATAACACTTTTTATTGAATGGACTGCATTTTTAATTCATACCCAACCGGCCTTTTATTATTGCCTAACACGTATTTATTTGACATTTTATGAAGGCCGCGGAAGATGCAAATCACGACTCCGATGATGACGATGAACCAGCTCATGCAGAAGAACCATTAAAACCCAACTGTAAACTTGAAGCCGGAAAAAAGATACCTCCCACATTAGAAGATTATTTTCTACCAGAGCATATCGGCAAACCTTTGGAAGATATAGATGAATACTACCTAAACAAAAAGGTAAACTTATAACCCGCAGAATTAACTGCTTTCTAAAAACACACCACTTCATAAAATAAATGTTAAATTTTAGTATTAGCTGGTGCTAGAGAGCGTCCATAATGGCTTGACTTTACTACTGTCGTGTATTGACAGGCCAAACTAAATCGAAATTGTAAGTTATAATTGTGATTGCTATTTTTAGATTATAAAATGACTGGAAAATATTATATTACAGATAATCTTTACTGTTTTTCGTACTTTTTTTAAACTATGACAGTAGTGTTTGTAATGATTAAGAAAGGGATGACTTAGTCTTTGTCGAAATATTTTATCTACATGTAAAACTTGAAAACTCATTATTACACAAGATACATGCGTATAACATGTAGTTCATTTTTTGTATTAAAAATAATAGATCTTTAATTATTTTTTATTGATAAACTACAAATATTTTTTTAATAATACCTTTATTTATCTTACAGTCATTCTGCGTAATAGGAAAAGACAAGACAATTTTTAGATTCAGCGCCACAGATGGGTTCTTTTTACTCAGTCCATTCAACCCCCTTCGTAGATTCGCACTTTATATTCTCGTTCATCCATATCCTTTACTTACATATCACCCATTCAATACCATAGAAATAATCAATTAAATATAATCAAGAAATAAACATTTCAATATAATCAAGAATTAGTAAGCTTAAAGTTTCTTATGTCTGAACTAGATTTAGATTTATTTTTTAAATTCATTTGTAGTTCCGTAAGTTCGCATCTAGTTTTTATAATGTTTTTCATTGGTACATAATCCATGAAATAAAGAATACTGAAAGGTAATTGAGTTTTATTTTGTGTTAAAAACTATTTTTAAGACTAATTACAGTAAATTTAAAATCCTGTTTAAAAGCGAAAATAGTTCCTTTGATTCATTCGAATACATATGTTTCCTTAAATCCATGCACTCTGCTTCTTTATGTATATTGTTCGTTTTTTTTTGTATGAAATATCGGAACAAAGCCAATACAAGTTTTCTGTGACATTCATATTGAAGATAATGAGGAATGTGTATATTGTATGCATAGCTATCTGTCAAATACACTTCTTTTCATATTTGTTTATGTTTGCAAGGTGTTATTGAACCGTTCAATCTAGCCATCTGTTAAGGGTAAATGCTATCAGTGATGCTTTTGTATAAATAGAGTGCTACATTCTCGCAGAATGTTTTGTATGTTATTGTATGTGAATAATGTCGCTTGAGTTAAATGTGCATTTTTAAATTCAAAAAGTTTAATGGACGTTTTCTCGCTCACTCAACTCTTCATTTACTCTTTCTAGATTCCGAACAGTATCATACATGTAATATTCTTACATTTGAAACTGTCATTGCTTTTGTGTAGAAAATTCAGTGTGCCATGTAAGCGAAAAATAAAGATGTGACTTGTAAAAAGCTGTCGCCAATGAGTTATTCACGGTTAATTGTAAAGCTATCTTTTTGGCTTTCAGTTGCAGTAGTATTTTCTCAAGAAATTGTGCACAAAAAAGCATTTTTTTTCTATATCTTCAAGGATTGGTTTTAATATTAATCAAACTATTAAAGAAATATTTAAACTTTCCTTTTTCTTTGCACTAGATAGTTCCATACCTTGTTTGTATTTGTAATGTTTAATTCTCTGATTTGTTTTAAAATTAAAAAAAAACAAAAAAAAAACAAACAAACGCATATAGTTTAAAAAATAAGAATAATGTTTCAGAGTAAGTCATAAATTATAAAGAAAATGATATATTTTCAAATTATAACTATTCATTTTTAGTATAGTAAAATATGATTTTTTAAAATCTAAAATCTTTTCTTAAAAGTAGAACAGAAATTAAGTGTATTATTTTCAGGTTATGCTTAAGATACAAATTTTGATAACATATAATTTTAATTGAAACTTATATTTTTTTTATATTGTTGTATATGTCAACTTTTGAAAAATCGAGCGTTCTTCTTGACAATTTAAATAAAACATTGCCATATATCATTCTTATTTATGATCAATCTATTCGTCTGCATCTGTGATGCAAAAATCATTATCATAATTTTCATTCATTCACATATTAAAAACAATAGCATTGTTTCATTTGAAATTTAGAAAGAAAAAAACAGTCAGAAGAATGTGATTAAAGGTCATATGACTTTGACGTCATTTTTTTCTCTATGAGCATGTGACGTAATATTGTACCACTCAACGTTCCTTAACTTTTTCTTACTTTGTTCAGCCTGTTAGTTATACTGACTATCATTGTGAATTGTATATTTATGACGTTCACTGTTACACCAGGGGGAGATTATACGGAGTAAGTTCGAGAGCACAGTTACTTCCCTTTTCAACATTGCGCATGAGATGCACGTGCATGCATAATTAGTTGTCACGTGAATTTGTGTTATAGTTAATATATTATTCACCGTTATGCACGTTGTTATAATCATGTTTTTATTTTTGTTGTTTTGATAATATTTTTCAGAGTGTTATTGATTTATAAAGAGTATGAACGAACCATGCTCTTAGAAAAGCGGCTGAAGAAAGTTAAACAAAACTTTATATTTAGTATGAAGTAATCATAAGTTTACAGTTTTGACAGTTTTCAACCTATAAACGATTTAAAGCAATATAATTAAGAAAAAAAAAATCATTTGTATCTTTTACTTTTTGGTAAACAATGTTTTCGACACACATTTTCTTACTTTATATGAAATATAGAATGATGTGTGCTTTAACAAAAAGGCTTAAGATTGTTGAAATAAAATAATAATAAACTACCCTGTGTTATGACAGTTTCGTTTTTATAGTTACATTATTTGATTAATTTTTTTTTACCACAAAATGTTTATATTATACGTATATTTTTAGTAATGAAGATTCCAGTTGTTTTGTTGTTTATGATAATGATGCATGAGTTATATTTTCAGAAACCGTACATATTATTTAACACATATAGTTTTTATTTAAAATGATGGAAAATATGTAACATTCTGTTGAAACGTTTTTAGACATGAAACATTGGTGTAATTCATTAAAACTATTTTTTAAACTTAGTTTAAACAATATTGTAACAGTATCACATTAAACAAAAGACTGTTAAAGGAGTGAAAATGAAATAAAACAAAATTGTGAAAATATTTTCAATTTTCATGCTTTTTAACTGTGCTGTAGCCAAATGTATGGTGATCTAAGATGAGCTTATGCTTCTGTTTTTATTGGTATTCTTTAATCTTGTATTTTCTCAAATAATAATAATAATAATAATAATTATAACAATAATGATATTAATAATAGTAATAATACTAATGATAATAGTAATAATAATAATAATAATAATATTATTATTATTATTATCATTAATAATTTTAAGTTTTATTATTAAAATTCTTAAGTTTTCGTACTTTAAATATTCGTACATGGAATTCAATCATTCTTTCTTAATTTTTTAAATAATCATCACCATTTCTGTCTAAATTCAACGCTTTTCTATATATATATTAATCTATTACATGTAAACTATTGGGAAGAGGGAGATTTTTAAGGGCAAAGAATTTACACCATTGTTTCACATTTATGAAGATTCTGTTTATTTTCCATTGATTTTGTGATATGTTATATTTGTGCACCTATGATTTCCTTAACAAGTATTTCACATGGTTTAGTATTTTAGTTATGCTCACCATTCTAGCTAATTGCGTGTTCATGACAATTAACCACACAAAGGAAGTGTCCACTATGGCAGAGTAAGTCACGTGTTTTTATAAGGTCACGTGATATTTAATAATTTGCTTAGCGCTCTTTCTTGTTTTCTTTTCTTCTTTTCTTTCTTGTTTATTTGAATTATAACGACTACACTTTCTTCATGTCCATTTTCAGGATAATTCTGATTTAAACTTAGACAAAAGAAATATAGGCTGCACCCTTCCCAGAGTATTTTCTTTAAAAAAAAAGTCTTGATAATTTCTTCTTACACTTACGATAATTCTATTTATTTGATAAAAAGTGATACATGCATTGATTAAATTTTCGTCTTACCTAGATGTTTATTAACTCGTGGTTAGCGTAGATTAATCTTGTTCTCACATTTATCATTTACTTCTGCTCAGTCTTATATTTTATTATATTTACATACTTAATATGCATATTGAATAAAGGTTAATTGGTATCTATGTAATGTTTGCTCATACATGTATAATAAAAAGTTTTATTACTTATAAGTTTGTATCACAAATTTCTTACTGGCCGAGGTTACTGATAAGACCAACCATGATTTTATATCCAAATTTGTGTCACTCTGACCTTACCGAATGACCTGTCACCTACTGGCCACGGGAAATATCCCTACCAAGTTACATTCGTTGTCTTGTTATTTCTAAGTAAGTGAGTGGACACTAAGTTGAATTGCGAATTGAACCTATGTCTTAATGATTTTTGAAAATCAATAGGAGTCATGAGACATGGGCAATGTTCCTACTAAGTTAAACTTTCCTGGGCTTCTTTTTTCTACGTAATTGATTGGACAAAGATTTGACAATAAGTTTCACTGCGACCTGGACCTATGACCTAATGACTTCAAAATTAATAGGGGTTATTTACTGGCCATGGGCAATATCATCAAACTTAGGCTTATACCTTCTCGAGGTATTGATTGAACAAAGATTTGACACTAATATTCACTGTGACCTTGACTTATAATGAACCCAAATGTTCCTAGTAAGTTTATAAACTTAGGTTTATTCCTTCTCAAGGTATTGATTGGACAAAAATGTGTCACTTAGTTTTAATTGTGACCTGGACTTATGGCCTAAAGATTGAAATCATTTACTAGCCATAGGTCAATGTTCCTACTACGTTTTCAAAACCTTAGCCTTTGCTGAAGTTAATGATCGGATAAAGATATTATACAAAGTGACTATGTAACCTAAAATGTTTACCTAATAACCGCAAATTAAATTAGGCCTGTCTACTGGCCATAGATACCTCAACCAGTTTATAAGAAGCCGTATGGACAAGGATCACAGGACATTTGGATCGACAGACATACAGACGAGCAGGTGGACGGACCATTACATCACAGTTTTTTTCTCACTTTGTTGGTGAAGAGTATACACATTAAAGTTAAAAAAAAATGTTCTGATTAAAAGATATATTAATTATACCTTGTTCTTTTGCACAACTTTGTAATATACTTTTACAGGTACGTGTTCACCGCAATTTATACAGTAGAATCCTTAGTAAAAATGACAGCGAGAGGGTTTGTTTTGCAACCGTTTACATATCTCAGAGATCCATGGAATTGGCTGGATTTTGGTGTGATAGCCATAGCGTAAGTTGAGATATAAAAGTGATCTAAAAGTGAATTTTGATGACAATTTGTTACTTTAAATAAATATGTTCATATGTCAGGAATAAAACTGCGCTTATTGTATCTTGCAGAAAAAAAGCTATACCAGGTTGACAGAGCTATAAAAGTTTCTTTTTTTTTTGGTTCTTGATAAAAATTTCATATCGCATTAATAGAATACTGGTTACCTATATGGCAAAGCTTATAAAGCAATAATATATTGTCAGCCCTGAGAATGTATTGTTAATTTCAAGTGCATCAAAAATACGTTTATCAAAACATTGGGGAAAAAGGGTATTTGTCAGCCCTTATACTTTTGCACTTTAAGGTATATGGCAATGTTTATCGAACAGCTAGGTTACCTGCCAACTCTTGTATATTTTTGTATTTTTAGGTTCATTATATGACAATATTTATCATGACATTGGGAAAATTAAAAATATGAAATTTGTCAGTCCTAGTATATTCGTAGTTTATGTATATAACAATGTTAATATTGCAATAAGGGAATCCGCATATTAGAGTATTTGTCAGCCCTTTCATAATTGTGTCTAAGGTATATAGCAATATTTATCATGCCATCAAGGAAACCGGAATTAAAGGTATTTGTCATACCTAATATGGTGGTTTATTAGTCATATGCAATTGTTACTAAAACAACTTGGAAACCTGTCAGTTCTTGTAAATTTTCGTATTTCAGGCAATTAGAAACACCGTATATAAACAATGTCAGCCCTAATATCTGTATTTGAGGTAAATAACAATGTTTAGCTAGTAATTAGGGAAATTGCGTGTAAGAATATTTGTCAGCCATTATATGTTTGTGTCTTAGATTAAATGACAATGTTTATGTAGCAATTAGGGGAACCGCATTTATGAAGTTTGTCAGCCCTTATACTCTAGAATTTTAGGTATATGACAATGTCTATACCGCAATTAGGGGAACTGCATTTATGAAGAATTGCCAGCCCTGATACTTAAGTATATTAGATAAAAGACGATGTTTATATAGCAATTAGAGAAACCGCATTTAGGAAGATTTGTCAGCCCTTCTGATCTTTGTATGCATTATGACAATGTCTATACCGCATTTAGGGGAACCGCGTTGATGAAGATTTGTCAGCCCTTATATTTTTCTATTTTAGGTATATGACAATGTTTATTGAGGAATTAGGGAATCTGTCAGCCCTAAGAACATTTAGAGTGTTGAGAGCCCTCAAAACCGTAGCAGTAGTACCTGGTATGTTAATATATGTATAAATAACTTATAAGTTATAAAGACAAATGCAGATCTTTTAAGTAAAACTTTGTGATACAAATATTCTAGGTTCTTTTTTACATTCAACAATACGCTAGATAAAAAAGTTGAAATGAAGTATGACATAGATTTTATTTTTATGCCACTGCAGCATCTGCGATGCGGTGGCATATAGCGATTTTACCTGTGTGTGTTTGTATGTGTGTTATATAGATTAAATAGTGAACTTAAAAAATCTTCTTGTGAAAAACCACTTGTCAAATTTCAACCAAACTTGGCAGGATTGATTCATGGATTCATGTTGTTCAAAGAATGGCATTCCATGCAGAAATCTTGTTGCTATGGCAACCAAAAAGAATTATAAGAATAAATTTTAAAAATCTTATTGTAAAGACCCTAAAGGCCTAGAGCATAGATATTTTGCATAAGGCATTGTCTGGTAGACTTCTACCAAGATTGTTCAAATTATAGCCCTGGGGTCAAAATTGGCCCCGCCCTGGGGGTCATTGATTTTCAATATATGTACCTTAAAATACCTTCTTGTCTGAAGGTACAAGGCTTAGAGCTTTGATATTTGGTATATGATATCATCTATAGGTACAATACCAAAATTGTTCAAATTTAGCCTCTAGTGTAAAAATTAGCCCCGCCCTAGGGGTCATAGGTTTTCCTTATATGTATATAGTAAAAACTTTAAAAAGTCATCTACTCGAAATTGACAAATGCTAGAGCTTAGATATTTTGCATGAAACATTGTGTGGTGAACCTCTACGAAGATTGTTCAAATTATAGCCCTGGGTTCAAAATTGGCCCAGTCCAGGGGGGTCATTGATTTTCACTATGTACATATAATAAAAAAATAGAAAATCTTCTTGTTTGAAGGTACACGGCTTTGAGCTTTGATATTTGGTATATGATATCATCTATAGGTACTTTACCAAAGTTGTTCAAATTTTGCCTCTAGTGTCAAAATTAGCCCCGCCCCAGGGGCCATAGGTTTTCCTTATATGTATATAGTAAAGACTTAAAAAATCATCTTCTCTAAATTGACAAAGGCTAGAGGTTACATATTTTGCATGAAACATTGTGTAGTAAACTTCTAGCAAGATTGTTCAAATTATAGCCCTGGGGTCAAAATTGGCTGTATGATATCATCTATAGGTCCTCTACCAAAGTTGTTCAAATTTTGCCCCTGCTGTCCAATTGGCCCTGCCCGGGGGGCATTGATTGTCATTATGTACACATAGTAAAAACAGTAACTAAACAAATGTTTTCTGAATTAGTGAAAGCTACAGCTTAGATATTTGACATAAAATGTTGTTTGGTGGACCTGTATCAAGATTGTTTGAATTAAACACTTTGGTCAAAATTTTGCCTTGCCTAAGGGGACAGTGACCTACCTTCTTGTCATTTGATGTACAGCCATGAAATTTTGACCATGTGCACAGTTTTAGTTGTAAAATTGAACTTTGATATCAGGTGACCTAGATTTTGATGATGTGGCCTACTTTCTTGTCCTTTGATGTACAGCTATGAAATGTGAACCATGTGCACATATTAAGATGTAAAGTGAACTTTGATATCAGCTGACCTAGATTTTGACAAAGTGTCTTACTGTGTTGTCCTTTGATGTAGTCATGAAATTTAGGCTGTGTGAAATATGACCTTCACCACCACATTCACTAGACTCAACTGCATTGATATATTTCTACTCTAATCTTTTATTTGAATTACAATAGATTTAACCACTAATCTGATAATAAAAATTAGATAGGTCAGGGATCTATGCAATATGACAATCTTCCAATCTGTTCCTACACTACTTTTTAGTGTTGTATTAATGCGGTGGCATAGTATTTTTCGCAAATACAATCTTGTTTAACCATGTATTTGATTTCTTTATGTAGGAAAACTTTTTTGTGTAAAATTGTTTAAAATTAGCTCTTCGTCTTTAAAGTTGATAGCCCTTTGATTAACAAAATGCATTGTTATTATTCAAATTTCGGTCCTCATTTAATCATGATAATAATAACATTTTAGTGATAAGCCTTTACCGCCAGTCTAGGCCAGATTAGCTTGCACATCTGTTCTATACTATATCATTTTAGTGATAAGCCTTTGCCGCCAGTCTAGGCCAGATTAGCTTGCACATCTGTTCTATACTATATCATTTTAGTGATAAGCCTTTGCCGCCAGTCTAGGCCAGATTAGCTTGCACATCTGTTCTATACTATAACATTTTAGTGATAAGCCTTTGCCGCCAGTCTAGGCCAGATTAGCTTGCACATCTGTTCTATACTATAACATTTTAGTGATAAGCCTTTGCCGCCAGTCTAGGCCAGGTTAGCTTGCACATCTGTTCTATACTGTTGGCGGTCTAACTTTTTGAATTTTCACCTTGATATTCCTAAAACTATTGGATAGACATTTAGAAAAATGATAGCTGGACAAGTTTTATACAAGATTCAGTAGGTTAAAAGTTAGATAAGTGAATGCTACTTAGAAATAAATCTGTAAATTTCCCGATAAGATATTAAAGCTTTTAGTTTATACGAATTTATGTTAGTTCGATTGTGTTGTAAGCTATAAGATTATTGGAACACTATCGCATCCGTTCCTGGAACCAACAAGTATTCAGCAATTGGTGTTAAGTTTCTTGCTCACGGAAACAACGGCTTGTCACTAACGGGGTTTGAACCCACGTTGCAGGATTGCTTAAATTAATAGTTCGACTTTTAAAAAACTCGGCTAGGCCGCCATTTTAAGCTTTTGTTTTCTTAATATTTGATATCTCACCGGTGAAATATCAACAGCTAAAATTGATATGCTTATCTCACCGGTGAAATTTCAACAACTAAAATTGATATGCTTATCTCACCGGTGAAATATCAACAACTAAAATTGATATGCTTATCTCATGGGTGAAATATCAACAACTAAAACTGATATGCTTATCACGGACGTGTTGTATTGTAATAATTAATTTCTATTTTATAGGTCTTAAAACCATCGTGGGTGCCTTACTGGAAGCCGTTATTAGATTACGTGACGTCGGTATTCTGACGTCATTCGTGTTGTCAATATTTGCTTTAGTTGGTATGCAGCTGTATAGCGGCAGATTAAGAAATAAATGTGTTTTAAATACTGACTATAATTTCACAAGTGACGAAGAATGGTTAAACTACACGATGACTCCAGGTAGGTGTCGTTACCGTCACACTGTTGTTTATTCTATGTAAAACAATAATTTGAAGCAATATTACTACATGTATAGTAATACTTTAATATTCAGACAATCAAATAATTAAATGATCCAATTTGCACTAGTTTGAACAGTGTAAAATTTGTTTGTTAGTCTTTTTTATTTTGCTGTAAGACTTACTATTATAAAATATTACAGTACTTTTACCACAGTTTTATTTTGACTTAACCAGGCGAAATTGATTTCAGATGCTATGAAATGCATCGTGCCGTTAACAGAATTTGTTTCGATTTGTTTATTAAGTTATTTATTAAAATGCCTGTTTTAATCATATTAATGAATTGCGTATATGAAAATCCTTTTGCCGAATCAAATTTTTATGTTTATAACGGCAGAACTTGTTATTATTATTATTTATCTACTAAGTTATTTTGTGAATAAAATGACTAACTAATTCTCAAATGAGAGGCTACCTTAAGAGCATCTTATGTTGTATGCTCTCAAATAAATTGAAACCTTAAGGGGGCTTTCAAATAAGAGGTACCTTAAGGGGATATTGTATTGTCTGTTCGCAAATGAGAGGCAACCTTAAGGGGATACTATAATGTGTGTTTTCAAATGAGTGGCAACCTTAAGGGGACATCATATTGTATGTTTTTAAGTGAGTTGCAACCTTAAGGGGCGCCATATTGTATGTTATCAAATGAGAGGCAACCTTAAGGGGATACTATAATGTATGTTTTCAAATGAGTGGCAACCTTAAGGGGACATCATATTGTATGTTTTTAAGTGAGTTGCAACCTTAAGGGGCGCCATATTGTATGTTCTCAAATGAGAGGCAGACTTAAAGGGATATTATAATGTTTGTTTTCAAATGAGTGGCAACCTTAAGGGGACGTCATATTGTATGTTCTCAAATGAGTGCAACCGTAATGGGACGTCACATTGTATGTTAGGCATACTTAAGGGGATATTTTGTTATATATTTTCAAATGATTGGCAACCTTAATTAAGGAGATGTCATTTTGTATTCGTCAAATGATAGGCAAACTGAAGTGGATATCTTTACTCTTGATGGCAAAACAATTGCACAGCATGGTGCTTGCTTAAAGTTTGATTATTTAATTGTTTAAATATTTAAGTACCCTCTTAATATAGTAAATAAAGTAAATAATCATGTATTAAAACATGATTATGCTCTTTTGATGTGTTAAAAGAAGAGACCTACACAAAACTATGAAATTGGACATGTGGTTTCAACCCGACTTTTTCTTTTTATTTCATTGTTATCTACAATTGTTTGTTATGTAAATGTAGATATATGTAATTTATTTTATTTAATTACGTAATGTCTTCGTAAATAAATGTGTATATTTTTAGGTTTTGAAACTTGCTGAAATCATTTGTTTCTGATACGGGAGAATAATAGAATGAAACAAAATGTTTATTTTAACATATATATACTCAATGTTTTCTAATGAGCATATTTGTCACTATAAAATTGTTTCTATTCTGATTATTTATTAATTTTATTAGTTAAAGTGTGTCGTCAAAACTTTGAGAGAAGTTGCCCAATGGGATTTTCTAAAGCTTCGATGAAACATACGAAGATCTAGCTTAAATAATCTGCTATTTGTTTTGTATTTTGACACTTATTATATGTAATAACTAATAATTTATTTTGAAACAATATATTGTTAATCTTATTGTAATCAATTTAATGTTGCAAATTGATTTTTTGTAAAGGCAACGTTTATCGGTTGGACAATGGAGAATTTCTTGTCTGCAGCAAAAGTAATCTTGGCGGGTGAGTAAATGACGTCACAATGACGCCATTATGTCGTTACCATGACATCGTTGAAAACTCCCATTAATTGTTGGCTAGATATATCATTTTAATACAAAAGATCAACAATATATTATTGATAATAATCCATTGTAGACAACTGGCTCAAACTTGATTCGGGTGAATACCTTATGTGTGGAAATTCATCTACCGCGGGGTATGTAAATGCACGATTGCTTGGGGTCCGAAAACAACATTCATAAAAAGTAACAAATAAAAGACAAGCATAACAAAAACTAACAGCTTCTGTTATAATATAGAGCTATATATCTTGTTGTTTTCGTTCGTTCTGCAGTTTGTGCATTTGGTGTACTAACCTTTTTCTCTCTTGATCTAATGTATTGTAGTGGACTGCCATGGGTAGATTTTAATGATTTACACTAATGACTGCATTCCATCTCGTTTAGTTGCCCGCATGTGAAATCGTTACGTGTGATATGACGTCATTAAATGCAGTATGTACACTTGGACCGTTAAGACTTTTGGAACGTAATGGTTATCAAATACAGGACAAACTCTGTAGAGTAACACCAACGGCCCTTGTTGCTACTGAAAGATGTGTTCTGGTTGCTCCTGAGATGTGTCGAACATTAGAGGATAAATCTATTGTTAGGTGTTTGCTCTACAGAAGGCCTCTATATCGATGTTTAACTGTATATCAATTTAATATATATAGTACATTATTGATGAATATTGGGTAGGACGGGTAGTAACTTAAATGCGTCACTGATACAAAAAGACTCACCACGCATCAAAAATATATATTTAATAATGAGCTTTATTTGAAAGCATAAGACTCAATGCAAAAGAAAAATATTTGCCTTGTCTTTGATTTCGAAATAAAGTTTACAATTTATTGAAACTATCGAGATGGAATGCATTTTTATCTCTTAGCATGCTCTTTTTACTATTTAATATTAACTTTATTCTTCTCTAAAATGGGTAAGTTTGGTTCAAAAGTTTCAATTTTTTCGGAATAGTGTTACCTCTCCAGAGTTTATGCATGGCAATGCATAAAATGCTATTTAGTATATTTCCGTTATATAAAAAGGTGCTAAATGTGGAAAAAGTTAGGACATTTTTACTGAGATATAAACATATTAATGTGTAAACCTAAAAAAAATATATATTAAGAGAATGTTTGTTTAAAGTATAATAGGTATTATGTTTATTTATAAAATGACCACATACTGTTCGCACATCATTTATAATTTATGACCTATAATTTCTTATGCAAGATGCATTTTTTCCCCAAATTTTCCAAAAGAACGTGTGTAACATAGTTGCACGTATATAAATATCTACATGCACAACTTCTCATCAGCATTTCTAACACGTTATACACGTGTATGGAAACATTCATAATTAGAATGGTAAATCAGTATTTATATTCAATCATTCGCCCGAGATTCTACTAGGATCACGACCATGTTTTTTTCCAAGTAACACCAGCACTAGTAGGTAGTTCCAGGAAGCGAAATCTAGAGTGATTAGAATAGATTCCATCAAAATTTACCCCAAATAGATTTTTTATAATCTGATAAAAAAGGTCCCTTTTCATTTCAAATATTCAAAACCTATATAAAAAAAGGAAATTAAAAGATAACAAAAAAAAGGATGGGTGTTATATTTTATTACCATTAGCATATTATATGTAATGGTTCTTCTAAATATAAGCACAGGCTGTAAATATTTCAATTTAAAGTCATGGTTCACATACATTTAAATCAGGCATATTTTTGTTTTCATTTTATCGCTTAACTTGACTCGACTTTAAGGCTCTGTTTTTATTCTATTCACCTAAAATGACAACATAGTTAAGTTATAAAGGAAATTATAACAAGTTGCGTTTTGTATCGCCGTATAACAGCGCAGCCGCATAAACATGGTCGATGTTGTTTCTGCGGTGATTTTCAACACTACCAAAATAACAAACCACAACCATCGCCATTGCCACCGTGGTCGTCCCCCTCCTCCACCGTGGTCGTCCCCCTCCTCCACCGTGGTCGTCCCCCTCCTCCACCGTGGTCCCCCTCCTCCACCGTGGTCGTCCCCCTCCTCATCTCATCTTTCTCCTTCTAGCTTATATTTTCTAGCTTGATAAAAAGACGGCTGAAGTTTATCCTCGGTACGCGACAAAGAAGCACAGCTGCGCTCCATTAATTCAATCTTTCTTTATGCGTTGAAACTCGCCACATAAACGAAATCGACCATGCCTATGCAACAACGCTGTTATGCGACGTTGAACGAATAGAGATTTACATGGTGCACAATGCATTTATTTTAATATTTGCTTCACACATTGAATATAACTGAATGAAAATACATATTAATTAATATAAGGGAAGGAGGTTTATTTTATTTTCATTGACTAAATTATTCCAATGATATGGGAATGTAGTTTTATTAAATAAAATCATTATTTTCATTCTTAATGTAGACTTGTTGCGCTTTTGTCTCAATTAAATATGCAAAAATGTCAAATATAAGTTCATATACTTTTTTTTGCTTTTTATGTATTGTAAGTTTTTCTAAATATCGTCCCAATTCTAGTTTAATTTTTAAGCATTTTAAGCTTTTTGATTTGTTACTTGGACCGAAGAAAAAGTAATCCGAGTATAGAAATAAGCATAAAAAGTTACGAAAATTAATTGATGACCTTTGTTTCAAGTATGTCCCTTTCAATTTAATTACATGTGCTTATTCAGAGTTTCGTTACAAAATGTTAATTTCTAACATATGCACAAGCTTTAAAAGAACTTTTGGCAAATGATTCAGTACCTCTACAAAGTTAGTTTAAAAAATTTTGATTTTACTTTACTTATTATCGAAGCAACAAGAAAACGGGACTTAGAGAGTGAATTAATTATGATTAACAACGCAAATTTTTTTATTGTTGTTCTATGCAGTTCTATATAAGATAATATTAATGCTAACAACTCACTTTTTTCTAAAAAAAAAAACTAAAAAAAAACCATAAAATTGATTTAAAGTCATCTCTGATGTATACATACCCAAGATAGAAATTTGCAATTTCCGTGGAATCATGTTTCTTGTGTGTCCGGCATAAATCGACATTCTTCGGTTGTGATATATTTGAACATACTCATAATTTACGTTCACATCCGAAGTTTTTCGCCGATGACACACGAAAAAGATACGTAATTTGACGGAAATTGCCGATGTCCTTTGTTGGTCAATATAATGGTTACACGGCTTTTTGCACCTGTTAGTGAAATCTCATTTCTCATATATTTCCGTTTCATCTACACCGATATTTACTAATATATTGCATTTTTGCACCCATAATCATATTTGCACAATTTTACTTGAATGTATATATTTTATATATTTTTTTTAATATTTCGTAGATATAACTAATCGAATAGTTCATCGAACGCATTTTTTCGATTTAGAACAAGTTCGAAGCATTTATATGTTTAAAATGTTAACAAAGAAGAAATAAAAAATAAAAATAAATGTTTGGATGCTTTTTATACATAACTTTATCCTAACATACATTATTATACTTGAGAATCAAAGCAAAAGAAATTTAAGTGATTGGCTTAGGGGCTCTTATATTGTCCATATAATCAATGTAAAACATATATAATCATGCATGCGTAGATGTGACTAATAAACATATGTCTTTTTTCAAATTTCCGAAACCGCTGTATACTGAAAAAGATAGATTAGTCGTAATAACTAGCTGTTTCAAAATTATTTTAGAATGTCCTTTTTTAGAATACTCAAAACCGTCACAGCCATGTCGAATTGAAGACATGTTAACATAAAATGACCTTTTTTTGCAGAATTTGTCCAGGTAACTTCACATGCCATGAAAAAATAGGAGATAACCCAAACTTTGGGTTTACAAGTTTTGACAACTTTGGTTGGGCTTTACTCTGTGCCTTTCGACTTATGACCCAAGACTTTTGGGAAAATCTCTATATGCTGGTAAGGATTTAAAGTAATTGACAATGATATGTGTTGATTACAGACATGTGTGGTAAACATATTTTGAAAGATATAAATTATAATTTTAAATGACAAATATACATCAATTGCACTTGAAACAATGCAAAAGCTTATTTTGCAAACTTACAGTCTTTGGTTGAGGTAGATCACTTCTTGCAAACGTTCACAATTTTCTTGACCTTTGATTCATATCTTCATATATATGTTTTAAGAAATAACTTTCAATATTCGAACAATTTATTCCAAAGTTACCCAATCGTTTAACAAGCTCTTGCTTTTTTTCAGATTAAGCTTTGTGATCGTACTTAGTTTATTTATTTAACCATCTCTTTATTTCAAGATTCTCCGAGCCGAAGGTTTGCCACACAGTATCTATTTCATCCTCGTCATTTTGTTAGGGTCGTTTTATCTAATCAACCTTATCTTGGCCATTGTTGCCATGTCGTACGACGAGCAACAGAAGTCGGACAAAGCGGACGAAGAGGCACTGCAAGCTGAAAAAGATGTAAGTGTTAAAAATACTATACATATCTAAATTGATTAAAAAACAAAAAAAGTGTAAAAATAGGAAGATCAAGCTCTTGTAAGAATTAAACTTTTCAACGAAAATATCATTGGGGTTGCATTCCGTGAACGCTACTTTCTGTGAACGCTAGCTTCCGTGAACGCCAGTCCTCCCTGTTTACATCTACTAACAAATTTTTTTTTAATCTTGTTAAAGTTTGCACAGTTTTACATATAGTTAATATTTCTGTTCATTTGTCCAACAGTTTTGCTTGATAATTTTTAATTTAAAAAGAAAAAAAAAACATTATGACTGTATACATATTGCTCGTGATTGATTTTAAGTTGATTCACATTCGTTTCTCTCATTTTGGTAGAGGATTGTCATAGCAATTTTAATTGTGTTTTTTTAATTTCTTGAACTTGATCCTGATAATCATTGGTATCATATCTATTTAATCATATTGCAATAATGACAAGATATTATTGTTAACTGTATTTTGTTGTTATTTTATCAAAGTTAGTTTATATTCCAATAGTGCATCTTTAAAACTTGGTTCACATATGTGTTGCCCACAAGCATGTATATGTTAGTAGACTGAAAGATTAAGCCGGGTCCAGATAGTATGGCGGTTATTTAGATATATGCTGACAATAGAAAAATGTTTATGAGAGGAAATGTGTTAAAAAGGGGACAGTTTTATTTCATTCATTATTTCATTTATTTATAATACGGGCTCTTCCATTAGGGAAACAAAAATTGATTTCCTTAAACAAAAATTCCATATAAGAAATGTAAACATGTAAAGAAGGCAGTAGTCTTAAGTGGCGAACTATTTACATTATTTTCAACACGATCTGGATCCGTCAGTTACAAATGAGGCATGTTTGTGTTCTCCCCGTAACGTTTATCCTCCGTGTTTTCATATGGTAATATTTTGTTTTTTATTTTTTGTATGGCATTTATTGACTTTAGCAGAATGTTTTAGCATGTATGACTATGTTTGTTTCGTTGAATTATTTAGGAATATGAGAGGGGTAAAAAGGTAATGCAAATATACACCAATTTATCTTCTAGAGTTATTTTTTTATCGTTTTTCATATTCATTTGACATATGTAGATTTTCAAATTGCTTCTTCTACTTTTATAAATACAGTTTTTATCGGAATCTGGCTTTTAAAGGGGATACTGTCCTTGCTCTAAGATGCAACTTCCCTGATATCTAAAATTCTGGTATTTCTATTTTTATCCTGGAATATGGGTACTGTTACTAAAGATTCGTGCATACATTCTTGGAAACAGTTTTTTTTTCAAACAGTGTGACTTTATTTATGGAAGATACTATTTATAAGTTTTAAAAATCGTACAATAAAGTTGTTTTCATATTCTTATGGTAATTTTTGAAGAAATTAAGAACGAATTAGTATCTGCTATTCAGCGTGCAAGATTTATATATAACAAAACAACAACCAAAAAGTGTAGACGCTTTACGACATCATAAATTCGTTTTAATCATGACGTCTACTTGCCTCACAGACATAAACGAGACGTTATTTTTAATCACCAGAAACTTCACTTTGATATTATATTGTAGAAAAAAAATGCAATTTACAAGAATAATATGATCGCCATGCTTTCTTTAAAAGTCCTTTTAAAATTGGATCGCCATTGTTTTATTCAGTAAAAGCTACTTTTGATACAGGACCTGAGAATAATAACACTAATTTGAAATAGAATCGCCCTTTTTCATTTATTTTTTCCAATAAAAAGCTATTTTAATATAGAATTGTCGCATTTTGTTCACTTACTGTAGAAAAAATCTTTGTAAATAGGACCGCCTTTTGTTTAACTTTAAGAAACTTTTCTTGGTGTAGCTTAACGCCCTTTTGTACTTTAAAAATAATACCACTTTTAAGAAGAAAATATTTATAATTGACGTTCTCGCATGCCATCAAAGTTTTATTTTTACATATATCTTTGTTTATGTTCTGTGTCTTTATCTAAATATGTTTTTTTATTTCTTTTTTATATTTAGAATCTTTCAAATGATGACTCCCTGTCATCATTTAGCACTTCAGAACCGAGTGAGGTTGTGTATAATATTTAATCATGATATACTTAAATGGAGCTAAACATATGAGCCGTGTCATGACAAAACCAACATAATGAGTTTGCGACCAGCATGGATCCAGACCAGCCTGCGCATCCGCGCAGTCTGATCAGGATCCATGCTGTTCGCTATCAGTTTCTCTACTTGTTATAGGGTCTGTAAGCGAACAGCATGGATCCTGATCAGACTGCGCGGATGCGCAGGCTGGTCTGGATCCATGCTGGTCGCAAACCAACTATGTTGGTTTTGTCGTGACACGGCTCATATGATATTTCACCGATTATACATAAATGGAGCCACCCATTATACACATATAGATATTTGTGGTATTTTCACCTTGGTGGTGGGTTCATTAGGTAATCGAGATTGGAGGGTCATTTTATGTATAGAAATTGGAAAGATTGTCTAAGATTCAAAAGTTTTGATGCATATAGAGTAAGTTATTACTTAAAAGAAGATATTCACACTTTTATAAAGATATATGAAGATATTTGGAAAGATTGGAATTTTTTAAATTCTTGATCAAATGAAATCCATCGATAACCCTTTTTGTTAGGAAACAACTCGACTACTTGATGAAGTTCATGTTTAAGCAGTGTTCGGATAAACAATATTTCGAATCCATACGTGTGAATCAGTAAAATGCAATAAAATGACGATGCTATATATACTCGTACAATGTCACTAACATATGGTGGAGGGTTGTAAACCAAGGTTAGCCTATTATCAAATTAACTGATGGTATACGAAATGTGACGGGAGATTAATACGTTATTTGAAATGTACAACTATCATTATTTCATTTAATTTTATTCTTTTATTTTATGCTATGATTATAATGAAGTGACAAATAAATATTTTACAGATAGCAGATAGCCTAGTGTAGTTTTATACACTTTTATAAAAACAAATAAGAATAAAAAAGCATGTGCCTTTCTGTAATACGCGTTTTTCATTTTACAGTAAACTCCATCTGTAACAATGTTTCTTATAACGATATATCGCTTATAACGATATACCGCTTAAAACGATATACCGCTTATAACGATGATGTTGCCGCGGTCCCGACTCTAGTTTTCAAAATTATCGCCTCTCGGATATAACGATATCCGGATTATAATGATTTATTACATGCTTTTCGGTGGTTTATAGAAATATATCAGTGAGTTAAAAACTGGTGATTTCACTGTGTGAAACAGTGAAATTATCGATTTGATAATTTCACTGTTTTGAATATTTGAGCCCAGTACGTTGTTTCAGTGAAATACAAGCGTTCACAGTACTGGAAACCAACTTAATGACGTGACGTCGTAAATGACGTCACGTTGTATTATTATTTGGCGCCCTTTTCATTTAGTACTAAGTTGAAATGTCTTTTTAAACGTTTCTTTACATATAATAAAAAGAAAATTTGTTTAGTTTAATGTAAGATCGAAATATATTTCACCTCGTGAACACCAAAAGTTCATATTTCACTCGTGGCTGCGCCACTCGTGAAATATACCTTTTGGTGCTCACTCGTTGAAATATATTCTGATCTTACACTGAACTAAACAAATATCCTCTATATAAACTCGATGGTCCCCTGACTATCGTTATTAGCGGAGTTTACTGTAAATATTATTATGATAGTTTTCATTCTTTGTGCTTTTAATCTATGTTTTTAAGTTTAAATAGAATATGGTTTTCCTTTGATTTTTTTCTTTTGAATTTGTGAAGTGTTTGTTGGAATATTATTATATTTTATTTGTTGTAATTTCCATTTTTAGAAGATGTTTTATGTATACTATCATATCATTATACTATCATATCATTCCTTGAAATGTAGAGTAAAATGATCATGCATTGCAAACAAAGAATTCTTCAACACCATTTACATCATTTAATTCAAGATTTGTGTTACTGAATTGCTTTCATTTTCGGTGTATTCACTTAAACATATCTCATTTCTCTTAATCCAGCCATTCTTGCCATAAAAAGAAAAATAATTGACACAAATCTAATTTAAAGAATTCAGCGTCAGATGAATTTTACATGCTGCAAAAATTAGCAATATGCAGAACAAGTTATATGTTTTTCATTTAAATTAACAAAAAAAAACAACAACAAAAATTGTTTCAAATAAATGTTTTCTATTCTGTTTAGCATATTCATGTTAATAGACAAACTGTTTTCTAGCAATATTGGTAAATCAAAAAACAAAACAAAAAAAAAAACATGCAAAGTCTATGTTTCTAAGTTAATTTAACAACGAGGTTGAACAGATCGCTTTATATTGGTGAACCTTGCGTTAATTTGATGACGTTGAATGACGTTTCACAAGGCTCTTTCCATGTGCACTGAGCGCAAAAGTCCCACTTAGATTGCTTAACCAAGAACATTATTTTTAAAACTCGATCTATGCTAAAACAAATGCAGGGTGTTGACTAGGTGCTTTATATATAACTCTTCATACATCTTATTGATTGTTTTTGTGATGTGGTGTTGATAATTTGACAATAGCTGTATACCCAAAACCAAGCTTCTTTCATACACTCATTAAAATGAATTAAATCTGCATGTACACTTTCATAATCAACTTATCATGCAGTTATGTCTTCACTGTGTTTCGTCAGAACATTTTATGTCTAATGAACATAATTATATATACGTGTTTTTGCAGACGAAAATAGACAACTTGGTGGAAGAACTTGAAGAGATAGTGGACGAACTTGCTGCTAAGAGTCCTAGTAATGCATCAAATGCAAGCGAACCTCCGTTTAGTCCTGTAGAAGACAGTGTTGATAGAATCTCGCTTCAGTCAGAGAAGCACTTTGAGGACCAAAATCTTCTAAGAGTTGCTACAAATAAGGTTATTATTAAAAGTGTGGATTAACTTCATTCCTATAATAAAGTGTAATTAACACCTATTGGCCTACCAATAACAGTGGGAGCCTTGAATAATCAGTTTAACACAAAGAGGGTTTGCCTTTATTTTTCTTCCAAAAGATATGAAAATGTAAAGATGTTTGCTCGTACAATTTACAGATAAATAAGTTTTGGATAATTCTCGAAGGGATGCCAATTGATTTATATAAAACACTCCTTTAGTATTTAATTGGCGGTACATTGTTTTGTTGTTGTTGTTTTTAAGAAAGGTTATCATTTTCATAGGATATTGGAATAAAAATAAAGTTTTTTCAAAAGAAGCATGATATGGCTCAAGCGATTTTATATAGTGGCTGATTTGTCGAAGACACGAAAGTACGACAAAGTGACCATTTTTTTGTCGTACTTTTGCTCTGCGGGGAGACAAGCGAAAACACGGAAATACAACAAAGTAACTCCACGGAGCGAAAATACGACATGGCATAAATCAGTCACCATATTCATTAATATATGCCAAAGTTATCTAACAGCCTTGTTAACAAGTTATTAACAACCAGGCATGTATTGAGAACTTCTTGACAATATTCATTTACTAACAGCATTAAAAATCTTCCGATATCACATGTTTTATTTCTATTCGTGAAATCCAAATTCAATATTCAACGAATTCGTTTTCTTTTCATAAACCCTATCACGCTAAATATCTTAAATGGACTTGTCTATAGACAATGTATACAAAAGCATTGGTCATGTTAGGGAAATTTTCAAAATGAGTACGAATACTGACTGATCAGTGTAGAGCATGATTGGACGCCACGGATGTGTTTGCTGGTCTTTGTATGTACTGGTCGCATTGATAGATTTGTCACCGCTAGGTGGTTGAGGGCTAAATAATTAAAAAAAATGAATAAATACAATGTTAGAAACAAAACATGTGATGCATAGAATTTAAAACATTTCTATTTTTAACTTTATTGAACTCCTAAGTAGAAAATTATAAAAGGAAAATCCATTTCGAACGTTCTTGGTTTGGTCTCCATTTCGTTCTATAATTTGAAACTGATTGAATAAATTAAATATGAAAAATAGAAATGTGTAAGATCCTGTATGTGTGCTTAATTGCCTTTAGATGTTACAACGAGCTTAAAGCTTTATGTGTGGTTTAAGTTATGTCGACACACCTCTCTTATTTGCAGGCTAGTTTCAGCTTGCCAGGCTCCCCTTATTCCAAAAGGCGGAAATCCAGATTAAGTCTAAAAATAGCAAAATCACTACGTCAACATGCTGAGCGACAACCATTGGTTCCCGTACATTTGGAAGCCCTAAATCTGCCGTATGCCGATGATTCCAATGCAGTTACCCCTTCCTCTGATGATATAAAACTATGCAATTTACCTTCAAAATTCTCAATGCTGGCAAGAAGAGCTTCCATGAGGAGGGCTTTTGATGATTCGTCTCGTCGTAGTAGCTATGCGTCCGTGACAAGTAGGGGTTCACATAGGCACTCCCCTCATTCGCCGGACAAAGACAAATTATCAATGTTGATGGGAGCATTTGAGAGAAATAAACATCATTTATCTCCTGGTGTTTGCTTGGATAAGTCAAAATTGGATGAAAATGTGAGTGAAAGCAGAGTAGAAATCTATTCAACAATATTGTACAACAGTAAATTTGTTGTTTTGCCTCAGCTAGTCATATTTTTGTCACCGTTTTGCCAAGTATCTCTTACTGGTTCTTCTTTATGAATCTTCAGCTACAAATCGTTTTACTGAATTCCAAAATTTAGACAATTAAGAACTACTTTCAGCATGCAATTTCTTCTAGGTTATATTACTTAACGCTTAATGATTTGTGTGTACATTTGTGTGTAAACATACAAGTTGTTTATTAAGTCAGTACGAAATAATAAGAATTTAGTCACAAAAATAAGTCAAATGGAGATAAAAGCGCATTGCGATATGTTTCGTAATGTCTCACTGAGCCTTATAATTATATTGTAACTTGCTTAACCCTTTTTGCTAGCTTAATTGTATTTCTACAAAGCATATTCATTTGCTAGTGCAGCTTTAATTGATGAGTTACTGTATCTTACTATATCTTGTACTAATTTATTTGGACTAACCCCTGAATAAACGTCTCAATATTAATAATATTATTAATAACATTTTGTTCGTCTTGTTTGATGTGTGCTTCCTTGTTGAAAGTATGACTTCCATTAATATAATCTTTAATGATATAGATTCAGAATTTTACCAAACTCTTTCAAATAAGTTTGTTAAAAATGCATATAAAACTGTTGATATATTGTAAAAATATATTACAAAGTGTGTAACTCAGTTAGTGGTGTAGTCTTAAACTAGAAGGAGGATTGGAGAACGTTCATCCTTCAGAAGAATAAGTATGCGATTTTGTTAAGGTCATTTCGACTTCTGTATCGCCATAATTATCTGATATGAGTTCTTATTCTAATGATACATTGTGACCAGCAGACCAAAACAAATAATAATAATTGAAAAAAACCTTTTCATTATGGAGAAAAAAGTACTGGTAAAGTAATATTTGCTTTTGTCATTATCGTTAGTTGGCAGTTTCACTTCAAAAATTGAATAAGGTAAATATTTATTTTGTTAATTACATGCCATTCAAATACAGTTCCTTTCCTGCAGGATGATTCCGACTGCGAGCTAAGTAAAAGATCAAAGGCTTCATGCAGAACGCCTAGTGCTTCGCAAGTAGATCCTAAAGGTATATGTTTGTTATAGACACATTGTTTCTTTTTCTGTCAAACAAAAATTGATATTAACACTTTTAATCGATGTTTTTGTGTTTTTTTTTAATGATTTGTATTTTTTAATTTTCTTGTTTTATTACTTGATAAAATTACTTTTTAAAGAGTCTTTTTCTTTTTGTAATAACTTGTGCAATCCGTTTTAAATAACCCTTCACCAGAAGTTTTAATTCTTTGCCTCCAGTTCAGTCTCCACGCCCGTAGTCTATGCAGGCTTTATACTGTAGTCTGACTTATCGATATCCCTATTTTCATTTTTATATTTTCCAAAGTCATAACTGAACAATTCTATAGAAAAAAGCTGTATACGTCTATTTAAAAGAATCAGCAGGTCTAGGGGAACCAAGCGTTATCGAAATCTCATTGTGCTGAGCTGTAATTTCTAATTAAAAAAACGTAGCATTTATTTACTGTTTGCATTGTTATAAAAAGAACTTAGTAACTAAAGATGGCCTTGTCGAAATTCAAATCTGTTTTGTAAACATAACTGCTCCGGAAGTAAATAACTCATTTGACCGTTGATTGATTTTGTATTGATTTTTTATTGCAATTTTTGTTGCTCAATCTACAGATGTTATGGTCCTGAGAGAGCTTATTGATCACGTTGAGGTCGCATCAAGAAGGAAAAGTGGATTTAGTGGAAGCATATTCAGCATAGAGAAGGAACCTTTAAAAGATAAAGTAGAACGATTACTGTGTAGTTGGGAGGTCCCAAGATGGTTTGCAAAAATTCAAGAGTGGGTTGGATTTATAATTCTCGACGCGTTTGTGGATTTATTTATCACTCTATGCATTTTAGCTAATACTGCTTTCATGGCTGCAGATCAGCATGGTATGTCTCCAGAAATGGGACGTACTCTCGAAATGGGTAACCAAGTAAGTTTAAAGTTATCTAAAAACAATAATAGCATATAAAATATTGATATTGTAATATTATCCATATCTAAAATATGCATTTAGCACCGCCTTTCCTATAATTTGCTAGGTCAATTTTTTAAAAACAGTGTCACCCATAAAAACCATGTCAGTCAGTGACTATATATTATTCAAATGTATCTATATATTTTTATAATTATAATTCTGACTATTTATCATATTCTACCATGTTTTAAGTTACCATTTTTAAATTATGATGATGACATTTTATAAAATGTATTTTATTTAGTATTTTCTCTTCAGTATATTTTCAAACTACTGTAAAAAATGAAGGGTCTCTCTCTCTACACATCAATATTTAAAAATAATCAACTCGTTTTGGAGAACGGTAGTAGTAAATTCAAGTTTCCGTCTACCCTCACCCCAACACCGGCTTAACATACTATTTACATTTCAGGTGTGTTCTTATATATTTGCTGCAGAAGCATTCCTGAAGATCGTAGCTCTTGGTTTAATGAAGTACTTAAAAGATGGTTGGAACTGTTTTGACTTTTTCATTGTAACACTAAGTTTTTTAGAAATGTTATTAGAAGGCGTGAAGGGCCTCTCGGTCCTCAGGACTTTCCGTTTGGTAAGTTAAAATGTATATTTAGTTTTATTAAATCCAAACTTAAGTGAAATATTTGTACTCTTTGAATTGATATACCCATTGTTTTATATAACAGATATAGATCAGATATTGTAAATATTGTACTAAGTACTAAACAAAGGTATTTATTAATAACAATTGCATAATACGTTTCTATTTTAAGTGGTTTTATATTTTACTGAAAACATTGAACAAAACATTTTTCGAGCCTGTTGGTCAACTTCTATAAACACATGAGCCTTTTCCTCATGACATTTTACTTCCTCACCCATTTCATTTGCGTGTGTTCTTTTACTCATCACATTTTATTACCAGATTTATAAGCTGTATGTTCACTCATAACATTTTGTATCTATAAACAAATCTTATGTATGATCTCTTTCATATAACAACTTGTTTCCATACCCATATCAAATGTATGTTCTTTACTCAAAAGAATTTGTAATTCATAACCATATCAAATGCGTGTTTGTTTCATTCATTACGATTTTGATTTCATAACTATATCAAATGTATGTGTATGTTCTTTATTCATCAAAATTTGATTTCCAAATCATAACAAGTGTGTGTGGTGTGTTCTTTATTCATTAAAATTTGTCTCCATATCCGTATCAATAGCATGTGTATCTTTTTTACTCATGTCGTATTTCTTGTCTATTTCAGCTGCGTGTGTTTAAACTTGCAAAGTCATGGCAGACGTTAAACATGCTCATCAGTATTGTGGCTAGAACTTTGGGAGCTTTAGGCAACCTAACGTTTGTTTTAGGAATAGTCATTTTCATATTCGCAGTAATGGGACAGCAGTTGTTCTCCCAGAACTATGATAAATATTATATTGTGGAAACGCAGGAAGGACTTCCGAGGTGGTGTTTTAAAGATTTTTTGCATTCGTTTATGATAGTGTTTAGGGTATTGTGTGGAGAATGGATAGATTCTATGTGGTATTGCATAAGAGCTAATGGAAATGTGTGCATACCTTTCTTCTTGCTGACCTATGTGATAGGAAACTTAGTGGTAAGTTCTTTTGAATTTATAAACCTTTACCCTGCTGCATAATTTCATAATACGACAGACTTTAATTTTTTTTATTTATTCATAATCAATTTTGGGGATATTAAGATTAAAGAATTTAAAGCTAGTGCGCAAACAGGATTATGCCTGGATGTGCTCTTTACTGCACGTAACAAAGACTAATCATTTTTGTTGTAGCAGTTTAAAGGTTACCATATCAAGTAATGATAGAAAACAAAACAAAATGTGACCGAAGTGACTTTTTCTGATCAGAAACAGCTCATAAAGAAAGTTAAAAGTACATTTTTCAGTGCACTTGAAATTAGTTTACATGTTAATGTATGTATGATTAATGTTTAATAACTTATTTTTCCCTTTAGATACAAATGTATATTAAAAGAATGTATATATTTTGATTTGTTCTTTGATTTTCTTTGAAGAAAAATGTTGCATGATTAATGTTAAATACCTTTAAGAAAACACATTTGAGTCTATGAAATCTTTATTTGTACCTCCTGTGAATTCAAATATGTCTTTTGAAGGTCCTCAATTTGTTTCTTGCCTTACTGATCTCCTCATTTGGGACTGAGAATTTGGCCAGCGATTCTGGCGAGGAGGAAGCGGGTTCACCAAACAAACTGGCAGAAGCTTTTAACAGATTTTCAAGGTAATGTCAAATTGTTATATCATTTCATATCATTGAATTAGGTGTTCTTTTGGATCAGATGATTTTGCAGGTAAGAGGTATTTGAATAAACAGAAACTGAAATTTTAATTGGATAAACTGTAGTTGATTTTGTGAAAAATAATATCATCAGTATTAGCTGTATAAAATACTATGAATAATGAGTATGAGGTTAAGTCCTTGAAATGGATTATTTGTATAAATAAGTTGATTGCAACAATGAATTACACTTAATCATCATTATGAGTCACGGTTTGCTTTGATTCATTCTGATTAATGACATACTGTTAATTAAATAAAGATTATTAAAAAACATAAACTGTATCATTTTAACAATTTTTGAATGTAGGTTTGGAAATTGGGTGAAGGTTCACTTGATTGTATTAGTGAAAAGAACTAAAGAAGGTAAACGAGCGTTACCGGTGAATGTTGACACGAATGGGAAGAACGGGACAATGCTCGATGGCACCGTCATTGGTAATGGCAATGTGTGCGAAATGACGCTTGATGAAAATGGTCACGTGACTCCCACTACTAAACCAGGTCCAAATTGTCTTGCACTAACATACCAATTAACATGTGTAGCTTGTATATAATTACACTCTTTACTAATGACATAAGAAAGAAAACTTTATTTTATGTATTGTAGTTATGAAATATTTCTTTATTTTATACGCTTTATATAGTCAGACTTATATCTCTTTACAATAGTTTGATAAAATTAAAACTTGTTCACCCTCGCTATCATTGATTCTTATGCTTTGGATCAATTTATTTATATAGTTGTATTTTTTTCATATGAAATACTTATTTTAGCTTATATGAATAATTTTTATTTTGATGTCATGATTTACACTGAAATAACGGATTAAGATAATTAACAAATTCATAACCCTATGCTTCATCAATTTTTATATTTAAAAAGTTTTATTAACACTTTATTACGATTTTAAATTGCGACTCGTTTATACAGTATTCAGAAGTGATATGAAGGTTGATTTAGCACATAGTAAATGAAATTTCAAACGTTAAAAAATATTGTCAAGCATCAAATAAATGAGGTATAATTTACAGATGATAACGCGGAATGTGAACAGCCCAGTCACATTATTTGACTACTCAGGTTTTTTATTTACTGATTTTATTTTGTTATTTATTTATTTATTTATTTATTTATTTATTTATTTACCGTTTAAGTATTTTTGTTTCGTTTTATTATTTATTTAAGTTTGTCTTTTCCTTCAAGATCAATAAATCCGAGAATAGTGTTGAAAATGGAATATTATTTTAGGCGGTGCTAGGGAGCATGGTATATCATGAGCTTTCATTAAATCTCATAACCAGACGCGTGTCTACAATATGCATGTTTTTATTTATTCATGATTTCATTTCTTTTTGTTCACTTGTTACCGTTTCAAATGATAAAAAATTGCTAAATGTACAATAAGTGCATTTCAGCATATTTAGAAAATCGATTTATTTAATTTTGAAAGCATTGTCGGAGAGTTCATCCTCGCAGTAAAATGAAAGCACGGAGGCATAAATGTCTGATTTATTATTTAAGGAATTTAAATGATAAACCATGCAGTATTATGCTGCAACGCAAGAAAATTGATTTGTATTTACATTAAAGTCGGTAACTATATCATTCATTAAACGTTTAGAAATACGCATATATACGCGTTTATATTATATTAATCTTTCCTCTAATGGTGGTAATACAGTTAATATGAAATTAGAAAACATTCGTCCAAGCAGATGTTCTCCGGAACTCGACAAATGTGGGTTTTCCCCCAGCTAATCCGTAGGTACAAACAAACTTTTACCGTCATAACTTCACGGTGCACTACTAGTCACAATAGATTAGTCAACCAGTTGCGCTTATTTACGAGGCTGTAGCTGTATGAGATGGATTATACCTACGGATAAGCTAAGGAAAAACCAAAATATTTTAATCTGTTATAAAGGTACAGTCAACATGATACGAGTATAACAGTTTCGTATATTTTTAGCTCACCTGTCACAAAGTGACAGGGTGAGCTTTTGTGATCGCTTTTCGTCCGGCGTCCGTCCGTCCGTCCGTCCGTCCGTCGTCCGTCCGCCCGTCCGTAAACTTTTACTTTAAATGACATCTCCTCATAAACCACCAAGCCAATTTCATCCAAACTTCACAGGAATGTTTCTTTGGTGGTCATCTTTAAAAATTGTTCAAAGAATTTAATTCCATGCAGAACTCTGGTTGCCATGGCAACCGAAAAAAAACCCCAAAGAGCTAAAGCTTAGATATTTGGCATAAAACATCTTCTAGTGAGTGTCTACAAAATTTGTTAAAATGAAAGCCTTGGGGGTCAAAATTTGCCCCGCCCCAGGGGTCATTGATTTTCCCTATATGCATATAGTAAAAACTTAAAAAATCTTCTTTTAAAGAACCCAAAGAGCTAGAGCTAAGATATTTAGCATGAAACATGTTCTAATGGGTGTCTACAAAGTTTGTTCAAATAAAAGCCCTGGGGTCAAAATTGGCCCCGCCCGGGGATCATTGATTTTCTTTATGTGTGTATAGCAAAAACTTAAAAAATCTTCTTTGAAAAAACCCAAATAGCTAGAGTTTAGATATTAAGCATGAAACATCTTGTAGTGAGTGTCTACAAAGTTTGTTCAAATGAAAGCCTTGGGGGTCAAAATTTGCCCCGCCCCTAGGGGGTCATTGATTTTCCCTATATGCATATAGTAAAAACTTAAAAAATCTTCTTTTAAAGAACCCAAAGAGCTAGAGCTAAGATATTTAGCATGAAACATGTTCTAATGGGTGTCTACAAAAGTTTGTTCAAATAAAAGCCCTGGGGGTCAAAATTGGCCCCGCCCCGGGGGTCATTGATTTTCTTTATGTGTGTATAGCAAAAACTTAAAAAATCTTCTTTGAAAAAACCCAAATAGCTAGAGTTTAGATGTTAAGCATGAAACATCTTCTAGTGAGTGTCTACAAAGTTTGTTCAAATAAAAGCCCTGGGGTCAAAATTGGCCCCGCCCCGGGGGTCATTGATTTTCCTAATATTTGTATAGTAAAAACTTAAAAATCTTCTTTTAAAAAACCCAATGAGCTAGAGGTTAGATGTTTAGCAGGAAACATCTTCTTTTGGGTGTCTACCAAGTTTGTTCAAATAAAAGCCCTTGTATTAAAATTGGCCCTGCCGGGGATGGGGGGGGGGGGGCAGAGGTCATTGTTTTACATTATATTTGTGTAGTAAAAACTTAACATCATGAAACATCTTCTATTGGGTGTCTTCCAAGTTTGGCCTATATACAGGTGAGCGACCTCAGGGCCATCATGGCCCTCTTGTTTAAAATGCGCATCTAAAACATGACATCATAAACCAGATGTGTGTGTTAAGGCAATGGTTGAAATGAAAATTCATGTCAGTTCTTATATTAATCGTTAAAAACTTAACAAATGTCAACAATTGCTCTTTTAAATTAAAAAAAAATAAAGTTTCTCAAAAAGGTTTCAATTTTTGTTACAGAATTGAATGGGGATACAGTGGATGCCATGGTAACTTTTCTATAATTACTCAGAATAAAATGATAACTTATTTTGTTTAAAAATAAGAAGTCATGATTTTAACCTTGTTTAACATTTTTCAAAAAGGAACGACAAATCTTTGAACAAAATATTTATTGTAGACTTGAGCTCTATTTGAACAGCAACGACTGGGATTACCGAATAAAAATCTTTATAAGAAGCTATTCAAAGTTTTAGTAAGCGAAAACAATACCAAGAAGATATTCAATGTTTTAGTAAGCAAAAACAATACCCAAGAAGATATTCAATGTTTTAGTAAGCAAAAACAATACTGAGAAGATATTTAATGTTTTAGTAAGCAAAAACAATACCAAGAAGATATTTAATGTTTTAGTACCAAGAAGATATTCAGTTTTTAGTAAGCAAAATCAGTACCAATACTCTTGCTTTTCATCTTCTAGCTGTCAGAACCATCGACAAGAACTCCGAGTCGGGCCTCTGATAGAAAAAGTTTGGCCTCGGATTCCGACGCGTCGTCCGTGTCAGACGCTGAAACTCAAAGTTTGAAAAAAGTAGAGCTGGACGGTGATCCGGAGATAAACGAAGTGGATGTTGAGTTTGCGGAATATCCCGATGACTGCTTTTGTAGTGTGTTTAAAAGAAAGATCAAATGTTGTCGGACAGTTGAAGAAACGACAATAGGAAAGTTCTGGTGGGAATGGAGATGCAAGGCCTACAGATTAACTCAGCATAAATACTTTGAAACATTCATCATCACGATGATCTTGACTAGCAGTTTAGCTCTGGTGAGTATGTTTTGTTTATGTTCAAATAAAATGACCATCAAAGAATCGTGCAAATTGTTTGTCATAAGAAAAAGAGAAAAAGAAACTATTCTGTCAAATACTGTATAGGTTATTTCAAGACGTTAAGTCTTCTTGATCTTGTAACTAGATTTAATAAAAGTGAACAGGAAATGAAATATAGCACTGACGTAATTTTGTATCATAATTATGTTAGAAGAAACGAATGACAATTTATATTTTTAGTTTTAAGAACAATTACTTAAATCATTTTTATTATATTACAGGCGTTAGAGGATATTTATTTGTCAGAAAGGCCAACGCTATCGTTAATTCTTGAATACATGGACAAAGTTTTCACCGTTGTCTTTCTTCTAGAAATGTTTCTAAAGTGGTTTGCATTCGGTTGGAAGTTCTACTTTACAGATGCATGGTGTTGGCTCGATTTTGTGATCGTTGCTGTGAGTAAATTTATCATCAATTTAATGTATATCAGTATATTTCTGTAAATTCTAATACATGTATATATGTAACAAGAATATCTTTACTTGCCTACATATTGAAGCAAAAAACTTTATATCAAATTATGATCAATTAAAGCATTTTAAGATGTTTCAAGATCCCATTTAAGATACAGAATTTATTTTAGTTTGATTGTGTAGGAAGCTATAAGCTAATAGACACACTCTCGAATCAGTTCCTGGAACCAATCAGTACTGAGAAATGTGTGTGAAGTTTCTTGCTCAAGGAAACAACGACTGGCCCCTGACGGGGTTTGAATCCACGCGGAGATATTCATTATCAGTACATCTCTAAGTTACTAGTGAAATAATAAGTACAGCCGGACATTTATTTATGTAATATGTTATCAGATACAGCTGAACCCCTGCTCACAAAATTCACTCAAACGATGTTTCGTTGGGCTCTTTTTCGCCAAAATTGTTTACTTAGGAAAGTTTCTGTTTTCAGATTTCAATTATTATGGTTATTGCAAAGGTGTTTAATATTGGAGACGCCGAGTCTCTGAAAGCCATGAGGACGCTGAGAGCTTTTAGACCCCTTAGAGCTGTATCAAGATGGGAGGGAATGAGAGTAAGACGTTTTTATTGTAAAGGAAATGAATAAGGTGTTATCTATAATAAGATATTGTTCGCTCACGATAAAATTCTTCAAAAATTCATTAAGTTTATTGGCTGTTTGCCTTTGTATGACAAATCTGGTAGGTATACTGTGTATTTGAACATTGTAAGGTTCATATACAGTGTTGAGTACAATACTTAATTCCATCGGAGGAGTACCCAGCTGTTTAGCCTATATTGTACGAGGCGCTAGCAATGTAGATTTGCCAGCTGTGTACGAATCAAATAGAATTAGTATGGTATAGAATAATGTATAATGGACTCTTTATAGGAGAAAACACACACAATCAATAGATTGTTGGTGTTATATTAAAGTTATATGTTAAGTACAATATGGATTTGATATGGAACGTCTGGACACAAAAAATAACAACAAGTCTAGATAGACTACAGTTTGGATTTGTAAAACAAAGATTATTTGGACTTAGAAAATGAAACGAGAATGCTAGATGGAGTACATATTCTTTTAATTCGGATTGTTTTCTCAGAAAATTAGAGCGGGACCAAATTGATAAGATTGGATCAAATAATGATTTATACTGGAACATCACCTGATGCAAATGTTTGGAAATTATTTGTTACATTTATAAGGTGTGAAATTCAATTAATGTTACTGCATGTCTTGATGTTATAACGATTGAAAAGTTTCATGTCTAAATGGTTTAGTCGTTCTGATACAGCTGTTGCATATGGTTGAAACGACTCATGAATGCTCTATTAGAAAACAACAACAGCACATCATCTATTCATGTTTTGTTGTGATTTCGATAATATGTAATACATTGTACACCTTTACTTGTTATTAAACTTTGATATAAAATGTTGATTGAAAAACATCTTGCTTGATTTCTCCGATTTTGTACTCTTTATGTACTTTTGTTCTTGCATATTATCTGCGAAAATATCTACCTTTATATATATGGGTTTTGTTTATTTTCAGGTGGTTGTGAATGCGCTCATCAAAGCGATACCATCTATTTTCAATGTACTCGTTGTGTGTATAGTTTTTTGGCTCATATTCTGCATAGTTGGGGTGCAATTCTTTTCTGGAAAGTTCTTTAAATGTGTGGATGAAGAGGGAACTAGATTAAATGCGTCTATTGTTCCGAATATGTCTGAATGTTTTGCTCAAAATTATACTTGGGTAAATTCCAAAATCAACTTCGACAATGTGTTAAACGCCTATTTGGCTTTGTTCCAAGTGGTAAGTGGACCTTTTAAGTGTTGTTGTTTTTTTTTTGAAAAATCAATTATTTTATTTCGACTGATGAAATTCGAAAATAGATAAACGTATTTGACAGTTTCTAAAAAGATACTTTATGTTATGTGGCAAATGAATGCATATTTAATCACCTGAATTGAGTTATTTTTAAATCTTAATTTATGTCACAATGGTTTATTTTATTTAACAATTAGGAACACGGTTTAAGTTGGAACATTTTGATCATGTAATAGCAGATTTCATATTGTTCACGTTTATTTTACAAACAGCATTGCTAAATTACTACTAATTGCCAACTTCATTAACAGTGATTATAAGCTTACCGAATGACTCAAGACCACAGATATTTTTCAAACGATAAAATATTACATAAAAGAACAGGTAGTGTTTTTGGTTACCGTATGCACCCCGTTACATTGTTTCTCTATGATTAAAGGTGTACTTAAGTTTGTAACAGAACTAAATTGTGTATGTAATATGTACGATCTATGCGGTGATCTAATATAATAGTTATCATATAATAAAACATTGCAGCTTTTTTAGAATTTAAAACTTTCTGTAGTATCTTGTGTCATTCATGAAAATCCACATTTTCAGTTTTGAACATTTATTTTATAATTATAATGCTTTGTTGACATGAATATATGATTTTGGAGCACAGTATATCGCAGCTGTACCAGAATTATTGCACTCGGCAATTTATGAGAAAGGAAAATTTCATGTTTTGGGGGTAAATTGCATCGTTCTATTCATAATTTGCTCTTAAGCATTAAAATGTTCAATATCAAAACTATTTATTCCTTTTTACTAAATAATAACCAGGTAACGCAGAAACTGTAAAAGAATGAGAACATTTTTTTATAGAATTTTTATTGATGTATTCACAAAACAAAACAATGGCATGATATTTAAATAAAAAAGGTCGGTATAGTCATTGTATGCCGCCAATTTCATCACAATTGTTCACAGTATTACAATGTTAGCTGGAAGTTACAACTTATATGCTGTTTATAAAGTCCAGAAACCCATAACATATTTTCATTTTACCGAATTTAGTTTAATGGTATATTCTATCATTCTATGGTTCAATTGTAATGCATCGTATAACAAAATACACAATGATCAAGCAATACGGATGACGAAATAGGGTCCTAGACAAAATAGAAATAAGCAAAGTGTCAGCAATTGTGCTTTTGTGAGCTGAAAAGGGAGTAATTGCGAAACCTCCATATATTATCTTAATTTGGTTATCTTTCCGACAAAAAATTTAATACATTTTTTTGAAAAAGACGACGTATTAAAGATAATGCCCTCTGAAGCCAAATGTGACCTGCAGATTCTGTATCTAGTAATTTTCTTCTTGAAGCATTGTTACAGAGCAATGTTGAAATATCAAAGCTAATGTACATGTATACGACATTTTGAAATATATTATAATGCAACATAGCGATGTTGTTCACCCAAATAGATTTTAACATCAACATCAGGGTTTAAACAGCATGAAAGTTATAAGTTCCAGCAAATATTGAATCATTGTCAACAAGAGTGGTGAAGGCACAACCATACATAATGATTATACAAAATGGCACAAAAGCAATGCCAATTGGTAAATTCAAGCAGTAAGCATATATTTTGTATCTTTTTCCTAAAGAGAATTCCGTACAAAACTTTGATGTTCTTTAATTGTCGTTTATTTAGATGATTTATTGTTGACCTAAAATCTGTGTCAAAAATTAACTCTACAAATAACAAAGTGCAAATAAATTCAATGAAATTTTCCTAAATGAAAGACCCATTAACAAACTCACAGGAAGGACTACTAATCCTTGTATGGGGCTCTCTCTAATTTTTCGCTTGTTTGCTTTTGATGTTGTTTGTTATAGCCAATGTATATACTCTTTCTTTATATCAATATTTTAGACTTATAGTTTTCTTATTGATGAACGTTTAACAATTTGATTTTGGCTTTGAATGTGCTACATACTTTTAAAATTGAGTAACACAAAAATGGAAATTTTTAAATTCTATTTGTATAGCTATCACCGTCTTTTGCAGCTTAAATCAGTGAGAATCCGAGCATATATATGTAGATTTTCATCAAACCTTTTATTGAAACCTTAAACGTTTATTAGAAATTTGCACTAAACGCTCAACGCTCAACATCCTAGTTTTTTACACGAGAGCACGTTGTTTAACTGAAGTACAAAATATCGTAGTACAGTTACTCTGTTCATGCCAAAGTAAATTGTTTTGTGTAAGTTTGCACCAAAAGATCAGGTGTGTTTATTGTCTATTTGTTTTTTGATCTGTTCTTTTCACCATTATGGTCAAATCATGAGATATCATCAACCAGGCAAAGCATATGATATGTTATGGCCTTAAAAAACATAATAACTTAAATAAGATATTCGACATCAACTTGTTTGTTTGTTATGTAAAAATTAACAGTATTTGGTTATATCTCAGTGGACGACCCCCTAACTGACTGTCCTGAATAACTTACTAGTTATTTACAATTTCTCCTCTTGTGATCGACTTTTAATCCCATTTGAATCAGCAGTGATAGCCAAATGATCAAAAGACTCAATGTCCGAGGAGAAATTTTAGTGACGATATCCCGTAAAATCTTTAGTAAATTAATTATCCTTAGGTCAACTGCTCACAAACAGTATCGCAAACAAAACCTTTTGTGTAAAGCAGGTCAACCGGCAGCGACAATGTATTATCCCAGTGAAGCAATTAGCCAGTCAGCAATTTTGCATAATACTGTAAATTTTGGAAAAGTCTATTGGGATACACATTGCAAATTCAAAACATCCTCGCTCATCAACCAAATCAAACCAAAGTTCACATTACTAATTTGAACTTTTTATAGTAGGCAAAGACATTGAAAAAAAAAAACATTTTTGGACACATTTGCAAGCACGTGTATGCTAAGAATGATTGTTGTTTTATCTGTTATTTCTATTGACATAAAGAACGCATGCTTTGCTTCAGTTCAAAACAATGCTTTGTGCATTAGATATTATTATAGAAAGTCCTGTTCAGTAGTTTTATGTGGATAAAGTTGTGACTATAGTTGACTTGTCAGTAAATAATATAAATATTGTAATATATGTAGTAAATATTAAACAAATTAGCTTATATTACAGTGATATCGTTGAAGTGTTATACACTGTTCTATTAAGTGTAGTCATTTATTATTGTTTAACTTGACGTAATATAGTATTGAATATAGTCGAACCTGTAAAATATTTATTAGATTTTTTTTTGTAGCGGAAACAAAAGATTAAAAAATTCCTTCATAGCATAGAAATGGAACAATACAGTCAATGTAGCCAATTTTAATTGCCTTTTTTCATTATTTTTGGGGCTTTAGCATTCACGTGATATAATCTTTAAGTAAATGTAGCCATTTTATTCTAACTTGAAGATATTGTCACCCACTTTGTTGTACTTCTTTTGATAAGCCTGATATTCATTTTTGTTGCAGAAACCTGGAAAACATCTTAAATGTTAACGTTGAATATTACACAAACGTTATATTATAATTGCAAAACATATTATTTGAAAAAAAAATATGTTTTTTTAACAACTTACGTCAGTTTTGATCACACAAACGTATATTTTCTTTCACATACGTATTAAATTCTTTAAACTTATGTACACCGTTGTAACATGATTTCTCTCAAAAGATAAACATAAGCTCCATTTCTTTAGTTTATGTCATCACACACTCTTCGGTGTCTGCGCCGGTAAATTCTTTTGTCATTATAATTATTATAGTTTCTGTTTATTTAAATTAAATTGCCAACATTTAAACTCTAATATATGAATGAACCCTGGTGAGTTCTTTATGTTCCTCTCTGATTATAAGGTCAAAGGGTCACAAGTCAAGATCACTTAAACCTGTAACACATAATAAGTAATACTCAATTTTTTCAGAAGCTATAAAAACATTCACTTTTAACTTGACATCTTTGTACAAAACAAAAGCAGATAATCTTAAAATTATATTTTGCAAAGTTATGCCCTTTTTTTCTACGATATATCTTTGCTATGATTAACATTTTGTTAAATTTTTCAAAGTATGAAAAATATTCACTTTAAACTTGATAGCTATTGAAATTGGAATATATCCTTTACTTAAAAGCAGATAACCCTGGATGTCATTTTCCTTCTCTTATTTTATGATTTTATATGTTACTTCTTTAAAAAAAGAACACAAAAATCACATACACATGTATTCTCTCTATTTGAAAATACTGATCAATAGCAAAAATTCTGCTTATCAGCGTTGCAGAATTATGCCCCCTTTTTCTATTCTGGTTTTGTCATATTAAGTTGTATTTAATACTAAGAAAAAATGAAGAGTCCATCTGCTCGGACAGCTTCGGATTGGCTATACATACTGTACTTTATAAATAGAAAAAAAAATGCGATGTACTATTGCTCTTACAGGTTCGACTGTACTTTAAAAATGTCAGTTTTCATAGCCAGTTATGGCGATATTTAGTAGTATATATTGTGTACATAATTATTAGACATTGTATTCTTTCTATCTTGTTGCTTGCCCTTCATCCTTGCTACCTATGCTGTACTTTCAGGCCACATACAAGGGTTGGATTGAGATCATAAGGGACTCGGTCGACAGTCCTAGCGAAGTATGTATTCCGTATATGCCTAAACATTAAATTGCTTAGGAATCATTGTACAATGCTCCTTTATGGCCCTATGTAAAACAAACTTGTCCAGAGTTGGACAAGTTTGATGGTTGTCATGGTAAGGAGTGGTCATTGCGGTTAGGGATAAATTATTACAATCACAAGTGTTTGAAAAACCATTGAATGAATGCATTTCAGGCAACATATAAAGGTTGGATAGAAATTATCAAAGATGCCGTTGATAGTCCAGTAAAGGTAAGAATGGTATAGCAGTGCAAAACCCAAATGTATTTATATAGAAGTTTTACATGAAGCATTTATGTATTTTTGTATTTCATCTTTCACATCTTATACAGGTTTTAGACTTTTAATCGACTTTGTTTTATGTATAATCCATTTTGGGGGACGAGAGCAATTATTTTGAGATTATTTTAACATAAATAATAGAATAGACAAGATGACAAACAAAGGCATTTGCATGAAAAAATGCCTCTTTTATTTCAAGAAATCTTTCAAGCCAACTCTTAAACTATTTAGGCAGAACTAGATAGATAATTTTGTTTCTACGCGAAGCAAAACGCGGAAGCAACTGCGACAAAGAATGAATGGATAATATAATCAAAGTGCTGCAGCACTGAATGCGACGGACATGCAACCGGAGAGACATTAATTAAGGCTTCTTTTAGAAAAACAAAAACAAAACAAAACAAAAACAAAACACAAAATATATAACAGAGAAAATTTGTTCCATACAAGTTCGAGATTTGTAGAGCAATATATTTTGTGTCCCAAATTGATATAATTCAGATTTTCTACTTTCAAGCACTGAAATACAGAATGAAATTTATGCCTAAAAACTCTGGTCAAACTTGTAAATCAGTGTCCTTATCGATTTATTCTAAGAAATGATATGTAAATAGAAAAAAAACTATCAACGAAATATTTCTAGAATAAATCCAGGCAAATAAACTTCAAACATAATACAATTTATACATTTGAGAATGCTATTTAGAATTGCTTCGTGTTATATCATAGTGGGCATACAGACAATAAAATATAAGTCATTTGTATTTTTATTTCTCTTGGATATGTCTCATTAAAAAAAATGGTTAAAATCATCAGCAATTAATAGTGTATTTCTTAGATTTTTTTATTTACAAGGTAAAGATGTAGAGGCCAGAGCACATCGTTTTTATTTTAATTAAAATGTCACTTAAGCACTACAGTGTTTAGTTGTCCTTTTCAACTTCACACTAAATTCCATTTTCAGCTTGTTTGCTTCTTACAATTGTATAGCATTTCTAAAAGTATTGCATTACAATCCGCTGGTTTATTAATTACATGTTTAATGTGTACTTCCTAATCGCCTGTCCAAAAATCAGAACAGGTGAATCAGAATCTATTTTTAGAATAGCGAAGGTTAACTCATATCATGACCTAGTAAAATATGTAAACAAACCACAAGAATCGGAAGTAGAACTGATATTATAACTTCCTTACCATGAAAGACTACATGGCGGTAAAGTGTCTTACATGCATTTTCAAAAATAGATATTTATACTAGCCATTGTACTGTATCTAATATATTAATAACTGCTGAATATTCAGCTAAACCCGCGGTATGAGTCACGAAAATAGTTCTTCTTTTATTAATGCGCGAGTTATCCTAGAGTCACGAAAAACTTTTGATTTGTTAATAATAATGTTTTGTATAATGTAGAAATATTTATTTCCTACTAATAATGTCTTGGAACTCAGAGGTTACACCTTTATTGTAGTATAATTTGCTGTCCTACTTTTTCGACAGCGGTAAATCGTTTCAGCAGTAATTTGCATATTGCGCAATAATACTACGGGACTACAACGTTTTTATTAATAATATACGTTCATATTTTAACTTGGATAACTTAATTTGAAATTGAAAAGGCTAAATATGGAAGACATTAAGATATCCAGACAAAGTATGGGAGTTTTGAAGGATCAAATTCATGTACTATTTCTTGGGCTGTTAATTGGTTTAGGACACATTGCGCGAGTGTAGCCAACGAAATCCCATGTGTATATGACTTAGCTCTGAACGCGCCTGAGGGCGCGTCCGTCGCAATTAACAAAAAAAGGACTATTTTCGCAGTTTCTTTATGACAAAAGGTCTAGCAATATCTTTAAAACCAGAGTCTTTAGTTGGAATGATTAAACCAACTTCATGTCATAAGAAAAAAACACACAAATTGTAAAACGCATGAGAATATTTTTTTTCTTTGCTTTGTTTTTGCTGCTCTCAGCCCTTCGAGAGGAGGCTTTATATAATAATGTTGTGTATGGCGGCTGATTTACGCCATGTCGTATTTTCGACTTTTCGCCGCATAAAAAGCGAAAATGCGAAAAAACGTAACATAAAATTGTTTTATTGTTAGTAATAACGATTTTACAAGAAAAAGCGAATATTATCATTTAACAAGAAAGCAAGACTTGAGTTAGAAAACAAGAAAAAAAATATGTCAATTCCTTATGAATTGTGGGTTATATAATAGTGTAGAAAAAAATCGCATGACCAAGTTGGCTTGACAAGAGACAGAAAAGTATGAGCCTAAATAACTTTTAAAGAAGAAAGAAAGAAAAAATATTTCAGCTTTTTCTCTTAGTTGTATTAGATTTACATGTGCTCTGTTTATTGCTTCATTTTTGTAAATATTTTATATATATATACATCTGGAAATAACTTATGCATACCCGGCATTTTGCCTCAATTTTGACATGACCACAACTGAAATTTTAATTTTTATTTGGGCAATGATACGAATCACCTGTAGTCAACCGGCAACAACTGGAATAAGCTCTGCACCTTAAATGGCAAACTTTACCTCAAAATCGCATTAGACGCCTAGAAGAAGGGTTGAGGCTATAATCCAGGCACGTGGCGGTTACACCCGTTATTAAAAATTTGGCTACATAATGTTATTTTAGTTTACGTAATCGTCAACATTTACCAAAAATATCCACCAGTAAATGTTTTGTAAACGCCCCAACACCAAACCATAAACACTTACAATTTTGGTAAAAAAAAAACAAAACACAACACATTTGCTTATGCTTCATTAATTTGATTAAGAATTAAGTAAACTCATAAATTTACTGGTTTATGATTACTAAACTGGTATCGCTACTAAGATTACTATTTCTTACTTCAATAAAGTCGTCATCTAATGACAGTGCATTCAATCACAACCAATTTTAACTTTCGGGGTGTGCTTAACTTATTTTTAGGTGTTTATTTCTGTAGTATATACCCTTTTATTGTGTTTGCTGTTTTCATAGTTATTTTTCATTTCAAAAATTTTAGACGATATATTTGTTAAATTGATTAATTGAGTATGTTTAATTTATATTAAAAAGCATGTTTTCAATTAATTAATTAATTTTCCATTGAACACGTTTTATTTTTCGAAGAGTAAAATTAATTTTAATTATTTAATTTTGACACACGTTTTGTCCTGTTAGAAGATTTGCGCACGCTGTGTACAAATCGTTTTTACACAATATTATGAGTTCCGTTGAAATTAATGTTTGTTATTTTTAGCTCACTTGAGGATAGTTTTTACCTGAGGACAATGTCCTCACGGGGAGCTTTTGTGATAGCCCATTGTTCTCAGTTTGATGACCGTTTGTCTGTGTAGACATTTCCATGTGCAGGCGTCCGTCCATTTTCAGACACCTGATACTCGGTAATTCATTCACGTTTTATTTTGATTCATGTATATTTGGACATTCGGTTTTACTGAAATACATCTTTTGTTCCTTTCCAGAAAGGAGACCAACCGCAAGACGAGCAGAGTTTGGTGTATTATCTTTACTTCGTGTTATTCATTATATTTGGGTCGTTCTTTACCCTCAATCTTTTCATCGGTGTTATCATCGATAATTTTAACAAGCAGAAGAAGAAGGTAAATTGATAATTATTTTTTCCTACTTTAATTTTTTTCATTCTTTTATTACAACACATTGAATAAATATATTTAACATAAGACTCAAACTGTTTATGCGGGATTTTGCTAGTGTGTTTATATAAAAATCTGTTAAAAAAGAACAAATTATTAAACTGCATGTGGTTTGTGAAGAATCTGTATTAAATTATGAATTTCATATAGGTCAACGTTATGGTTATGTGTTATCAAATCACAGGATTACCAAGATAACATTTACAAGTAAAAAATGTTCATTAACTTATAATGCGTTTGTTGTATCATATATATGAAATGATAAAAGAAAAATAACGTTAATTAAGTGAAAATAATATTTTGGATATTCTACTACAGTTTTAGCGTTTGTTGTTTTTTTTATAAATAAATATTACATGTTATACTTGTTTACAGAAAGCACGTGTGTCGAGCTGAGTACAACAGATCATTTTAGGGGGTTATTTTAACATCGATTTTACAAATATATATTTTTTATTCGCTACAATTTAAAAACAAAAATTTGATTTTGAAAAATTTAAAGGGTTATTTCTTCTCATTAGTGTAAAACAAATGTGTAAATTTTTAACATTAAACATTAAACGTTTTCAGCTTCTTTACCTTGGTTTCAGCAACATTTTTGGACTTTCTTTACCATAAAAATCATATGTTTGTAATTTGCGCTTTTAATAGAGAAAAAATATTGAGTAAAAATTATTTTCTTTTGCAATGCCGCTCATTTAGTCATTCAAATACAAAAGAATTGTACATTCAGATCGCGTGCAGAATTCGAATGATGGTCATGTTGTTTTTAAAAGTAATAGTTTAGCATTTGATTCTATCAGGCAGGTGGATCATTGGAAATGTTCATGACAGAGGACCAGAAAAAGTATTACAAAGCAATGAAAAGAATGCAGGCCAGAAGTCCAATAAAGGCCATCCCACGTCCCAATGTCAGTCTATAAAGCAGCAAATCTGTTTTGTCTTACTAAATCCTGGCATTTTTATTGTGGATGGCGCTTTTCTAATGGTTGTCGTCTTTGTATATTGTCGGAAATATTTGATTCCCTTTTTTAACAAAATTGTTTCCATAGAAATAATAATTAGCCTTTGTGTCATCATTTTCGACAGTTTTACTAAGCAAAAGGTCTTTGTGTTTTTTGAAAGATCAAAGTATCTTACGATTTTTTTAATGCTAGAAGTCTTAGTTAATAACAATAAACTTTCTTTTCTTTGAGTATTACACATACATTTTTAATGTAAAGCTAAATTTGATTAAATTGTTACGAAAGGGGAGCAAATATAGCCCTGCTGTGTCTCTATGTACGTTAGCGATACTGTAATAAAGATTGTCGCTAATAAAATCTAATTTTGGAGCTTATGATTGAATAACTGAATTAAAATAGAACTTAGTGCAGTAATATCAATAATTACAGTATTGTTTGGGCTTAACCTAGTGGTTTACAGGGCGTGTGTCTGTTCTATATATTTATCTATACTGAAAGCCTATGTAAAATTATGTGTTTGTTCCACTTGCATTGCTCATGACTTTGTGACATATTCAAACTGATTATTATTCCTTTTCATAGCGATATCTTATCGCATTCATGTCACTGTTTAAAAGAGTAAAAACATAGTTTAAAAAATTACGTGTGTATTGAAGCTTTATTCATTGGTCACGAGCAATACAGGCTTTGCTTTTATGATTCAAAACAGGAGATGCACAAAAGTATTTCTAGAATACCATTTCCTTTCATTGGACTGTCGATGTAATGATGTATTTTAAAAAAATATAATTCTGAAATAAGTTATAGCAAGATACAGTTTAAACACCTAAAGGTATGCTTTCTTTCCTACACTAAAAAACTATTTAGTGTTTGTGTTCCAAAAACAACGATACACAATGTGTGTACACGATTATACTTTCTACAACATTATCATTTTGTTCGCTTTAGTCTTAAGTAAACTTATGCTCTATTCTATATGTAAACACTCAATTCTCTCTCTCTGTTATGCAATGCCTAGAACTTAGGTTTGTCAAATTAACATATTAACTTAGCTTTTTTACACAGCGCTTATTTGAGATAACTTGAATATAAATTGGTCTTTGATTGTTTAGAAATTTTAAATAATAATCTGAAATAAGGTACCCAATGATAAAACAGTTCCTAGTTTTGAGTCATACAATCTACAGTACTTATTGTTGCGTGTTTGTCCAGTGTCTTTTGCCTTGCAGAGAGTGTTTGTTTTCTTTCATGGAGCTTTTATTTGTAGGTGGCGGAGCTGTCTTGTGATCATTCATTCGAGTCATTGCTAATACCGTAAGGTGGCGGTAGTCAAAGCTTATACTAGTATTATCATTTCATTTGTTGGTCCCCGGAATAAAGACTATTAATAAATCTTACTACTTCAGGCCGGCTCTCTAGAAATGTTCATGACAGAAGATCAGAAAAAATACTACAATGCCATGAAGAGGATGCAGTCTAAGAGTCCCCAGAAAGCTATTCCTAGACCAACTGTTAGTGTGCCCTACAGACCACCATCTTTTTTCTCTATCTCTCATTCGAATAAGTCTTCCTGCATATTGTATCAAAATCTCAGAATAAGGGTTTTTTTAATTATAATTTCAGAAGCCCATATGAATGTAAGTTTTAAAAACACAAAGTTTGACTTTCAAGTGTGACTGTGAAAATGTCGGGATGAAAATGGCGCGGAAAAAACTGTGTATAGTCATCGGTTTTGTTTTTATATTAAGAATTCAGAATATTACGAATTCAGAATTAGTATTATCAAACCACTTCCAGCATTACTTTGTTTCTAAGCAATTCATTTTTATATGAAATCATTGCGATGCCGGGCTATAGTCATAAACTGATATTTTCATCATTTACTAGTAGTTGAAACATAATACACATCTTTCTCAAATTATTGCGACAGTGTGACTTTGAGACAGTTTGAAAGTTGTATTCTTTTAATATATTTGCTTTGAAATCAGGGTTACTATAAATAGCATTTTTATAGTGAACTTGCTGATTCGTTGAGAGTTATTTTGTTGCCGAAGCAAGATATAAAATTGGTGAGGAGTAAAATATAATATGCAGGAAGATTTATTTTTACAAATATTACTAGAACCGATGTTCCGATCTTGCACAAATGTTCCGAATATGTTTTCTTTTTAAAGTAGCAGAGTAGATTTATGTGTAATAGTTAACCTGTTTTCAATATATACACCTCTTTCATTTTTTCTAGATAGAAATTAGTGTATTTTTCTAATATAAACAAAATTGAATATAAATTTTATTTAATGAAAAACGTAGGATTTGCATTTATAAATTGGGAATAGAGACTGGAAATTTTTGTATTTTAAGTATGTACACGATAAGTAATTTAAGTATGATGTATGAAAATTCAGTCATTAAGATTGGTCAGGGAACACTCATATGAGTTTTATTAAAGGTGTCGCTTCCTGTTGTTCTCATTTAAAATAACAGAACATTATTTCAATGGGGTTTTGTCACACTTTTTAAAGAAAAGTATTTGGAATTGTGCATACAGACATCCGTTTAAGGAATAAAAAAACTCACTTGTTCGTATTTTCCAAACACCCGATAAATACAATCGGAACACGCATGCGCAGGAAGGTTTTGAATGACGGCCATTTTCCTTGTCAGGATTCACCAGTGCCCTATTATCGTCAAATAACATATGAACAAGTTTGTTTTCGTATTTTGCACTTTTATTTTTTTTATCTCACTTTTAGCACCTCAAATTTTACCATTTTCCTCAATATCTAACACACTTTCTACCTTAAAAGCCGTGATATGATAACGGGCTTTTTATTTCCGCACAAATTGGTATAATTATTATTATATATATATATATCTTATATTTTTATCGTTTTGTCGCACAATTTTACATCAATTTCTTTATTCAGTCACTTGGTATAAGTTAAGTATTTAGCATATTTATACGTTTACGCTGCAAGTGCAAAGAAACTCATGTTTTTGTCTAAGAATCGTTTTGTCAATTATCCTATTTAAATGGAAAATACTGAATTTTCTTGAATTTTAGTAATAATTATATACTTATCAAAGTCTTCAAAGAAAAGCTCATGACAGATGAATGTTTATTTTACGATCACAACAAACATCTTTCATATTGTTTCAATTCTGAGCATCTTAATTTTTAATTAATCCTTAAGAAAGTTTTTCGAGGATACCAGATGATATCTGATTTAATAGGCTTTCTCATTGGATAGAATCGAAACTATTTCTGTTCAATACACAGTCATTGTAGATAGGGAAAGCAAACAAAGTATCGTAATTGACCGGATACTCATTTATGATAAATTTCTTTTCGTTAGATGTAGTTATATCTGAGAATCTAAAGCATTGACACAAATAAAATGTTGCTATGATACGACAAAACAACAACAACACTTGAACCGGTTGAAATGCCAAATATCCATAGTTGATGCAACAGTATTACAAAATGGAACATATTTCTTTGTTTCTTGGATATATAGCCATTGTCTTTCTAATTACCTCTTTCTTCTGATGTGTGATACATGTACAAAAATATTGTGTGTTTCATCTGAATTGTTCACAATGTTAGGGTCAAGGAGATCTGACATCTTCAACAATGCTAGGGTTCGTTATTCGGAAGATCCATTTTTAGATCCAAGTTTTAATTATTTAATTGTCTCTCTAAATGAGAAATGTGCATACATGAATAGCAAACTTGTAGAATGACGCATGATTCAATGTTGTATTAGCATCCATGTTACCCAATAACTTTTGTATGTCCTGATATTTGTGTGTGTTTTTTTTTTCAGAACATTTCGTATAATTTAAAATCTTTATTGACAATTTTGAAGTAAAATCTTTCATTTTCTATAAAATAATATTAAGTATTACGTAATTCATATTCAATATCAAAACAATAGTTTAGTCATGTATTACATATGTTATTTTTTCTCAAGTTAAAATACTTTATTAAATAAAGTTTTAAACATAACGAACAGAACAATTAATTCCTTAACTCCAGTTAAGTTAGACGCAGTTTTCGTAAAAAGTAATGTAGATTCAAAATAAACATCACATATTCATAAATTTTAAAACACATTAAAACAGTTCGAATATATTTTCTTCCTTGAATCTAGTTGTTCTCCATTTAATTTCAAATTGCTTCCTCACCTTTTTAATGGCTCATGACTTATTAATTTACATTGTTTTCCTTTTAGTGGTTCCCAGCAAATTACTTATTTGATCTGACGACGAGTCAAAAATTCGACATTCTCATTATGATTGTGATCATGCTCAATATGGTAACGATGACTATGGAGCATTATGACCAAACCGCTACGTTCACCGACACCCTTTACTGGATCAATTTCAGCTTCATCGTTATATTCACTGGCGAGTGTGTCATGAAGCTGCTTGCCCTACGACAATACTATTTCAAGATCCCTTGGAATGTCTTTGATTTTGTAGTTGTCGTTTTGTCCATATTAGGTATGTATGCTAAATTTGTGATCTGTAAAAGTCCTCTATGATTCTCTTTTGTTCTAGTTTTCGTATATCTTGTTTCTGGTCTTTTGACTAGTTTAGTATTCTATTTTGTCTACATATTTTAGAAGAACAAAAACAAACATTATATCAATGCGTGTGATAAGTGTCAGGGTTCTGAATTTTTATATAAAAACTAAAATACATAATTAAATGATTTTCTGTCATTCGAGATTAACATAGGAACCATATGAGAGAGTTTTCCATGCATTATACTGTATTTTGAAAAAGGACATTGCTATGATAAGTTGGTTTTGCGGGTCGCTTTTCGTTGGTCGTAGTTCTCTTCAAAAACAATAAGTTTTACCATCTCAAACAATCACCTGTTACCATTTCTCTACATGTTCGGAAAAATTACCGAAAAAGAAATCATTGTAAATGACCACATTATTACAATTAGAACATTACCATGGAATTTTAGATTACTTTAAATAATACATTGGACACATAGTAAAAAAGTGGAAACAGTATCTTTGAGTCTTTGCCAAATATTTAAGGAAGCTTTAAATTTTAAGCACAGCCTTGTCAGGTCTACCAATATCATAAAGTCTTTGAAACTTTTCCTAGGCAACTTTGTTACTCCAATATGTTTCATTTGGTTTTCTTTTTTGGTTTGTCTTAGTGTTCAAGTTTTGTATCATGAATTTAAGAAATAATTAATGTAATGAATATGAGTCACTCTTTAAATGTAGATAAAATACTTGCTCATAAGCGAGTCCAAATTACTCTAATCTGTGTGTAATTTATTTCGTTTTGTTTTACCAAAGTCTTAAAGGTTTCCTTATCTTTGTTTATATATTGTATACACATTGACTGTTTGTTTTTGTTTTACTGTTTAACTTTCCCTGCTTTACTCTTCATTTGCTGAAATTTTGTAATGGATTTGCCCAGTTTTTAATTTGGAGCAGACCATTCAAAGTGAAAGGGATTTCAGTATCAAACTACAAAAAAGGAGCTACCAACAGTATAAAAGCCTGATCAAACTGCCCAAATATTCTGGCTGGCCTGGCTCTATACTGGTTGGCAAAGGCTGATCACTTTCAGTTCAGCAGTTTAAGGGTTCCTACTTATAAACATCGTTCAAATTATTTCAGTTATTAACTAGTAGTACAACTGTATATGTTCTACCTTTTAAGAGTACATTTATTTGCTGTATGCCAGGTGTAAATTTTAATCTAAGTAGAAATTTCTTTTCTTTGGAATTGTACTTTTTTTAAACTGAATAAAATTATTATATGACGTTGTAAAATGTAATAACATAAAGTTGTTTATCACATACTCGTGCCGTTTATGGGACTTCGTGAAAAAATTGTATTGCACGGCTATTCATATAATATGACCATGATATCATTTACGTTATGCAATCAAAGTGTTAAGACGAGCTAAATGTTAAAGTTACACTATGAGCGCCTAAGTGTAAAATAATTCTTTTCGCTGTAAATAGTTCTTATGTATGTGATAAATAGAATATATATACTCGTGTAAATTCATTACTGAATTCATTGAACGAGCTAAAATGAATTAACACTATGCTTAACAAAGGTTTGCATCATATAGTTTTATTCAACACGTTCGATCAATTCAGTATTGAACTTATACTCATTCAATATCCTCTATATCATTACGTAATAATACAGCATAACATGATAATAATATCAGGAAATAATGAAATAATATAGCTGTGTTCCATAAAGTAATAACAAAATATGATATGATTTTCAGCTGAAACTGCAAGTAAGTGGCTCGTTTTGAAAGAATGAATTGAAAACCTTGCATTTGTTTATTTCGAAAAGAAACAACACTAAAATACCTCGTACGATTTGAAGCCCGGTGTGCGTTTTTTGTTACTTTTACCCCTTGTTCGGAACGAAAATCCTGTATATTTTTATGGGAATTGCAGTGCATTAAAACCTTCAGTTTGAATATCGTGATATGTTATATATGAAGCGATAAAACCCCGTTTATATTTCTCTTTAACTTACTAATATGATAATCATGTTGATTGCAGATGATTGTTTTGATTTAAAAAACGTTTTATTATCTTGTTTTTTATGATTATTTTGTTCTGTTTGTCTAATTAACCATTGTATTTTTTCATGACTACATGACTTTTCTTCTGTTTTAACCCTGAACCAAATATACTATCACTATGAATTGATAAGAAATATTTTACTTTATTGAGTGATACAGTTGTTGTATAAACTACATCAAGAATAAAGACATTTTAATTAATTTTCACGCAATTTGCGCATTGCTACATGAAAATACATTAAGTTAAACAAAAAGGATTATCATGAAAATACATTAAGTTAAAAAAAAGGATTATCTCTGGCATGTTCTTTTGCCAAATTGATTAATATCAGTACACCCGTAATTAAATGATTATTTAATAAATTCAGCTTGTTCTTCTAGCCGCATCCGCGGTCTGGTCAAGATCCATGCTGTTCGCTTACAAACCCTATAACAAGTAGGAACAGTATGGATCCTGATCAGACTGCGCGGATGCGCAGACTGGTCTGGATCCATGCTGGTCGCAAACCCATTATGTTGGTTTTGTCATGACGCGGCTCATTATTAAAGAGTAAGGTTAAGTCAGTTTTCGTAGCTTTTCAGACAGTATCTACATGTTATAGAAATTTTCCTTAGAAACGACGTATGATTAAACCCATATTGAAAGACGGACAAGTCAAGTTACTAATAAAATATTTTGCATTGTTAGGGCAAATGATGTTTCTTAAATCATGTGCTTGCTTTTACTTTAACTTGATGGGTATTTTCACGTGGTTGTGATGTTTATTATATGCTTTTTCTTGTATTTGCAGGTCTAGCGCTTGGAGGCTATTTAGAAGAATTTCTAGTTTCTCCCACCTTACTTCGAGTCGTTCGTGTCTTCCGAGTTGGCCGAGTGCTCCGTCTGGTGAAGTCAGCCAAGGGAATTAGAACTTTGCTTTTTTCGCTCGCTGTTTCACTGCCTGCTTTGTTTAACATTGGTTTACTGTTGTTCCTTGTATTATTTATTTATGCTGTATTTGGAATGAACTTTTTTAAAGATGTCCATGTACCTTACGGTGGTCTGGACGATGTTTTTAACTTTCAAACATTTTTTAAAAGTATAATAACTCTGTTTCAAATGTGCACATCCGCGGGATGGGACGGTGTTTTAAATGGTTTAATGAACACCGAGGACTGTAATACAGACACTAGCGGTGGCAAGAAAAATACATGTGGAAGTTACCCATTGGCAGTGTTGTATCTAATAACGTATCTGGTGATTAGTTTCCTTGTTGTTGTTAACATGTATATAGCTGTCATCCTGGAGAACTTCAGTCAGGCGACTGAGGACGTACAACAAGGTTTAACGCCAGAGGACTTTGATATGTATTATGAAAAATGGGAAAAGTATGACCCTGATGCAACACAATATATTCCGCTGGAGAAACTATCTGACTTTGTTGATTATTTAGACGAACCGCTGCAGCTTCCAAAACCAAACTACTTTTTGTTGGTGAAATTAGATATTCCAATTTACGAAGGAGATTTGTGTTTTTGTCGCGACATTCTAGATGCTCTGACGAAAAATTTCCTTGGGACTTCAGATACGGGTGACATTCCTGCGGAGGAAACTCATGATAAGAAAAAGATTGAATACGATGTCATAAGTAGCACGTTGCTGAGGCAGAAAGAACATTATGCTGCAAGAATTATCCAAAAGGCGTATAGAAATTACCGCGCAGCACACGGAGGCTTCCCTGATCCACCACCTTACGAGGTTGCTATTGATATTCCTGATACTAATACAGAGAATAATGTAAACAATGATAGACAAGGAAATGAGGTAATAGAAATGCAAGATATTTCAAGTAAAGATAGCAAGGAATCTGAAGAAAAGGAGAAAGAAAAAGACAAAGATAGTAATGAAAATTTTGATAGAGGTGACACTGATCATACAATAGTTGAAGTGGATTTAAAACCAGATAGTGACGTCGTAGCATGACCGAATGTGAAACAGTGAGGAAAAAAACAACTCTTGTTATACTTAATTCTTTTTTATTGAAAAAGAGGAGTACGGTGAATTGTGATATTAATTCAAATGCTGATTTGAAAGAGGTTTCTGACAGGGTGTATTTCACACAACGATTTCTGTAACAAAAAGTATGTCTATTCATATAGAATGCAAACTTTAATGTGTTTACGGTATTAGTAAATTACATGTACAATGCCGTTACGTAGACAAAGGATATGTGGGCATCAAATAGTTGTTTCAGGTGTAATTCTAATGTTCTAAAAGCAGTCGAAAGTCTGTAGAAGTTTGTCCTACCAACTGACAATATGAACCGGACGTGTCACCTTTCCAACAAGAACAGCTTGGACAGTTCGGTGATTGGTTTACATGTTTGCCATATGCTATCTAATTAAAGTTCAAAACGTAAAGAAAATGTAACCCAAAACAAATGGGTTCGGAATGCTTTTTTCCGGACAAAGGTCCTTTTCTTTCATGAATATAGTATGCACATGTAAGAATCACTGAGAAGAAAATGTGTTTTGTGTCCAGGGCTTTTATATTTTCAAGTGTATGTTACGTTATATGTTATGTTAACACACGTCAGCCTCAACACCAACTTATTTCATTATATATCTCATATTAAATTCATTCTCAAAATAAGATGCAATATAGAGAAAAGCATTTCTGCGGTAGTACATTTATCTATTTGGTGGGTTGTAAGATCAAGTGTATATGTTAACTTTACCTCTTGTTACTTGGTTATTTGACTTGCTAAATTTTGCACGGCAATAAAATATGTTAAGTTTTATATTGTAACGTATATATGTGTTAATATGGTTGTTAAAATATCTTTTACGAAAGCGTATGCTTGTTGTTTAAGCTCATTTATTGATGTAGCCACTTTGGCGATATTTATTCTACTAACTCTACTAATAGGGGAAAATGACTGTGTTGTGAATTCATCGTTTCTGGAAAAAAATGAAAAAAAAATCCATTTTTTGATGCTTTTTGCTTGTAAAAAGGTAGTGATCTTGATAGAAAAAAACAAGCGTGGTGTCGTAAAAGGGCTTTATCTATGCACCTTGTTTACAACATGTGTCACTGTATTGTCGGCTGTATATTTTTTACAAGAATATGACTTATATGACGTATATTATGACGTCATGAATGTTTTTGAACTTCTCGTCTGCGCCGTAAACTATATACTGTATGCTCATAAATAAATAGTATTGATTCTTAGAGATAATGATTTAGTAAACACTTGTCTAAAGGGTTGTCATTATTTGTACAAGCAATAATAGCAAATTAATATGAAAAAGATTTCTGGACCATGGGTTGCCAAAACTACTCGTACCACCTGCCAGCATGATGCAGATTTATAATGGGCATTTTTTGTTGGGGATTTTTAAGATATATTGTTATATTATGGAAATAAGTAGATCTAACTAGATTTGCTATATGAAACTTATTTACGTGTTTAACAAGTCAGAGAAATTCCATTTAAAATGTTCAATTCAGTTTCAATACATATAAAATATTCCCCCAGAAAGTGTTTATATTTCAACATATTTTTGGTATGGAAAGTCGTCATATGACCGTTTTAGTGTCAATGCGACTACAATACCTCTCCCCAACCAAACGAAAAATTTAACACATATTTAAGAATATTAGCTCTTTGACAGAAAAAGGGGAATTGTATGAATCATATTTGAAATTGTTTACATATCTAAAATCTAAAGCTTCTATCATCATGGCGTAATCTACTGGGATTTTCTATTTACTTTGGCAGTAGAGATATAAATAAGATAATTATTTCTTGTTTGAATAATTGTAGAAATAGTCTCCCTTGTTTTTGCTACACACTATTCTTTGAACTTGTTAAGCATGTGAATATTTATCATCTGGAATAATAAGATACAATATATTGTACAATACTTTTTATATACAAGTGTGCTAGTGGCTGCATGTAAAAATGTTTATATGGAAGATATATTTAAAGTGTTTAATGTAAACTGTGGCTTACAGTAATTTTTGTCCTCCTGGACTTTTTAATCTGTCATCACCATCATTTTTATCATTGTTTTAAAGAATATAAGCGGATCATATCTCATTTAATTCATTATTCAAATTATATCACATCATAACTTCAAATAACATCATGTCATTACAAAATAACATCATGTCTCAGCTTTTGTCATGTTTTTCAATCAAGTTCCTCCTCTTCTCCTACAGACCTACTTAATTTCACATTTACAGAATTTTTGTAATCGAATCGTACATTCTTTTTTGTATGCCTTCAGTATATATGTATACTCATGTTAAGGATATAATGACAATAGATTTTGATAAGCAGTGACCTTCAGTTTTTTTTTAAATTTATTTATGGACAGTTATTTAATAATTTATTACTTATTGTCGTATGAGGTCAAGGGTCAACGTAGACTTTCTGATTCAAGCCTGATGTTTATGGAAGACAATTCCCTTTAAATCTTATGAAAGCCAAACGAACTTTAATATTGAAATGAACGTATTGGTGGAATATGGCCTGTACATTGCCTATTTAAACTAAGTTAATGAAAATTACGCCAGTCACGTGCATCAGATTAGATCTTTACATTTGATATTTTTAAGTGTCCTCCGAATACATTTACTTTTTTCTTCTCATTTGAATTCAAGATAAGACTAGTGTCATCATTACCTGATATATTTTGACAACATTAAGTAATAATTGTCAAAACTTTTAAAATACACAAAAAAGCGTTTGATCGACCATGATTGAAATGGAGAATAAAAAGTGTTCTGATGGATTACCATATGAATTATAAACAAGTTTTTCAAGGTATTGTTTTTCAAATTTATTTTAAAGTCAATGCTAATAAGGTCAACACAGTCAGGAATACATGTGATTCGTGGTTTAATAAAAAAAGCGTTCAAAAAACTTTGATCAAATTAAATTCAGTTTTATTGAATTGAATTCGTTTCATCATACAAATACGAATCAAGATTATTGTTGTATACCAGGTACTGTATCAATAAATATTTTGATAGAAAACGTATTTTAGATAGTCCAGTGGCATGTCCATCGCATTCATATGTTCACACTATTATATCTATTTATAGTTATCTATTTATAGTAACACCAATGGTGAAATGAGTATCCTGTTGTCATAAAAGGGCAACAGTATGCTAAAAGCAACATCATTCTTATTCTTACTATTACATTTGTACATATGGAACAACATTCAATAAAATCAATACAATACATTCAACAATTAATCCAAATACAAACTTTCCTGTTTTTCAATTTAAACGGAACTTTCAAAATAAACGAGCAAACCATCTTTTATCTGGGATTTTTAATAAGCGAACGATTCTCTTATGCGTTCATTTCCAAACAAAAATAAAATGAGTCACATCTTCGGAGTACATGGGAAAAAATATAATGAAGTAGCGTTTTTATTTTGTGGTGTTCAACCTATGAGAATTTAGTGGTGTTGTATGTGCCATATGTTAATAAATGTTTTAATGTGTTAACTATTGCGTTCATTCTGCAATTTTCAAATTATGCTCAAATTTTATTAATTCAATCATTTTATTCCATATTTGATAAAATGTGATATTACTGTGGTGTTGTTATAGTCGTATCTATCTCTTTCAAGGCATGTATGTATGAGTGTATGTGTATTTTTCAAAAGTTTCTAAGAAACGAGCTTTTCATAATTTGTTACAAAATGAAACTTGACTTAAAGGCATTTCAAGCCTCGAAAATGAATCTATTTTTTTTCTCCTGCAGAAAAGGCAAAGGTGGGTTTTATAATGTTGAAATAACGCATATAAAGCATGTGATGTCACCTTAGTGCAATAACTGTTTAACTCCTTTTGAATTTAGAAGGACTTAGCCCGTTACTGCACTATGTAGAACATGTGATAGCGTTGAACGTGAAATAAATTATGATAAAGTAGCAAAATAAATACAACGTGGTATTTGGACTTCCATATATAGAAGTATGAATTACTTAAAGTTTACTTATTGCCAGAGCGCATAAATAAGCAAACAATGGCTCAGGTTTATGGCAGTTAGTAACTTTTTTTTCAACTGTAACAATAGATCTGCATAAAAAAAAAAGTTTTTGGAAATTAAAAATGATAGCATTTTTAGACTTAATGGGCCTTTCATGGAGAATGGTTAGAAACATAGATTTTTTAGTATTAAAGATGCAAAATCTAATGGTTACAGTACGTGCATGTATATCAAAACGTACATATTTTATATACTTAGAATTTCAGAGTCTTTCACTTTGTAACAAATTAAGAAACGCATTTTTTTCTATAACATTTCTTTCTCACTCAAACATATTTCTTTATTTTACCCAACTGTTTAAGTTTAATGTTATTATTGTTTTGATATTAAGATATAACTTCAGGACTTTTGTACAATGTTATAGACCTTGGGAACATGTCTAATATGCCTCTTAAATGTTAAAGGCACATTTTTAGTATTATAAATTGTTAAAATATTTTAGAATTTAGTTAGGTCTTATTTATAGCTGTTTTATTAACTTTTGCATGTTCGCCTGTATTGACAATCGGCAGTTTTTTTTATTCAGATTATGTATGTAATGTTTATTATTATTATTGCGGCCAGTCATAACAAGCGGTTACCAAAATAACATGCATAATTGAACGGAAACTTCCGAAAGTCAATAGGGGTGTACAACCTATTTTACCAAGCATTCCTCGTGTATGCGAATGCCGTACCTACTTTTCCCTATCTACGCGTAAATGGTAATATCCAATTCAATGCAAATTTTGCAAGTTTCTTTTACATTCTGATCTATATAACAAGCTACACGTATATCATAGCAGTGTGTATACGAACATATTTTCTAGTTCAGACAGTTTATACATATGAAATACCGAAAAATAACCTAGACTAAAACTCTTTCTGCGACGTAAAGAAAATAAAACCACAGTTTTAATCAGTTACGCACTTTTCCGGTAATTATTTAACGATTGGAATTCAAAAACAATATCGGTCAATTCCGACACTTATTTCGGATATGTATTGGCAATCGGCTAGATGTTGTGGATGAGTAAATTATAAGGGGCGCCTTAAATAAAAAAAAACAGTTCTTATATTTTAAACCGATTTCGATATCTAAAAAGAATCTACTATTTTGGCAAAAAGATAAGAAAAACAGTAGCAATGAAATATGTTTAAACGTACGGATATGCGGATATGTTCGGTTTCAAATAACATGTAATTAAATTCTTGACTTTTTTTATTTTTTGATATATTTGAAAAGAAAACTCTGCTTACATATAGTTTGTTAAGCTTTTCAATTTGTATCATTTTTTCTAGTATGTATACTATTTTAATGACCTTGAGAAGATGGAAATGTATTTCAATTTATATTATTAACATTAACATGTTACATCATTAAAATATATCATGCAAGAATGGTTTATCTCGTTATCTATTTATAGTTTGTTTAAGATAAGCCATTCTTACTCTTCGCCTTTCTACAATCTGGGCACTTTCTTTTCACTCTGCTTCAATATCCGCTACCTTGCGCATACGTCACTATTAATTTAAGTGTGACTGGGTATAGTCTTGGCGGACCAATCAGAAGAAGCGTCACATAATGGAATTCCGGCGCATGCGCATTCAAAGCGTTATCATACCAGAAACATGGCCGAAAAGACTATCCCATGAAAAAGTCTATTAATTATTGCCGTGGTTAACTTAGTTCATGTAGATTTTTTGTAAATAAAATTTTACACATTACTGAATTGATTGTGTCTGTTCTTTTTTATGGACGTTTTATTATCCTTATAGTTGTCGAGAAACCCGATTGGAAAGACAGGAAGTAAATTATCTAAAGACAGGAAGTAAATTATCTTTAATTGTTATTGCGTCAATAAAAGTCCCCTAGTTTTGAATAGAATAAGACACTACATATATATTTGAAGTTGCTGCTAGTGGTAGTCCATGTGGACAGCCTCCTGTGAAGAACGTTGGTAACTTTTTAAGTTTTTTTTTGTGACTATAATTAGATTCAAATTGTCTCTGTTCTAAGAAGATATCAATGATATCAGTCCCCTGTTCTATAGTTTTATCAAACAGTATTTTGAATTGGAGAAATGAAGTATTTTTTAAGAAATCTCAAGATTACCAATTGTGAAAATGACCTACAGTTTCCCCCGAGACCTTAGAGGACTTCATTGCAGCACAATCGAAGGTTCAAATGATTCACCATTTTCGTGCATTAATATCTGCAGAAGCAAGAGAACGCTTTTAAAGCCGGTCGACTTATATTCCTTGTTTAAATCCAAATGATTGTAAATAAGCTTAATATAGTGTAGAACTGAATTCAAAGCTTGGTCTGAGATTGAAAGGAGCCAACTCTAAGTGGAGGGCTAGCTGTGTTATTTTCTTGTTTTATAATTATTTGATATCGATCCCGGCATACCGGTATTTGTTTCAATTCATGAATGCTTAGCATAACAACCTTATTAATATGTCTGTTGTTGGGATAAAATTATGACCTTACAATTCGGGATGCCATAGTACATAAAAGCACTTCAAAGTAGGCTCTACACAGCAAGTATGCAACTATCAGCAAACAATGGCCATACCTAATAGTAAGAAAAATAAAACATTGCAGTTGTAAGGTAGATATATATTTGCATAACAAATATGGATTATTTCAAAGAAGTTTCCACTGACCAATGGATGACCCTGGTGCATGTTACTTCATAATCAGGAAAAAAGCTATTGAGGGCAAAAATAAACATGATTTTTTTTTAAGTTTTAAATTTAGATAAAGATCACATGAGTATGGGTTGAAAGTAACAGGTGCGATTTTGTGCCAAGGAATTATGCGACATAAACAATTACAGTTATCCTTCAAATAAATGAAAGTGCCTATGTCACTACTGCATGTAAGGCATTTGTGTAACATATAAATTATTGAAGTATTTATGAAACCACCTTAATGCAATTAGGGTAACGAAGTCAATATAAATGCATGGAAGTGTCGGAAATATGCAACTGGGTGACCATAGACGCCCATCAGAGTTAGTTGGTAAAAAATGACCATGCGACCACATTCACACATCAAGGGCATATGGGTATATAGGGTATGTCTGTACGACTATATACGTGTACACGCATCAAGGACATATGGGCATGGTGTGACAGTAAGACTACATACACGCGTATCAAGGACAAATGGATAGGATGTGACCGCATACTTTCTTTAATTAATTAAGGGTGTGATCGTGCGACCACATACACGCATCAAGGACATGGGTAGGATGTGACCGTGCGACCACATACACGCATCAAGGACATGGGTAGGGCGTGACCGTGCGAGCACATGCACGCATCAAGGACATGGGTAGGGTGTGACCGTGCGAGCACATGCACGCATCAAGGACATGGGTAGGGCGTGACCGTCCGAGCACATGCATGCCATCAAGGACATGGGTAGGATGTGACCGTGCGACCACATACACGCATCAATGACAAATGGGTAGGGTGTGACAGTGCGATCATATACACTCATCAATGACATATGGGAACGGTGTGATTGTGCGACAACATACACGCATCAATGACATATGTGAATTTTGTGACCGTGCGACCACATACGCGCATCAAGGTCATATAGGTAGGGTGTGATCATGCGATCACATACACTCACCAATGACATATGAGAATGGTGTGATCGTGCGACCAAATACACGCATCAATGACATATGTGAATGGTGTGACCGTGCGACCACATGCACGCATCAAGAATATAAAGATAGCTAGGGTGTGACCGTGCGGCGACAGACATAAGAGTAAGGTGTGATCGTGCGATCACATGCTCGTATCAATGACAAAAGAGTAGGGTGTGACTGTGCGACCACATACACACATTAATGACATGGTAGGATGTGATCATGCGACCATATATAAGCATCAAGGACATATGGATAGGGTGTGAACGTGCGACCGCATTTTTTTCTGTTTAGAAAAGTATAAGATATGTAAATTGGTGTGTTTCTATATAGCCTGATCGTATCTGTCACTGAAAATTTACCTTCTAACTGGCGAAGTCCTGGAGAATCTACACATGCCACCAGCGCCGACCATGATTAGTCGGTACATCCATTCTGTCTGATATCTGCAGTTTTCGCTATTCAATCAGTACATATTTTGAAAAATTCCCTAAAAGTGATAAATGATCTTGCCAAGATTCAATGACAGACATATGCTCATATAAACCGGGGCTTTCAAATAGAAAGATCCCGATTGTAATAAGTGTTAATATTTAAAATTGAGTTTATTAGGGTTATTTTTCAGCAAATGGAAGATAATCACATATAAAATATATATGACTATCTATAAAGAAAGCTCGTGAAGTAAATTAACATAAAAATTCTCATAACAGTTCAAACCAATTCATATATGAAGCATTTATTGTTACCCATAGATTTGGGTTCAAAGACCCTGGTTGGCCGGAATGAGAATAACAATAAATAAACATAAAAAATAACAATGATTTATGAAATAAGAAGTAAAAAGAGTAAGAAAAACTCTATGAAATGTGTTGCCTATGATGTGAACAGTTAATTAACAAATTAAATTTAGTGTCATCATGCCATCCCGGCAAATTATTATTATTCTCACAAGTTTATTATTTTGCACATTACACCGGATAGCTACTGACAACCAAAGAATCCGAAGCTTTCCGAAACTGTTTATCGACAAGTATTTTCAGGTTTAAAATGCATATTTTTAATTAAAACATAATAACATCAGTAAAAGCATCATAGAAACATGGGCGAAAAGACAGCCCCTACATCCCAGCTTCGATTGGAATGGGTTTACGGCTACAGAGGTCACCAATGTCGCAACAATCTCTTTATTACCGGCAGCAAAGATATCGTTTATTTTGTAGCCGGTGTTGGCATAGTTTATAACCCGAGGGAAAACAAGCAACGATTCTTTCTTGGTCATGATGATGACATTTTGTGGTTTGTTGTTTTCTAATTTTCCATTAGTAACAGCTTTATTCATTATTTTCGGCTACTAAGCAATTAAATGCCATGTATTTGCAAGAAAGTGATTTAATTCACTGCTTGCCCCATAGTCATACTGGCATAAATATAATATTTTGACTAGATCTACTATTTTTTAAGGATATAGTATACGAAAATAAATCTGTTTGATTACTAATAGTAGCTTGAGGTCACATGCTGTATTGCAAGTGAAAGTCAATAATTTAAGAATACATTTTACTGTTATAAATATAAGAAATGAACATGTTTAAACTTGCATATTTTGCATAGTGGGCTAATGTTTCATTGGTTATAAGTTCTTTTTTAATGCTCACTCTTCATTTAATTTGAATTCATGCACTGAATCATAACTATCCAAAGCTAGATAATTAAGTGATTAATTGAATTTACCATATCATTCACACTTTAGTTCATTCTACTTGAAGAAAGCATTTAAAAAAGTAAGCTATTCAATGCAAATTATAAAAAAATACTTACATTTTTGAATTTATATATTTTTACTGTAACATTAATTTAAAAATGATCCTATATTTATGACAGCCTCACACTTCATCCAGATAAAGCCTTAATTGCTACAGGACAGACTGGCAAAGCTCCATTCATTTGCGTGTGGGACAGTAACTCTCTTAATACACTCTCCATCTTGAAGGGAGGTCATACTCATGGAGTTGGAGGGGTATCCTTTGATAAAGATGGAAATGTGTGTTTTTCTTTTTTTATTTATTCTTTTTTCATTTATTTATTGTAAACATATAATTATTCATTCATATCAGAAAATGATAATATTTTCCAGAAATAAGATTTACTTGTACTGAAACTGAAACATAATTATTTTTTGAATTTTGAATAACAAATAATTCCAAAATACGTGATTGATGGAATTTTTTTTAAATATTTCCATATGAGTGAAACTGATAGACAGATGCACAAAATCATTGCTTAACTGTTATATACCTACCTAGAATACAGCCTGGAACAATTTTTTTGTTTGCATATTATTAGACTATTTATGTGTGTTCAGTAACAGAGACATTCTTCTTTACCACTCTTTTGAGAATCTACCATTTAAAGATTATTGAAACAACATGAAATTATTTCAATACATATATAGCATTTTTTACCTGTCAAATGTAAGTTTATGAATAGCAGAAGCTAAATATTCAAGTATTTTGAAAATTTAGGTCATAAACCTTACAATAAAAGGTACAACCAATTTTTTTTATTTATTTCAGCGACTTGTGTCAGTGGGCATTGATCCTCAAGCAACAATATGTGTCTGGGACTGGAAAAAGGGCAAAGTTATTGCAACTGTTAGAGGTCATACGGATAGGGTACAATAAATATATTCTTTCAATTTTAACCAACATTAAGCAGATTGTTGCAGAGGCCTTTTTGAAATTTAAAATTTATTTGTAGTAATTACTAATTTGAGGGAATGATGAAGGCAATGTCATTGATATTTAGTCATTTCTTAATAGTTGGTCCACCTAGCCCCTTTTTTCTGGATAACTTATAGATATTACCAATTTCTCTGCAATTGACAGACTTGTAATCCCACAAGATTTCTGAATTGGCAATGAGAGACAACTGACCAATAGACTCGATGTCTGAGAGAAAAGCCTTCATTTCTATTGAAAATTAGTAAAATAGCTATTATTTTTAGCTCGACTTTTCTATGAAAAGGGGAGCTATCCTACTCGCCCCGGCGTCGGCGTTGGCGTCACACCTTGGTTAAGTTTTTCGTACCACCCCACTTTATTTCAGAAGTATTACAAGTATGGCTTTGAAACTTACCATACTTGTTCACCATCATAACCTCCATCTACAGACAAGAGTACATAACTCTGTCAAGGTTTTTGACAGAATTATGGCCCTTTTTTGACTTAGAAAGTGTATTGAGCTTGGTTAAGTTTTTTGTACCACCTCACTTTATTTCAAAACCATTGGAGGTATTGCTTTGAAACTTACCATACTTGTTCACCATCATAACCTTCATCAACAGACAAGAGGACATAACTCTGTCAAGGTTTTTGACAGAATTATGCCCCTTTTTGACTTAGAAAATACATTGAATATGGGTAAAATCCACTTATTGCCTTAACCCTTTGAGATATTGCTTTGAAACTTTTAATGCTATTTCACATCATTACCCCCATCTGTACGCAAGAGAAGGTAACTCTGTCAAGGATTTGTTTTAAAAATTAAGGCCTTTTATCGACTTAGAATCTTGGTTAAGTTTTTAGTACCAGTCCACTTTTTGACTGAACTGTTTGAGATATTAATTTGAAAGTTGGAATACTTGTTTACAATCATGATTCCCAAACATGTCCAGGAGAAGGTAATTCTGTCAAAGATTTTATTTGAATTATGGCCCTTAACTGTCAATGTTTTGTATTATAGGCAAGCAGTGTTCAAGGGTATCACACAATTCAGTAAAATAATTCTTCACTAAATATCTTAATGCTCATGGCCATTGTTCACTTTAAAAATACAGAGATTCTTGTATTGCCTTTTACTGCAAAAACTTTTTTTATTGGCAAGCAATAAAAAAGTCGAGCGCGCTGTCTTACGGACAGCTCTTGTTTTTGCTGTCCTTTAATTATCAAGAGCCATAGAAATTAAAAAAAATTCCGTTGAATATTTTCTCTTTATTTCATTCTTTTTTGGCCGTACGTAATGGCAAAAATATGTTTTTTGAAGAGGGAATAGGACTTAGTCACAGACTCACAGCCCCAAAAATACCCTAAAATTACAAATGAATGTTGTTCAGAATATTTTGTTAAATTAAAAAAAATTTATTTAACTAAGCACAGCAACATAAAATATATAATTGAATTAAACAATATAGAATGTTTTGGGTACTTTTCCATCATGTCACAACATTGATTATTACTGAATTAAAATGTTTACGTTTTTGGACCACAGATTTCTTAGAAATGATTAGATTAATAATCTCATTAACATTTCAGGTTTTTGACATTAAGTTCAACCCATATCAAGACAATGTAATTGCCAGCTGTGGTGTGAAACACATTAAGTTTTGGTCCCTGTGTGGAAATGCTCTATCTGCGAAGAAAGGTAAATCAATGTGAAGAACTTTAGGTTTGAGTATTGACAAAAGATACTTTGTAATGTAATGCTTTTATCCTGCTTATTTGAAATTTATTTTTTTTCCATCTACCCATGTTTTAGATAAAGGCATAATTTACATGTAACAGTATTAAGTATATAAAACTCTTAACAAAATTATTATTGGTTTTGTCAGAAGGAGTAAAACAAAAGGGGCATCTGTGGTCAAGTGGTTAAAGGTTTTGACTTCAAACCACTTGCCCCTCACCACTGTTGATTTGAATACAAAGAGGGACTTTGGATTGTTTCATGTGAGAAAGCTATTCATATAGCTTACAGAGCATTGATGGTTCTACTCAGGTGCCCATTCGTGCCTGAAATAATGGACAGAAGGGCATTTGAGGTCTTCCTCCAACAGTAAAGCTGGAAAGTTGCCATATAACATATACTGTGTTGGTGCGGCAAAAATCCCAACCCCAAAATATTTTTAAAGATTTGAAAAACATACAGCTTGACCTGACGTCTCGTTTATAAAGAAATTGTTTAGCTTGACTGTTGTTTCACAGTTTTATGACCAAGTTGGTTTCTCTAAAAAGCATATATAATGTTATTACTTTGCCATTTTCTTAACAATATCACTTATAAAGATAAGATTTTTCAGGCATCTTTGGGAAAGAAGGAGAGATTCAGACTATTCTGTGTGTCAGTTTTGGTCCAAGTGACATTACATATTCTGGCACACTTGGAGGAGATATATATATCTGGAGGGCTAATAGGCTGGACAGAGTCATCCAGGCTGCACATAAGGTTAGTTGTGTAGACATATTAATATGTTTTTTAACCAGTCACAATATGTGAAAAAAAGTTTTTGACTTCAAAACACTTGCCAGTCACTGTTGTGGGTTTGAATCCCACCAGGGACTTTGGATTCCTTCATGTGAGAAAGCTGTCTAGCTAGCTTAAAGAAACGTTGATTGTTTGACTCAGGTGCCTATCTGTGCGTGAAATAATGCACAGACAGGCACCTGAGGTCTTCCTTCATCAGTTAAGCTGGAAGGTTGGCATATAGCCTCTACTGTGTTTGTGTGATGTAAAACCCAACTAAAAACAACACCACACACAGTATATGGATATGATTCAAGTAAGATTAAAGTGGCAATATAACAAGACTATCACATTAAAGTTGCATTGAAAGTGGTTATATTGAAAGAATATAAATTGAAAGTAGCTTTAAAAGTAGAGCAATACCTCTCAGCAACTACCACAATTGTGTCCCCCTCCCCCTCCAGAAGGTGTCACTTTGCAGAGGTTGTACTGTACATCTTATAATATTTTTATTTGTTAATTGTTTCAGGGAGCGATTTACTCAATTGATATGTCAGAGGAAGGCTACAGCACTGGAAGTAAAGATGGGACGATTAAACTCTGGGATAGTGACTTTAAACCAATAACCACTGTCAATCTGGTAACTGCTAAAGATGGCTATAAAGGTAAAGTTAATAAATATGGTGAATTGTGCTGTTGTGAATGGGGCTTGCTGCTGCGATGGATCTTGAGGGCAAGTTACAAATGCCCTCCTGTTGTTAAGATCTTTTCATATGGCAAAGATAGGCAAACCTTCATGGGCAACAGGCACGTCTATGGCTTAGTGACTTAACTTCAAACCACTTGCCCCTCACTGCTGTTGGGTTCGAATCCTGCCAAGGACTATTGATTTTTTCATGTGAGGAACATAAGTGGTTTTACTTAGCTGTCTGTTTGTGCCTGAAATTATACATGGAAGGTAACCTTCCATCAATTAAGCTAGAAAGTCGCCATATGACATATACTGTGTTGGTATAGCTTAAAAACAACCGTAAAAAATCATGTGCAGCATAATTACCCATACAAATGTTTAATAATTGTTTTAAACTTGAATTTGATGCCCAAATGAAAAAAGTATGTGTAATGTGATAGTGGATGAAGAACTTTTTGAAATGATTCATTTGAACATACAATGTACGATAAATGAAATAACTTGGTGATATTATAATTTATGTTTTTAAGTAATTTTATGTCAGTAATTTAAATTTAAGACTTTTGTTATGTAAATTTCTTCATATTTTGTGTCAATTCAAAGTTCATGTAGGAAAGGATATACATTTAATAGCTACAATTACCAGTTGCTCAATGGTTATTCTTGTTGATAAAAAATATTCTTAAACAGTCACAGTATATTTAGGACCATTGCTTGAAGACTTTAAGACATAGATTATTTCTATGTGAGTAAGTCTTGATTAAGATAATTTCTTTGTTAAATAATGTAAATTCACTTTATTTCTTGAGCATGAAATTTTGTGGTTTTGTCAAAAAGGACATTTATGTGGGTTCTGATTGTCCAATTGTGCAAAATATTGAATTTATTTGAAATAAAAATATAATTGGTACAGTAGACAAAATAAAATTTTATTGGATCTTAAAAATTTGTGAATTTGCATATCCACGAAAACCTAAAAAATTAATGCACCATCATTAATAATGATTTTGCAGTAAAAATATAACACATTTCAAATGAATTAAAATTGTAATAAACAGGTCTATGTGTACGGAGTGTGTGTTGGCGAGGTGAGAAGGTTCTGATAGGAACACAGGATAGCGAGATATTTGAAGTAGGAGCTCACGACAGAGACAAGCCTCGTTGTCTGGTTCAAGGTCATGCAGAGGGAGAGTTATGGGCCTTGGCAATACACCCTCGTAAACCTGTGTTTGCTACAGGTAGTGATGATCAGACATTGAGGTATGGGTTTTTAGCTCGACTTTTCTATGAAAAGGGGAGCTATCCTACTCGCCCCGGCGTCGGCGTCGGCGTTAGCGTTGGCGTCACACCTTGGTTAAGTTTTTCGTACCACCCCACTTTATTTCAGAAGTATTACAAGTATGGCTTTGAAACTTACCATACTTGTTCACCATCATAACCTCCATCTACAGACAAGAGTACATAACTCTGTCAAGGTTTTTGACAGAATTATGGCCCTTTTTTGACTTAGAAAGTGTATTGAGCTTGGTTAAGTTTTTTGTACCACCTCACTTTATTTCAAAACCATTGGAGGTATTGCTTTGAAACTGACCATACTTGTTTACCATCACGACCTTCATCAACAGACAAGAGGACATAACTCTGTCAAGGTTTTTGACAGAATTATGCCCCTTTTTGACTTAGAAAATACATTGAATATGGATAAAATCCACTTATTGCCTTAACCCTTTGAGATATTGCTTTGAAACTTTTAATGCTATTTCACATCATTACCCCCATCTGTACGCAAGAGAAGGTAACTCTGTCAAGGATTTGTTTTAAAAATTAAGGCCTTTTATCGACTTAGAATCTTGGTTAAGTTTTTAGTACCAGTCCACTTTTTGACTGAACTGTTTGAGATATTAATTTGAAAGTTGGAATACTTGTTTACCATCATGGTCCCAAAACATGGGCAGGAGAAGGTAATTCTGTTAAGGATTTTATTTGAATTATGGCCCTTTTTGACTTAGAAACTCAGTTAAGATTTTCATTCTTGTCCACTTGTTGACTTAACCATTTGAGATATTACTTTGGAAGTTGGAGTTCTTATGTGCCATCATGAGACCTATCTGTAAGCAAGAGAAGATAACTCTGTGAAAATGTTTCTTGATTTGTACTTAGAAATTCCTAGTTAAAGTCTTGTGTGCCCTTAACTGTCAAAGTTTTGTTTTATAGGCAAGCACTAAAAAAGTCGAGCGCGCTTGTCCTTCTGACAGCTCTTGTTTTTTACTTGCTATTTGTAGTAAGCTTAAGTAAACACTTTTATGGTATTTTCAATCTTTACAAATTTGAGCAAATCTTATGGCAAAAAAAAAACCATTGGCATTGTTTTCTATGATTTTATTTTAAGGCCTTACCTTTACATTATTCTTTTGGTAATTCAGAAATTATGGTAAATAATCAACATCCATTCTAGCTTGCATTTTGTTTTATTCTTCATAGTACAGGTCCGTTTATACTATTTAATGACAAAGTGTAAGTTTAAGTTCATGTTAAAGTTAGTCTTTTATGCCTCTTTCATGGCTTTAGCTAAACATTTGTGATCTTACTATGATCTTATTATGATAATCTTTAAAAAAAGAATGGAATAAAGAAATGTATTCATTTTTGTACAGGCTCTGGAGTATGAACAGTTTTGAGATATTGTCAAAGACAACATTGGAACAAAAGATACGCTCCTGTGCATTTGACAATGACGGAGGACAATTAGCAGTTGGAATGATGGATGGATCTTTTATTGTTCTCAAATCTAGGTATTTAGCATTTTACTACTTTTATTGAAAAATGAGAACAATTTGAAATATCAAGTTTTGAAAAAATTATTACCATTACTTGATTTCTTTACAGATGATTAACTAATTAGTCAAAACTATCAATATTTTCAATTTTGTATCAATATTTGATGGACAGAAAAGTATCAACGATACATTGTTATTGTTTCTATCGATGGCAACTCTACCTTTTATGCATTATTTCAGGCACAGTTGGTCACCTAATTAGAACCACAAATGTTTTGTATGTTAGCTGGATAGCTTTCGTAATGAAAGCATTTGACGTGCATGGAGGGAATAGAAACCCTCGGCATTGTGGGACAAGTAATAAGGAGAGTAATCGTAAATTAGATTTTTTTCAACTTTATATTTTTTCTATCCAGGGACCTGTCAGAAGTCATACATATCAAGGACAGGAAGGAAGTTATACATGAACTCAAATATTCACCCTGTGGTAAATATCTGGCTGTCGGCTCGAACGACAATTTTGTCGACATTTATTCGGTAGAGCAGAGATATAAACGTGTCGGCACATGCTCGGGGAGTTCTAGCTTTATCACACATCTTGACTGGTCGGAGGATAGCAAGTACATACAGACAAACAGTGGAGCTGCAGAGAGACTTGTGTTTAAGATGCCAGGTAATACATATAAGGTGTTCAATCTTCATTAGCATGATATAATAATAATTCAATTCTTTTATTACTGCTTGAAAATGAAAAAATATTAAAGACATAATATCCAATGTAATATCTGTCACAGAACAGAAGTGGCCACTTAAAGGGAAAAACTTTTGTAAGCAGCATGGTAATCCAGTTTTGTGGAGATGCTTAACAATATTCTTTAGGTCTCAGTTGTTGTCATTGGGGTTGAAGCCACTCTCTTAAAAAAATTTACCCAACTTTTTCTCATGAGAACTTTTTTTTATACTTTTTTTTTTTAACCATTATCACCCTAACTATTATAATGAACTTGTCTATCTTTCATTTTGGTCACAACTATTCATCATTTTTAGGTAAAATTGGAATAGAAAGTACTTACTTTATCGCCAATGGTACAGGTCATGATTAGGTGGAATAGATATGCTGGATGATCTTGGCCTGCATTGGTTAAATGTGTATATTCAGTTGCTGCTAGGAGGCTCAGAGTCAAACTATGACAAAAGGTGTATGTTGGAGAGCATGTATTGATGTAACTTGTATTTTTGTTTAAAAGTTTTTTACTTAAGTTCTCTATTGGTAGTGAATTTATAATTACATGCTATTTGGTGGTTGATAGTGAATGACTGGTTCGTTTATTCCAGCTGGGAAACAGGCCACAAACAAAGATGAACTTGGCGCCATTCACTGGTCATCGTTTACGGGTGTGTTAGGTCAGGAGGTGAACGGTATTTGGGAGAAGTACACGGACACAAATGATGTAAATGCCGCAGATGCTTACTTTGAAGGCGAGACTGTCGTGACTGGCGATGATTTTGGTCTCGTGAAACTCTTCAAATTTCCTTGTTTGAAAAAGGGTAAGTTTTTACTTATCTGTTGTTTTGATCTCTGTATACATATCATATTCTTCAGCTTTATTTTCTTCTGGTTGAAGTAGTCTAGCAATTTAGTCATCAAGATAAATAAACAGCATAGTGGTTATTTGAGTTGAAAAAGATCATACATTTCTTTATAAAAGTTTAAGCTTTAAATTTTCATGTTATGCTGTTTAAATTTGTTTTGTTTTTAAATTATTTATCAAAACATATACATTTACTTCATGCATTTCTTAAACAGACTTGCCCATCTTTCATTTTTGGAACTGCCTATAATCAATTAAGTGGGTAACATGGTGACATTTTGGTTTAAGTAAGCTATATAGAGCCTGGTCAGGCTGCACAGAAGTGTAGGCTGCCGTTGGTTTATACTAGTATTAAAGAAGGGTTGATTTTTTAATAGCATTCTTGATTTTAAGACAATTCAACCTGCTTTGTACATTTAAGAATAATAGGTTTATCAAAAATTTTCAAGGTGCCAAGTTTCGGAAATATGTCGGTCACTCAGCTCACGTCACCAATGTTCGATTTTCCAACGATAAGCAGCGTGTTATATCAACTGGAGGCGGAGATCATGCTATATTCCAGTGGAAATTTCTCCCGGCTGGTCACTCGGAAAATGACATGGCAGATCCACAACATGGTGGGTAGTCATTATTACATTACATTACTACTTTCAAACTGAATATATTTTACTCCTGTGAACAAATACTTTATACTTCAATCATGTTTACATTGAATTTTAGTAAATAGTTTATACAGACTTTATTTTAGTTTGATTGTTTAGAAAACTTTAAGCTTACAGACACTCGCTTGAATCCCTTCCTGGAACCAACCAGTAATGAGTGTAAAATTTATTACTGAAGGAAACAGCATCTAGAGATCCCTAGATTACTATCTGGCATGTTAACCAGAGGTTAACCACTCAGGCAAAGGGCCACCACATACATTGTATTTTAGCTTTATTTTGATGAAATTTTGAAATATATTTAATCATATAAGGAAATATGGTTGTGACCAAGTAGGATTTATAACTGAAATCCATAGGTACTTGGCAGCCATATGCCAAATGGTAAATTAGTAATACATAGGCTGTATATATAGTATAAATTGCTGATTTAGTTCTTTTTTCTGCAAATCATCAATTTTAATGTAAAAACTTTAAAATGACTTGTACAAAAATGTATTATTTAGCCATGAAAAATAAATGAGATAGGAAGTTGATGCACTATCTAGGTAGCATACAAAGGAAGTTGATTCCACTCTGATACCTTCTAATGCATAAAGAGGCACTTTTTAGCTCGACTTTTCTATGAAAAGGGGAGCTATCCTACTCGCCCCGGCGTCGGCGTCGGCGTTGGCGTCACACCTTGGTTAAGTTTTTCGTACCACCCCACTTTATTTCAGAAGTATTACAAGTATGGCTTTGAAACTTACCATACTTGTTCACCATCATAACCTCCATCTACAGACAAGAGTACATAACTCTGTCAAGGTTTTTGACAGAATTATGGCCCTTTTTTGACTTAGAAAGTGTATTGAGCTTGGTTAAGTTTTTTGTACCACCTCACTTTATTTCAAAACCATTGGAGGTATTGCTTTGAAACTGACCATACTTGTTTACCATCACGACCTTCATCAACAGACAAGAGGACATAACTCTGTCAAGGTTTTTGACAGAATTATGCCCCTTTTTGACTTAGAAAATACATTGAATATGGGTAAAATCCACTTATTGCCTTAACCCTTTGAGATATTGCTTTGAAACTTTTAATGCTATTTCACATCATTACCCCCATCTGTACGCAAGAGAAGGTAACTCTGTCAAGGATTTGTTTTAAAAATTAAGGCCTTTTATCGACTTAGAATTAAATTTATTTAAGGCTCAACTCAGTTTTTTTTTTCTTTCTTACCAGCCCTCTTTTGACTTAAACATTTCAAACTTTGCTGCAGTGTTCAAGGGTATCACACAATTCAGTAAAATAATTCTTCACTAAATATCTTAATGCTCATGGCCATTGTTCACTTTAAAAATACAGAGATTCTTGTATTGCCTTTTACTGCAAAAACTTTTTTTATTGGCAAGCAATAAAAAAGTCGAGCGCGCTGTCTTACGGACAGCTCTTGTTTCCTTCAACAGTAAAGCTGAAAACGCACTATATGACATTTACTTTGTTGATCGAATTAAAAACCTATCAAAGTGACAAGTGAAATGAACAAACTCTCATGCTTATATCATACAGCAGAACCTAATATGTGCATCTGAATTAGCTCCCTTGGTTACAATACAGGTTTTGTGGACTCTAACAGTGAGGAGAGTGACTCTGACTTAAGTGATGTTGGGGCTATAGACAGTGATCTGGAACAAGAGAAACAAGTGTCCTATCAGCGTTCTATATACCGGGAAGATGCCGTCAAAATGAAGAAACTTATGAAGGAAGAATTGGGTGCGGGCAAGAAAAGGAAAATGGCTCCAGCTGATAGTCTGAAGCTAGAGTTTGTTCACGGGTATGTCAGATTTTTAACCAGGTTTTCCGAAGGAAAAAACTGGTTATTAGATTGAGGAATGTCGGCGGGCGGGCGGACGGGCGGGCGGGCGGACGGGCGGGCGGGCGGGCGTAAACAATTTCTTCTGTGCGCAACTCCTCCTACATTTCTCAACGGATTTTGACCAAACTTTCACAGAAGCTTTGTCATCAAGTGCCCTGGCGCATATTGTCGGGGTTTTGCGATTAGATAATATTTGACCTAATTATGGCCCTTTGTTTTTTTTCCTTATATAAAATATATAGTGAACAATTTCTTCTGTGCGCAACTCCTCCTACATTTCTCAACGGATTTTGACCAAACTTTCTCAGAAGCTTTGTCATCAAGTGCCCTGACACATATTGCCAGGGTTTTGCGATTAGTATATATTTGACCTAATTATGGCCCTTTGTTTTTTTTCCTTATATAGAATATATAGTGAACAATTTCTTCTGTGCGCAACTCCTCCTACATTTCTCAACGGATTTTGACCAAACTTTCACAGAAGCTTTGTCATCAAGTGCCCTGGCGCATATTGCCAGGGTTTTGCGATTAGATAATATTTGACCTAATTATGGCCCTTTGTTTTTTTTCCTTATATAAGATATATAGTGAACAATTTCTTCTGTGCGCAACTCCTCCTACATTTCTCAACGGATTTTGACCAAACTTTCTTAGAAGCTTTGTCATCAAGTGCCCTGACACATATTGCCAGGGTTTTGCGATTGGTATATATTTGACCTAATTATGGCCCTTTGTTTTTTTTCCTTATATAGAATATATAGTGAACAATTTCTTCTGTGCGCAACTCCTCATACATTTCTCAACGAATTTTGACCAAACTTTCTTAGAAGCTTTGTTATCAAGTGCCTGGCACATATTGTCGGGGTTTTGTGATTGGATAATATTTGACCTAATTATGGCCCTTTGTATATTTTTTCCTTATACAGAATATATAGAGAACAATTTCTTCTGTGCTCAACTCCTCCTACATTTCTCAACGGATTTTGACCAAACTTTCTTAGAAGCTTTGTTTTCAAGTACCTGGCACATATTGTCGGGGTTTTGTGATTGGATAATATTTGACCGAATTATGGCCCTTTGTATATTTTTTCCTTATACAGAATATATAGTGAACAATTTCTACAGTGCTCAACTTCTCCTACATTTCTCAATGGATTTTGACCAAACTTTCACAGAAGCTTTGTCATCAAGTGCCCTGGCGCTCACTAAATTCCCATGTTTCTTCCAAGACATCATTCAAGTATTTTTTTAAAATTGTGAACATACTTTTCTTGATATCGCACAAAACACCACACGCCAATATTGTTGACAAAAGAAAATGACAAGAGACGCAAAAATGCAAAAATTAAGCAAAAATAAAGTACTGTTTACCTTTCTAAAACATTTGGGAAAAAAAGGCGAATAGACAACATAAAATTTCTCAATCATTTTTGTTTGAGGAATATTAAAAAAGCCATAATTCCTCCTAAAAGTTCAATTAAAAACAAATGCCCCTTCATGACAAATCTTCTGTGAAATATTTTGCTGAAAACCTGGTTGCATCGCATTGCGATGTTCCTTGTTACCTTTTTGTGAAGTGTATTTTATGCTGGTTTGGTCTAGGAATTTTTAAGTTATGAAACTAGGTAAATCAACAAGAAAAATTATTTCTGATTTAAGCCATATTATGAATTTTTATACAGTCATAGGGACATTGTGACGCAATTTTTGGAAAAATGGGTATTTTTGCCATTTGAAATAGGACTTTCTACTGGACCTGTCTAAAGGAGGTTTGAAAAATTTGAAAAAATAAAAACCCTTTTCAAAACCCCAATTTCACAGTACTAGGCTCATTTAGTTTCTGTTTGAGATTTTTTATTGTTGAGTTATTTTTATATCTTATTACCTTGAATGCATGCTTGTTTGTATTTGTTTTTTTTAAAGACATTTCAAATTTCATCTTTTAATATATTATATATATTAAATTTTTTTCCCCTATTGCCATTTTTTTTCTTTTGTAAAATCATGCACTATCTAATTTCTTTATTTCAGTTACCGAGGCTATGACTGTAGGAATAATTTATTTTACACACAGTCTGGGGAAATTGTGTATCATGTAGCAGCTGTAGCTATACTATATAACAAGGAGAAAAATGCTCAAAGATTTTACCTGGAACATACAGATGATATCCTTTGTCTCTCAATACATCCTCTCAAAGACCTTATAGCAACTGGACAGGTATGTCATTATATTAGTACAGTGTGTTGTTAAGGCAAAAGAAAGTTCGGTTTCTGGTCTCCGACACCAACAAAAAGAGTGTATATACTATATAGGCTGAAATTTCTGTTTTTATGTATATTTTATATAATTTTATGTATAAATTGTAAAGAAATTGTTTTGTAGAGACAGAAAGGCAATTAAAGTTCTAGCATCTGTTGTTATAAAATTTTGAAGATAGGGAGACCCAAAGGTTATTTGCCCTAAGAAAAGCTTTTACAATGAAATTGAACTCCACCCAAACTGAAAGCTGTTATTATTGCCAATTTTCAGTTTTACTTTATTTTGCATATTTATAGAAACAGAGGGGTTTTCTACTAATTGTCTTGTCTCTGTCAAAGTTGTGGATTTTTTTTTTGATTTTTTGTTCAAGATTTATGTGCAAATACAAAGGCTGCAAAAGTAATAATAATGAATGAATGGATTTTTTGATAAAATCTTCACAGGTGTATTTTTTCAATATTCAACTTTTCTGACATAATATATCCTGTAACTGTAGCTGGTTTATAGTCTGCAGATAGACTTTTTTACTTTTCAGACAGGTTGAAATTTTGCATTCAAGTTCTATCTCCATAACCACTGAAGAACTTAAATGTAAAATTCACATGGTTTACAGGACTGTCACTGAATAAGCCACTTTGCCCTGACTACAAATTACAGAATACAGGAAATCTGTTCTTTTATAAATAGGATTATTCTTGATTAAAACTAGATAAAGTTAGCTTGATTTATAACAGCTTTACTTGTTTGAATTGACAGGTTGGCAGAGATCCTTCAGTACATGTGTGGGATGCTGAGACACTAAAATCTGTCTCAGTGCTCAAAGGTCACCATGAAAGGGGAGTGTGTGCAGTGGACTTCTCAGGTATTGTAGACCTGGATTTATTTGCGATAGATTAATATTGGCTTATGTTTGTGAATATTTGCAAACCCTTTTTTAGCTCACCTGTCACAAAGTGACAGGTTGAGCTTTTGGATCGCTTTTCGTCCGTCGTCCATCCGTCGTCCATCCATAAACTTTTACTTTAAATGACATCTCCTCAAAAACCACTAAGTCAATTTCATCCAAACTTCACAGGAATGTTCCTTTGGTGGTCACTTTTAAAAATTGTTCAAAGAATTTAATTCCATGCAGAACTCTGGTTGCCATGGCAACCGAAAGAAAAAACTTTAAATATCTTCTTTTAAAAAACCCTAAGAGCTAGAGCTTAGATATTTGGCATGAAACATCTTCTAGTGAGTGTCTACCAAGTTTGTTCAAATAAAAGCCCTGGGGTCAAAATTGGCCCGGCCCCAGGGAGTCATTGATTTTCCCTATATGCATATAATAAAAACTTTGAAAATCTTCTTTTAAAGAACCCAAAGAGCTAGAGCTAAGATATTTAGCATGAAACATCTTCTAATGAGTGTCTACCAAGTTTGTTCAAATAAAAGCCCTGGGTTCAAAATTGGCCCCGCCCCAGGGGGTCATTGATTTTCCCTATATGCATATAGTAAAAACTTTGAAAATCTTCTTTTAAAGAACCCAAAGAGCTAGAGCTAAGATATTTAGCATGAAACATCTTCTAGTGAGTGTCTACAAAGTTTGTTCAAATAAAAGCCCTGGGGTCAAAATTGGCCCCACCCGGGGGTCATTGATTTTCCTTATATGTGTATAGCAAAAACTTAAAAAATCTTCTTTGAAAAAACCCAATGAGCTAGAGCTTAGATGTTTAGCATGAAACATTTTCTTATTGGTGTCTACCAAGTTTGTTCAATTGTTCAAATAAAACCCCTTGGGTTAAAATTGGCCCTTGGGGGGGGGGGGGGGAGGGCCTATATACAGGTGAGCGACCTCAGGGCCATCATGGCCCTGTTGTTTCTATGAATTCATAGTAAAAATCATTTAGCCTCATATTGTTAATATCTTATTTATTAAGCAACACTTTTGATTTGAAATAAGATAATGGCTTGAATACACAAATAAAGATAAATACATTTTGTTTTTTGCAAAAAACCTTCAAAAATTGTGACAACACAAATTTAAGCATTCTTCAGTAAATTACCAATGTTGGCAAAGTCAAAGTTTATATCAGTCCATTTATATGGTTTGATTATTACTACATTTTTAAAAATACAAATGTTTAAGAGTCAAATACTAATAAAGTTTTGGTTTTTTTTGTTACAGGAGATGGCAAGAAACTTGTGTCAGTAGGTCTGGATGATAACCATTCTATTGTAGTTTGGGATTGGAGGAAGGGAGAGAAACTAGCAACAACTAGGTATATATCCTTTACACAATTACTTCCCTTTATTTAAAAAATCAATCCAAATCAAGAGCAAGGAAAGTTTTGAAGGAATATGAAAATTGGAATTGTGTGTTTGCTAATTATAGCAGTTAAATTGAATTGTATGAGGAGATAAAAAAATATGTTTTGTTTTATTGAAACTGAACATTCTTTTTCACTGAAATTTAACCTATTACAGAAGTTTCAATATAATTGAAACCGCAGCTATTGAAGTTAAGTTTCATCAAATCTTACCTTGTTATTGAAGTTTCTTTCATTTCAAAGAAAAAACAAGAATACTATGTGGGGGAAAAGTGCACTTTTATTCCAAACAAACAAATAAACAAACAAAAATTTAATCAAAATGATGGTATCTTTTCTTGTTTTTCATGATCAATGATGCAAGTTTAAGAGCTATGTTTTATTTTATATTTCAGGGGTCATAAAGATAAGATATTTGTGGTGAAATGGAATCCATTTGATAACAACAAACTTATCACAGTTGGTATAAAACATATCAAATTCTGGACACAGGCAGGTAGGTATCATTGAAATAATAGATCATATTTAATGTTGTTTGTTGATAAAACAAATTTTTGTGTCGAAAAAAAATTTAGTGAAAAGTTGAACATTATCATTCAAGGCCATCTTGATTGTACAGTAGCCATGTCGGAGAATCATGTCTTCTGATCAAGGTCATGGCATTTTTTTTTTCAAAAACCAAAATGGACATTGAGCTTCTTTCATTCAGCTACAACCCCTCAAATTCTTTGATCTGAGAAAGCCTTTTCGCTGGCTTATAGATCAGTCGTTCTTTTTTCCTTGAAAAAGTTAAGACAAAAGAATAAAAAATACAGCAGTGTTCTCAAAGTCTTGGGGATATTGTGTTCTCTGGACTTTTTCATTTTTCTCATCTTTCTATTACTTCATGTCAAATTTTTGTGATAAACTTGAACTAACTGTATATTTTTCAATTTACCATATGTTTTAACCAATCATAGGTGGAGGGTTCACTTCAAGTCGAGGAACATTTGGAAAGGTAGCAAAGAATTGTGATATGCTATGTATAGCTTTTGGAAAGACTGAAGACCTAACATACTCTGGTGGCAGTGATGGTCATGTGTTTGTTTGGGCTGGAACTAACTTACAAAAGACTGTGAAGGCTCATGAAGGTCCTCTGTTTGCCATGCATTCATTGGATAAGGTAATTAGTGTTTATAATAATATCAAATCTTTACATTGTTAAGGGTTTAACAAGACATTGTTAGGTTTATAAAGATTATTTAAATTTTAAAGGGACTCCACTGAGGTTTTTTGACATGACAGGACTGGCAAAAATTTTCAAAGGTTATTGTTTCATTTGATGTACATGTAGTTCTAGACCAAGAACTTATGTGCAAAATTTCAGTTTATTTGCTGTCTCTGTTTTTCCAGAATAATGTACTGAATTTGATAATTGACCCAAAATTGAAAAGTGCTGCAAGGCTTTACACACAATTCGGGATAAGAATAGCTTAAATGTATTATTTTCAATTTTTGATTTTCACATCCACCTTTTTGTTTTGAAATCTTAAAAGTGTCAATTCTATTCTATTAAAAAAATCTGTTTAACCTTTGTGGTTTTTATTGTAATACTTGTAATACAAGAAAATGTAGAAAGTAGGACCTCTGCTTGGAATTTAAAAGTTGTAATATATTTTAACCATTTAAAGAAACCAAAACTTATGTTCAGTGTATATGTATGTAGAAAAAACAGTCCGCCCTTTAAATTCAATAGAGAGAGCATCAAAATGTAATCCAGGGGATGCTGGTTTGATCTTCAAGGTAGGTGAAATTTTTCTGTGATAATTGATCTCACGATCGGTCTTATGATCTGTTAAAAAATCATGTGGGATTAATAGCTGGTCACTTGCCGAGAAGTTTGTAATTACTAGTAAGTTATCCAGAAAACAATGTGTTACGATAAGAGATTATGATTAATTTTTTGAAGGGATTTGTAACTGGAGGTAAAGATGGAGTTATAGGCCTCTGGGATGATCAGTTTGATAGATGCTTAAAGAACTACAATATCAAACAAGAGAACCTATCCCAGCAGTCTCGGGGTCGTCTGCTCACCGACTCGCCTGCTGTACGTGCCATAGTGTTAGGACATGGTAAAATTCTTGTGGGAACAAAGAATGGCGAGATTCTAGAGGTTGATAAAGCAGGGCCGATGACACTTCTTACGCAAGTATGTATTACATTTTGTAGATAGATATAAACATTCTTTTTTGTGTCCGATATAACAGAGGAGTAGAAAGCTCATTTCTATAGCTGTTGACTTTTTTTTTTTTGCCGCAACATTTTCCACATCTGCATCCTGTGCAAGACCAAGAGCAGCAAGCACATCCCTGCTGTCTGATCATGGTCTGCCCTGTTTGCTATTAAGTCACTACATATTTAAAAAATTTTCCTTAAAACAATGAATGTTTTAGTCCAGATTGAAGATGGACAAGTCCATTTAAAATATTAAGCATGGTATGGGTTAAAGTAATGTATATAACAGTCAGCCAACATTTTTTTCAGTTTTTGAGAACAACAAAAAATATTTTTGTGTAAACCATATTAAGTTCTTATATTTTTATTGACATTTGTTTTGATATTCTCAGGGACATTTGGAGGGAGAAGTATGGGGTCTATCTGTCCATCCTATCAAAGATTTCTGTGTGACAACCAGTGATGATAAGACACTTCGTGTGTGGGATATCTCAGATTCTCACAAGTTGGTCAACTTTAAAATACTCAAACAGGGAGCTAGATGTGTAGATTTCTCACCAGACGGCAAATTCCTGGCTATCGGCCTGAGAGACGGTGAGTTAAAACCTAAAATTGTTGGTATATCGCAGTTCTTTGTTTTGGGCATATATGCCATAATGTCCCGGACTTCAGGGATTGTCCCAGAAAAAAGGTATCTGTCCCGGTGGTGTCCCGAAAATTAGCCTTAAAAGTATGGCATGTATGGTTTTGGGGCTTAATAAATTCTATTGCTTTTGGCTAAAATAATAAAATAATATTAAATTTCTTTTTTCTCTATAGATATATAGAGCCAGATCAGACTGCTTTCATGATGTTTGACCAGACTTTATACTGTAGCCTGCCTTTTAAACCCCACTTAGGGGTTAGGGAAGTGGGGAAAATAGATTTGCCCTTGTTTTCCCCTGACCATCCTTCTGTCCACAAAACAGTGGAAATAGAGCGACTTTGTGTCCACAGTGGACACATTTCATGTTTCGTAATTCTTCTCATTATGATGGGAATAATTTTAATTATATATTTGTATAATATACTAATATATACATGTATAGTGTGATTGGCATGGTACCATGTCAAACGATTAAACTACAAGACTAACATATGTAATTCAATTATTTTGAATCATCTTTTCACAGGAAGCTTTATGGTGGTCAATTCAGACAGTATGGAAGAAGTTATTTCATTACATCATAGAAAGGAAGAGATTGCTGATATAAAATTTTCTCCAGGTAAATTTTCCTATCCCATCAAAGTATTGTGGATACTTTTACAGCTGTGGTCTGTTGTCACTGACCTTTAATCATTTGTCTGTCGAATCTTACCTAAGGACCTTAGATTTATTCATGTAATGTAGTCAGACAGGAAGACAGTTGTTCGGTATTCTCTCATCAGTTAAGCTGTAAATTTGCCTGTATGACCTTGATTTTAAGATTAAAATCCCATATCAAGAAAACAAACAAAAAAAAAACAACAACAAAAACAACACACACACACACAAAAACATGTAGAAATTACCTGCGTGTAAAAATTCCTTATTTATATTAATTATGATGGACCAAAAAATATTTTTTTATTTTAAAACTTAAAAGTCTCATTTTCCAAAACATTTTGTTTGTATTTTCTATCTTTAAAGGGGGGGGGGGGGGGGTCATTGCAAAAATAGATTTTTTCTGCTTGAAGTCAAATTTGATGCATTATTATAGATTTGTTGCAGACATGCAATAAATGTAGTACATGCATATGTTGGTTTTGATTGTACTTACACAAATGGTCATTTACATGTACTTTTCCCTATTGGTTCTACTTTAGAATGTTATTGATTAATTAAGTACATCAATGGTGAATGTATATTCATAATTTCAGAAATCATAATTCTTAATTTTATTTTTCAGATACAGGAAAATACTTGGCTGTGGCATCCCATGACAATTTTGTGGACATATACAATGTTCTCGGCCAGAAACGAGTGGGAACATGTAAAGGGGCATCAAGCTATATTACTCATATTGATTGGGACAAACAAGGTTAGTTACATTTTTGAAAAAAAGTAATAAGCTGGTTGTTGAGTATAGATAAAATTAATACATCTATGATAAGTTGGAATATCTTTACCACTTTAACTGCCCTATAAAATCTAATAAGCAATTACCATACATGAAGCAACAAAAGGATCAAAAAAACATCTTGCAATAAAGACTCTAAAAGGTCTGGGGCATGCAAAAAGAACCTGATTGACCTGTTGCAATATAAAATTTTGGAGAAGCATCCATTTGACATGGAACAAGATCAATAATCAAGTAAGCTTCCAGCTGACCTTGAAAAAAAAAATCTAGTTAACTCACTGCTTTTCTGTATGTTATTATATAGAGCTCCATATGCATGTACCTTTTGTTCAAACATCCCCTTTGTTATAGGGAAAGTAATCATGGTAAATTCTGGAGCAAAGGAGCAATTATTCTTTGAGGCACCACGAGGGAGAAGGATCACTCTTAGAAATCAAGAAATTGAGAAATTTGACTGGCACTCATGGACATCGGTTCTAGGCGTGACCTGCGAGGGTCTGTGGCCACCAAAATGTGACATAACGGACATTAACGCCACTTGTGCAGCCAGTGATATGTCTGTGATTGCTACAGCTGACGATTTTGGATTTGTGAAACTTTTCAACTATCCAGCGAAGGTGAGATTTCATAAGATAAATTGCAAATGTTAGGAATTTCACATGTCGTATTTTTTAGATGATATTTTAAGAACTGTGTCTTAAAAATAAAATATTGATATCATTTTTCTGATGCAGTTTACTTTTATTTCAGTTGAAATTTATGATAATGTAAGAATATACTAGTATACACTTGAAAAATACTCTATTAAAATAGAGTTCTAAAGCGGAAAATGAAATAAAATCTTATACATTGCTGACAGAAATGTGACTTTGAGGATATTAAATTGTAAAGAAATTATAAAAAATTGAATAAGTTTTCATTACTTTATTGCTCTTTTGGTGGCATTAAGAACTAGCTGAAAAAAAGTCTTTGATATTTAGATGTATAAATATACAAAAAATAAATTATGATAACAAGTAGGCAATAAAAACTTATTCAATTTATATGAATAGTTCTAACTCTAAAAATATGTGAAATATTTTGTTTATTTATAGGGAAAATTTGCAAAGTACAAGAAATATGTAGGTCACAGTGCCCACGTGACCAACTGTAGATTTTCCAAGGGAGATAAGAAACTTGTAACTACAGGCGGAGCAGACACATCTGTCATGGTTTGGAATCACATCGCGGCAGTAAATAGAACAACTGCGTGCGGGGAGAGTGACGAGTCGGATACTGACTCTGAAGAAGAAGGAGGTATGTTAAAATGTTTATTTAAAGCTGCATGTCTTCAAATGAGTCAAAATATTTCAAGAATTAAACTTGAGAAAATTTAATGTAAGATTTTAAGAAAAGAAAAAAGTATAAAAATTTTGAATTTTAATAAAGAATTTTCCCCTGAATTCTTGAAAATGACCTTACACTTTCCTGTTAAAGAAATTTCTAAGAGTGTACCACTGGCAGGTCTATACAGATTTACAGAAGTTTTTATTGTAGACAGATGATAATGGTTAGTATATAACCCTATATATATATATTACAGGATATGATAGTGATGTTGAGAGGGAGAAGAACATAGATTATTCCAAGAAAATTTACCTGAATCCAATACAAGAGAAAGATGGTGTGAGACCTCATCTTCAGGAGATAAAAACTGTTGATAAGTAAGTTGTTGTTTTTTGTTGTTGTTTTTTTGGGTTTTTTTTGTGTTTTTTTTTAAAATCTCCTTTGCAGTCTGACCTATCAGACTCTATACTGTTGGTAGATCAATTTTTGTATTTTGACAAAGAATTCCATTTAACTTTGAATGGACTGTTCCATGTTGAAAGTTGGGTTATTCCATTACGCAAATTCAGTAGGTTAAATGTTAAATTTTCAGTATCAATAATGACAGACCTTTGCAACCAATAAAGAGCCAGGCCAGCGTGTACACCCATGCTGTCAGTATAGACACTAATCTGTTAGCTGGTGAAAGTTTTTTTGTTGTTTTTTTTTTTTTTTTTTTTTTTTGGTTTTTTCAAAAATATCCTTGATGCATTTCAGGCCAAGTGTGAGTAGAAGTGCTCCAGAACCTCCGAAAGTAAAGAGAGCTGAAACACCGCTGACCTCTGGTGGTAAAAGAAGGAAAACTACGCAAGTCACTGTAAGTAAGCTTATTATTTACCGAAAGTATAATCAGTCTTTAAATCCTATCAAAAATAATGACTTGCCTATGCAACCAGTACACAGGCAATACTGTATATATACATGTAGACTGACCAGTCTGTATACCATTGGCTTCTGAATTTAAGCTTTTTATTTTAAAACATGTGCAAATAACAATGGACCCTTAACATATTTAAATTAACAAGATGTGTATGTTGTACATGAAGTGTCCAAATCTAGCTTAAGAGAATGGCTTCATGAAGATTAATTTGGCAAATATTTAGCATTCTAACAACTGTAATGTTCATGAAATTCCTATTATATACTGTATATTATACATGTTTGCTGAAATACTTTTACCTGAAATACTGACAGATTTTACTACACGGTTTGTTACTGTAGCTCATTTTATATTTGATTGTTTTAGAGCAAATAAGTAGCTTCTTTACTCAAACTTATTTCTTGCTATGTAATGTTGACAAGTGTACAAAGAGCTGTAACTCTTGCACTTGATCTGTATTGTTTTTCTTCCCTTATTAAGAGATCAGACTGAATAATAAATAAATCTTGAGTTTTAAAAGGAAAAAAAGACCAAAAAAATTGTATGCTGTGATAAAATTTAATGAAACCATTATGAGTCTTTATGAGAAAATTTTTAAAGAAAACATGTGTATTTATACAGGATCTACAGTTAGAGTATATCCATGGTTACCGTGGGTTTGATGCACGCAATAACTTACACTATGTAAATGATGGTGCAGATATTGTCTTCCACGCAGCCGGAGCGGGAATTGTGAAAAATATAGCTTCAGGTTATTATATAACTTCTTGTTACTTTTATTAGTGTTGCCATTTTTTTTAACGTTCGGTATGTATACTTCCATTCAGAAACCTGTATTTTAGATAAATTAAACCTTAAAATGGAACCAAAAGTTTAGAGCCTTATCTATCTGTAGTGAACTCACATCTTCATAGTCTAAACAGACTATACTGTCAGTAGACTATAGTGTTGGCTGGTCAACTTAATATTTTCATCATGATATCCCTAAAGTTGATATTGGACAGTCCCAAAAAAACAGAAGCTGGACAAGTCCATTAAAGAAATTCAGCTTTGAAGGGGTTAGATCATCAGATGTACCTTTTATGTTCATCTATATGTAAAATCAATGTATTATGTTAGAAATTGCCTTTTCTGCAGGTATATTTCTTAGGTTTTGAATTTAACAAGATGTTTATGTGAAATGATTAAAATTCATGAATGTCAAAAACAGTTAAATGATGTAATAAACATATATGATTTTCCTTTTATTTCAGGGAGTCAGTCATTCTATTTACAGCACACTGATGACATCATTTGCCTTGCCATTAACCAACATCCAAAGTTTAAAAGCATAGTAGCTACTGGACAAATTGGCAACCCGCCAAGTGTACATATCTGGAATACCGTTACCAAGGAAACACTGTCAATACTAAGGGGAGAGCACTCTAAGGGCGTATGTGCAGTGGATTTCTCATGCACTGGGAAGTATGTAGTCACTGTTGGCTTGGAGAATAACGTGACAGTTTGGAGATGGCAGGAAGGTAATATTGCTTAAATATTGTTTGTAATTAAAAATATTTTCAATTAGAATAATTTACTGATATTACATGTGATCAGTTGTCACTATGATTCACTGTGCAGTTATTTTTAACTTTAATCAAGAATATTAGAGTTGTCTAACTCACGTTGTATGTGGCGTCTTACCTTGGCTGCGTCAAACTAATATTGGTGGAAATTTTGCATGGTACTTTGTTTCTCATGAACCTTTAAATGTTTTCCCATGAATCTTCACTCACACATGTCCTTAGATTCATGTGTGTGAGTTCTAGCATTGACTTTTACAGAATTATTCCCATTTATGACTGTAGAAATTTCTAATTTCTGCAATATCAATGTTCTTGTTTTACTATCAAAGGGATGAGAATAGTTCAATATGCGATCTGCCCAAAGATATATGCTTCTGAAAAAATATTCGAATTGCTGTCATTTTGGCAAAGAATAGTGTTATTTATAATTTCCTATAAGAATTAAAAAGATATTGCAGAATTGTTTACTCTATAGTTGGTTGTTTTTCACAGGTGCTTGTTTAGCAACTGCCTCAGCTCACAGTGAAAGAATATTCCGAGCCGAGTTCCGGCCTGACTCTGATAGTCAGTTTGTTACTGTTGGTGTGAAACATGTGAAATTTTGGACAGTTGCTGGAAACCAGCTGATGGGTAAGAGAGCTGTTCTAACTGATGCTGGAATGGGAACCGATATAAAGAAATTACAGACAATGTTGTCAGTCGGGTTTGGTGCAGTAAGTTCATTTCTCTATAATAACATTTGATAAAAAATTGATCTGCATTTCTTAAACTGGTCAAAGTTATAACTGATGAACATTTTCACAAACTTTAATTACAGTGTTTTCATATTATGATATATTTATTGTCATATAATGATATATTTATCGTCATATCAACAAAACATGTCTCTTCTCTTAATTCATAATAAACCACAGGTGAGCTTTTGTAACTCAGGTTACAGGGACTCAGGTGAGTAGTCAAGGGCCATCGTGATTGCATTTTCCAGCATTAAGATTATACCTTAGGTCCTGAACTATGAAAATTAGGGTTGTTGTAGAACTCTATTCTTGTATAAAGTCAGTTCATTGTGTTCTCATCAGGGTGTCCAGATCCAAGTGATTAAGCTCTTTGACTTGAAACCACTTGCCCATCACCGTTGTGGGTTTCAAACCCAACAGGGACTTTGGATTCTTTCATGAGGGGAAGCTATCCATCTAGCTTACAGTACAGAACATTGATGGTTCTACTCAGGTGCCTGTTTGTGCCTGGAGTGATGCACAAAAGGGCATCTAAGGTTTTCCTCCACCAGTGAAGCTGGAAAGTCGCCATATGACCTATACTGTGTTTCAGGGTTGTAGCACGGGTGGGGTGTCCAAACACTGATACTGCCACCTGTGGTGTTGGTATGACGTAAAGAAAACCTTATGGGAAAAAAAATTAGACCTCATCATTGGCAGCTGATGAATTTATAGCATACATATATTTTATTGTGTTAAATATTTCATTACAATTATAGAACAATGTAACATACACTGGTGCAATGAGTGGGGACGTTTATGTGTGGAAAGATAACACTCTTCAAAGACTGGTACAGAAAGCTCACAATGGTCCTGTATTTACAATGTTCACAACCCTGCGTGATGGTCTTATTGTAACTGGAGGGAAAGAAATGCCGTGAGTATAAGCTTACAAATTTCACTGCACAAAATTTTGTATAAATTTCTTAAACATTCAACATCAGAAAATGCTTTGTCACAGACTTGTAGTAAAAAGATTTGCATGTAAGTAAGAAAAAATTCCATGTGGGATCCAAACTGTCTAATGAGCAATGAACATATCGCTTCAGACCATTGAGCCAAAGAATCCGTTATCTGCTCAAGGAAACAAAGCTAGCCCTGTACAGGTTTTAAACCAACATAGTCGTTAATCCTTAGATTACATGTCCAACATGTCCAATGTATTAAGTACTTAGTCACACCACCACATACATTGTATAAATGTGATTATGATAAAAGTTACAAGTGTATATGTTTAAGATTGCCAACCATGTTAACTGGTTTACATACATTATACATCTAGGTCAAAGGAGAATGGTCCAGTAAAGTTATGGGATCAGGAGATGAAGAGATGCCGAGCTTTCCCACTTCATGATCACGGCTCCAAGGCTGATGTTGTCAAGTCTGTCTGTAGAATCAAGGTAAATCTGTCATTATATTTAATGATTAACCCTTACCATGCTAAGTCTGTATCTGTAAATCGGACTTGTTTTGCTGAAATATTTTGGTCTGACTATTGCTGGTATAAATATTAAATTTGGTAATATCTTTATAAATAATGCTTTTTGGAACTTACAAAATTGATAAATCTTAATTTGAGCATCATATTTATGATATAAAACCATAAAAAAATTGTGTTACAGGATCTTTAAATTGTCACCTGCTTGTCATCATGACATTATAAATGTTTGATTGTTGTAGTAGTTCATTGCATACAGGATTTGGTTTGATTAGAATATGCCTACTCGTGTTCAATATTTTACATTCTCAATTTGTAGTGGATTGAGTTTAGTCACAGGATCATCTCTCCTTAAGTTGAAATTTCAAGTTTTAAGGTTTTACTTTGCAGAAGAATTTTTAAAAGGTAGAAACGTTTCATTTCTATATATTGATACTGTATAGCGCATTATATCTGCGGTGTCAAATGTTGGCGTTTTTTAAAGTGTTTTGAATTGGCGGGGTCATAAATTGGCGCAAACGCTTTTAGACCGCCAAATTAAAACACTTGTTGGCATAAATATGGGGTCATGAATTGGCGATTACAAATAAAGAATAAAAAAAATAAATAAAAATAACACCGGTCACGCAGTAGTTGACTGTCCTCGTTTATTTTACGGCATACGGTATACCTATGCTTGGTCACCTTTATCTTTACATCGTGCTAATTCTTATAATTAACTGGGATCAGACAGGTGTAAATATGGTACCATGTGGTAACTGGACCATGGAAGAGAAAGGTATGCCCTATTATCCTGCAGTCTTTAAAGCGTGAAAAATTGTTCACGGTCACCACAACTGATTGCTATATAATTACAGTTATCATTAGTTTTATTTCAAATTATGAAACATAACAGTGAAAACAAAACAAATACTAGTTTACTTAAATTCGATAATAAATGACATTTAGATTTGTTTCTATATATAATTAAATGAGTTTCGTACCAAGACTTAAAAATAAACAAATTCTTTTCAGCTTACTTGTAATGTTTATTTTTATTACAAATAATCAAGGGAGATTACTCAGACAAACCAAAGCTATTTTACCATGAGTTGTCTACCTTTCAAAGAATAATGGCGATGATCTAAAATGGCGGTGCTTTAAATTGGCGGTGTTTTGAATTGGCGCTACTCACCCTGACCGCCAATATAGCCAAATATAAACCCCCGCCAAAATAAGTACTTATACAGTAATTTTCAATGGTTCAGAAAATGTTATTAACTTTATATTATATTTATAGCTTTCTTGAAAGAAATTTCAATTTTTTTTTCAGGGTAAAATTTTGGTTGGTACCAAAGACAATGATGTTATAGAGATTGGAGAGAAGAATGGAGTCTTGCAGGTTCTGGTTGGCGGCCATGCTGAGGGTGAAGTGTGGGGATTGGACCGACACCCAGCTCTGCCACAGTTTATCACTGCCAGCTATGATGGTACTGTCAGAATATGGGATATTCCAAGCAAAGTAAGTTTATTTAAAAATTGTCTTTATTCAAGATATGCTATGGTGAAATACAAAGAGTTTTTGACAAGAGATTCTGAAGAAGGGAAGGTTCTTCCATATTTGCAAGTCATTTACCCATGTTTTAGTTGGTTATGCTGGAGCATGCAATTATGCAGAGAGGGTTGCTCTGGATCTTCCTCAGAAATTCTAAACAGAAAATTCCTGAATTATTACAAGAAGGATACTTGAAGCCTAAAGAGACTTGAAAAAGGAAGTCATTCACTGTCTGAAATGAAAACCAGAAGAATTTGATTATACCAGCATAATTGTAATCATTATGGGAAATTTGGAGTGTTTTCACAACTCATATATTACATGACAGAATAGGAACTTAAAAATTACTTTAAAGAGAGATGTTTAAACCTAACAGGCATTAGTAATTGTTAATTAGCTTATGGAATATCAGTGCTACTTAGGTGCCTGCTTGTGTCTGAAATAGTGTACAGAGAGGCATGCCATCTGAGATATTTTTCCATCAGCAAAGTGAATAAGTCACCATATCACCTTTACATTATTAGTTATTATGATTTTTTACAGCTTATATGGCCCAATATAAGCTGTTTTCATATATAACCAGAGCAGCTATGCGAGGATTATACAACCATTTATAGACAGCAGTGTGTATATAGTTTATATAAACATCACTAATATCCAATGGAAAAGCTACATTACAAACATGCAGTATGTGTATTATCTCAGTATGACTTAAAACCAAACAAAAAAAATGGGAGAATCCATGTAAATGTATGTATATCATTTTTCAGGCCTTGGTAGCAAAGTTGTCTGTTGGTCAAGCACGGTCAGTTGGATTTAGTCCAGATGGTGAAATGATAGCTGTTGGACTGAAGAATGGAGAATTCCTCATTCTGATGGCTAAAGGACTTAAAGTATGGGGACGACGCAGAGATAGGGCTGGTTCCATTAATGATATAAGGTAAGTGTTTGACATGCTGAATTTATCTAAATATTCATATTCGCATGTTTATCTTTATGTATTCATATAGGGAAGTTATATCAACTTTCAAAAATCATTTATCTTCTTTACTGTATGTGTATGCCAAATTTATTCACTTTATATATCAGATTTATTGACTTGGATATGATGTAATATCAGATTTATTAACTTGTATATGATACAATATCAGATTTATTAACTTGTATATGATACAATATCAGTTTTATTAACTTGTATATGATACAATATCAGATTTATTAACTTGTATATGATACAATATCAGATTTATTAACTTGTATATGATACAATATCAGTTTTATTAACTTGTATATGATACAATATCAGATTTATTGACTTGGATATGATACAATATCAGATTTATTAACTTGTATATGATACAATATCAGATTTATTAACTTGTATATGATACAATATCAGATTTATTAACTTGTATATGATACAATATCAGATTTATTAACTTGTATATGATACAATATCAGATTTATTAACTTGTATATGATACAATATCAGTTTTATTAACTTGTTTATGATACAATATCAGATTTATTGTCTTATATACTAACAGATTTAGCCCAGATGGTAAATTTTTGGCGGTGGGATCAGAAGATTGCTGTGTGGACTTTTATGACATCAGTAAAGGGTCAGCACTACAGAGGTCAGGATATTGTAAAGGAATTCCAAGTTTTGTCATCCAGCTAGACTTCTCCGCTGATAGTCAATATATCAGGGTAAGAGAAAGATTTTAATCCTGTTCAATCAATAGATACATGTAGTTCCCGACTTTTGTTGTATTTATTCCCCTTGACAAAATGTGCAACCATTTTAGGTGTCATTATTAAATGAACATGTGTGTCATGGATAAAATATGAAAATAAGCAATGTTTACAGGTTATTATGTTGAATAATTCTACATTTGTGAAGAAAACAATTATGTACAGTATATTAGGAACAATATCTGAAATTTTTTTATCAGCTCCCATGAAAACGATGAAACTGTTTTTTGAGATTTTTATCTTACCAGAGGCATTACGTACATTGGGAGAGATTCTCAAAATGGTAACAAGGGGAGGCAGTGGAAATTATATAAAATGCATGTATAGGTCATAAGTGGTATCACACAATTATTAAAAAAAATATTTTTTTTTTAAAAATTCTTATGTATTTTACTGCTGAAGAATATCAAACAAGTTCTCTTATCTGACGTATTTTAGGTAAGCACTGGAGCGTACGTACATCAAGTGTTTGCCGTACCAGGTGGTAACTTGATAGAAGATGAGAAAATTACCAGCAAGATTACATGGGCTACATGGACTAGGTAATTTAATAGTTCCTTTCTTGTGGGAATTTAAAATACAAAATGGTACAAAATGTGGAAATAGACATTTGTTAAATTGAGATTTTCTAATTCCCCTTTTGTAAAGCACATTAAAAAAAGAAAGAAAAAAAAGAAAAAGAAGACTCAAAACCCAACATAGTACATGAATGAATGGATGGAAGAATAATTTTAGATGTTTAAGAATAATATTTGTATACAGTAGAACTTAGGAAAGTCGAAGTTGAAGGGACTTGCATAAAACCTTCGACACATCAGGACTTAGACTAATTAATTGGCCTCAATTTATTAACAAAAATTCATTTTACTACGGCACATGGAGAAAATTGACTGATCGAAGTTCGACTCATAGAAGTTCTACTGTATATATTAACATTTTGTATTTAGAATATATCGCCTCATTAAAGCAAAAAGGTACCAAGTGACATTTTTATGTTTTCGAGAAAATCGCGTTTCAAGATTTGAAGTTCCATATCTAATCAGGTTTTTACAACATGGCAAAGAAACTTCACATATATTTAGATAGTATTTGGATGTAAATGCTCAAAAAGTTGGAAAGCTGATATATTACTAATTAGTGATAATTAATCAATTAAAGGAAATGGTTCCTTTTTGCACTAATAAATATTTTGACCGACAAATGCAAGAAGGTACCATATGATCACTTGGCCCCTTTTTGCATTGTATAATTTTTAACATTTGCTGTTGAATATATCAAAAAAGGTACCATATGGCAGTTGGCACCTTTTTGTCCCAACAATATTAACAAAAAGCATCATTTGGTTACAGTTTTATTCTATAATGATGCAAATAAAAGTATGAAATTCTTGTGTTTTCAGTAAATGTTTGATACAAGTATCACACTGCATCGTTTGAAATTGTTCCTCTGTGATCAATCTCAGTGCCTATGTCAAAATCTCTTACATTGTAAGTCAAAATCAGGATCATTCTCATCCGATTCCATCGTGACATAACTCTTTCCTGTATGTTGGTAAAGTGGCATCTCTTTTGGGACACAAAGTAACCAAGTCATTTTTCTTTTGAATAGAAACTGGCGGTTTGGTATCATAACTTCATATCTTGTTCACCATTAATTTTGTCCACTGATTCTTTATGTCTAGATTCTGTATTCTGAACTTCTATTTCCATAAAATCTTCAGCATTGAAGCTGTAATTTACAAATACTGACTGGCTTTCTTTTGGTACCTGTATCCATTTCACCTGTAGCCAGTTTACTCTTTGTCCGTCAATGGATGTTTTGAGTCTCGGACACTGTTTTTTAATGAAGTATTTGAAATAAAAAACATGGTTATATTTCATTGGCACAGCAATGTATGGCTGTGATTTTCTGGCCAGTGATATAAGAGAACACAACTGAATGATACATAATTATACATGAATTATTTTCTTTGCCCCTTCAAGAGTCAACACTCCATCTGTGAGTGACCCGATACAAGAAATTTGTGATGATCAATCTTAAACTTGGACCTTGTGATAATATAAAAGAAGAGACGCAGCTACGAATCAGTTTCTGTTTTGTCCCCCGTATGAATCTGAAAAATATATGACTTATTTGACATTATCACTCTGGCAAGTAAAAGGTTTTTTTTTTATAAAGCGGGAAGCTATTTCACATGCCTTTCTTTGCATTTGGTTTTATCCCATACATGACATACAACATTTTTGTCTCATAAGGAATATACTGTAAATTAGTGTAGCAACAGAGTTTTCTTGAAAAGTAAAGCTCACTCACTAATGAGCAAGGGGTTGTTACAACGGCACAAAACATGCAACATAAACGCATGTGCCAAATTTTGCTCCAACTTTATTTTTAACCTTTTCTTCTTGTGAATTTTCTTTCTGTTTTTGATGTTCAATATATTGTTCCTTGATTGTGCCATCTAGTTTGCCTACTGCCTTCCTATACGTATGTTGCTTTACAGGTTTTATTTCCTTCTCTTCACATTCAATAGGTTACAGTTTCCACATCTTTTAATGTTTAAGTCATGAGATAGGTATTGTTTCTTTCAGTTTTTTTCTTGTATTATGAGATTTCATTTTAGGAAATTACTCTTTATTACTCTTTTTAATCATAATCTAGTTTATTTGCAGATGTACGCTTCCCTGTCATGCTTTTTCTTCCATATAACCCATGTATCCTGTTGGCAAGAGTATAGTCTATTACTTTTCTTTTTATGTCCACATTTTTGTGAAGAAGTCATTTATACACTATCATTATACTCACACTGTTATCAATCCTCAATTTAAAACAGAAACAATACTCTGGGATATAAAGTTATATTTGATGTCCTTATCAACTAGATTGTGTATTCATTAAAAGGCTAAAAGGTACCAAGCAAACAATTTAATATATAAAATAATCTTAAGGGTCGTAAATTCTTTGTGTGCAGAAAGGGACCATGTGACACATGGTTCCTTTTTGCATTAAAATAAGTGCTCAAAACTTATATAGTCATTCAATGCAAAAAGGTACTATGTGACACTTGGTACCTTTTTGCTCAAACTGGTATACATATGGTACCTTTTTGCATTACTAAATGGGAAAATATTGGCATTGTACCTTTTTACATAACCTTGTATGTCTGTAAATAAACTTGATACTACAGAGATATTTCTACAGATTAAAGATAACATTAAAACATAACAAAAAATGTTAAAAAGTCATTTTTGGCCAAAATGTCGCTTGGTACCTTTTTGCTTTAATGGGGCGATATCTGAATGTTCTACACTACTGTGTGTTTTCAGTGTGTTAGGTCAAGAGGTCGTTGGAATCTGGCCTAAGGGTGCAGACAAAGCTGATGTAAACTGTGCACACCTCTCCCATCATGGCACAGCACTTGCTACTGGTGATGATTCAGGCCTCGTCAAATTGTTCGACTTCCCATGCACAGAGAGATATGTAAGCTTCTTAAAGTTATTTTTCTCAGTGTTTGGCTTTTTGCCAAAATGCAAAATAATATGCGGTTTGTTTGTTTTTGTGCAGCTTGTTTCTCTTTTTCCTTTTTTTTTTGGATTCTCATTAAATTTTCAATCTGTGTACAATAATGTTTCCCTATTACTGACCTGTGAAAGTTAAAGGTAGTAGAGACTTTCTCTTTCTTTAAAAAAAAAGAGAGAAAAAAAAGTGAAATTCAAAATTATTATGAGAGAATAGAATCATTTATATGTTTTCAGTTTCCATGAGTTCACATTTCTAAAAAGTTAACAAACTAAACATCTTTAAGTGCTTACAGTAAACTAGAGAAGCTCAGCATAAATTTATCACCAATACAAATTTCCTTCAATTTTGCCAAACATACTTTGGGCGGCTTAATCTAAACATGTGTTATCTTAATTAAATTCTCTTAATACTGTTTAATACTAACTGAAAAATGATTTGCTTTTATCACAAGCCAGTATAAATGAGCCGTGTCATGACAAAACCAACATAATGGGTTTGCGACCAGCATGGATCCAGACCAGCCTAAGCATCCACGCAGTCTGATCAGGATCCATGCTGTTCGCTTACAAACCCTATTACAAGTAGAGAAACTGATAGGGAACAGCATGGATCCTGATCAGACTGCGCGGATGCGCAGGCTGGTCTGGATCCATGCTGGTCGCAAACCCATTATGTTGGTTTTGTCATGACACGGCTCATCAATTATGGCCAGCCAGTAAATCTATGAAGTCTTACAAGTTAATACTGTTTCTGTAATTTTAATTTTCTAATCACTCAATGTAAAAATATAGCATCTATGTAAACCTACTCATTATATTGTCAGCCTTGGGGTAATGGTTTTTCATGTAATTTAATCTCTGCAATTATTGACGGAAATGTAGTTGAATCTTAGTATTCTTTACGAATATCTTTTTACTTACATAAGTAAGTTACTGACCAAGACCCATAACTCTAGCAGGGATTTTACTGAATTATTCCCCATTGTAAAATTCCTGCATGGGTGTTTCTACTCCAGCACTGAGAATATAGTCAAGTGTGATGTCTTGTGACAGATTTTGTTATATATTTAGTATAAAAACATTGTTGGGAGAATAAGGCAATTTTTGGGTGGTGGAATAAAGAGTTTTCATGATGAGGTTGGGGGAATAAGGCAATTTTAGGGTGGGAAGAAATCAGGAATTTTTCAGAATGTGAATACGGCAATTTTTAAGTGAGAACTTTAGGGCAGGGAAATAAAGAAAGTTTTTGCAGGGGAGTAAGGGAAGATAGTGATGTAGGAATAAGGAGATTTTTGTTAAATATACATGTAGTAACTGCATGATAATGTTATTGTATGTGCATGTTGGACTTGTTAACTCCGCTTTTGGTCCTCTTATATTTCATGCGTAGGAGATGGTAAGTACAGGCACATGCTGGAAATGTTGTATAACTAACCATTTAGTGCATGAGTCAATATTTGCTATGGATCAAGTGCTTATTATGTAGTATTGTATCATAGTTTGAAGACCTTTCTATTAAGAATGTGTTAGAGTTAAATTGTGTACCCATACATGCACAGTGCCTTCACTGGAGTATAGGTATTAATCACCCACATTCCAGTTACCGTACTGTCTGTCAGGGATAAAAATAGAGAATGTTCGTTGATTGGCTTCAATTTTTCTAGGTTCTACTAATTGTGATGATGCGAAAAATGGTAACAATAGAAAAGTCATATTCAGATATTTTTTCTGGTATCATATTGTGACAACAGGGAACATGTTTTTATTTTTGTCTATGATACAAAAGAAAAAGAACATCAAAACACTCAGTGATCTGATTTATACTCAAGGGTGGGTGGACACTATGCCCTCTGGTACAAATCAGATAGCCTTGTGTTTCGATGCTCTATTACTCGTAACATTTTACCTAGATTTATTCCCGCATGATACATTAAATGCTGCTTGTTGCTTGATTTGTTACATGCACCATCATAAGCTATTTATGTAGACTAGATATGAGTATAGATGCCAGGCAAGGTGGTTGTTAACTGGAAAACTCTGGTTATTAGATTGATGAATGTTGGCAGACTGCCAAATGACTTTTGCAGGGCAAGCAGCCAACAGTTAACAAGATCACTTAAGTGTTCAACTTTTTTCATATATATGCAAGGAATTTCAGTCAAACTATCACAGATAATTGTCATTTCTTCATAGTTATTGTCATTTCCATAGAATGATTGCCAAATTGTCATTTCCATAGAATGATTGCCATTCAAGTATCCTGGGAATGTCTGATTTGATCATTTTTGCCAGAATGATTGCCTCTTTATTGTTGTTCTTCACTCTAGGTTGGGCATTTTGATTTGCCCTTGTTTGTCCATCTGTCTGTCTGTGAGTCTGTTCTCATGTTGTGTCACATACAGCTCTACAAGTGCTTAACTTGCAGTCATGAAACTTTAAAGAAATGTTGATCAGCATGTTAAGGTGTGCACCTGGGGTTTCACATTTATTCAGTTTTGTCATGAGTTATTGCCCTTGACTTAGTAAAAATTGGCAATTGTGTCGCAATTAAAAATAAATTGTAGTTGTGTACCTAAGATTTTGCTTGCTTTTATTTTCTTTTGAGCATAATTTAGGATATAAAATTGAGATTTGAAATTCTTAATATTGGGAAAAATGTGCACATAGGGGTTTGCTTATAGAGTTATTGCCCCTGAATTTAGTCTACGGCCTTCTTGGTCAATTCCTACGCATCAAAACTCCAAACTGGTGTTAAATAGCCGATAAACACTGCTCAGTCCGATATTATTTCTTAAATATTAATTAATGTTATATAAAACTCATATTCATCAAAATATCCTTGACATTGTATAGTTAGTAACCTTGATAAAAGCTTAGTTAGTCGTAAAGGTTAAACACTTAATTCTTGTGAAGATTTTGAAAACTGATTATTTTTTAGTTTGCTAGGGCAGAATATTACACTATCTTTACAACAAGTTCTGTTACAAGTTGTTACTTCAAGATTGTTCTATGAATAAAAAAGAAAAAGAATACACATTAATAAAAATACACATAAATAAGAACAGTCACACTTGCTTTGGTTACTCCTTCATAGATTTTTTTCCACATTGGCACTGTTTTCGTCTACAAGTATTTTCACTTTAGAAAAAGTAATTTCATCCAATTAAGACATCATACCTCCCACCCATTGCATGTTTGAATGAAAGCTTGAATGAAAAGGGCAACCCTTAGGATTCTTACACAGCTGTGCATTAGCTGCATATAATGCAAAATTATTTGTAGCATGTTTTGAAATAGTAGCATAATGTGTACTACATAAAACTGCGAAAAAATGCAGAGAAAGGCAATTTAATGTTTTAAAAAGAATATTATTCATCTGTGTGTAATAAGGATTAAAAATTTATCATAATTGATCAGTTAAACACCTTTACTTTCATAAAAGGGTTAAAAAATCATGATATCTCACAATTTTGACCAAGGATCTCTCTGTTTACGTTAAATGACCGTATTGTTTAGAATCTTCATAAAATCCAACTCATTTACATTTTCATGCTGATTGTTAAATGATTTGAAGGTAACAATATGTCAGGTTTTATACAGAAATTGGCTGGGTCTCAGCAATTAGATAGATTATTTTAAATATATGGTCATTTATAGATAATCTAAAATATGTAAATTATTTGACAGTTTACTAACAAGATATTCAATTTAGTTTCCTGATATTTTCTACATTCCACTGGTAATTGTTCTTTCACAAGGTTTTGATGTGTTTTTCTAATTTTCTATTGCAGGCACCCCATAAATCATTTGTAGGTCATTCAGCACATGTGACTAATGTAAGGTTTACAGCCGATGATAAATACATGATTAGCACTGGTGGAGATGATTGTTGGTAAGTTGTCAGTCATTGTTTATTTCTTGTTTTTCCTTACAGTTTATTTATTGCTCCTACCTGTGACATCATCTATAAAGACTGTCAGTTGTTTTAAGGGTGAAGCGCATGGATGCAGAAATTTCCTTGTTTCTAAAGCGCCCATTATTCTTTAACATGCCAGAGTTCAAGTTTATGAAAAATTCTCAAAACTCAAACTCGGATCTCAGGCATTTGCTTGTTCAGAAACTACCAAAAAATGTACAGTGACCAATGAAAATTCTGAGATTTTTAACTCAGGAAAAAAAATTGCGACCTCAAAGCCTAGTGTATAGTGTCATTTTATTGGCATTATTATTGGGACCTTGTTAGGGGACTCATCAAAAAGACTTTAAGTATTGTAAGTTGTTCAGCAGGGGTTGAACTTGCAACTCCTGGATTACTAATGGCTCTAAAATTTTGAAGATTATTTAAACCAGTTATGCACTCTGTCATTTGATTGCTTGATTCTGAATATAGATTTTGAAACAGACCAATGGTTCTGGTTTGAGTTTATACATACTTGATTCAATAAATTGCTCAAAATTAAAGGCAAAATTCATATTCAATGTTTAAATATCATTGAAATAGGCTTAAGTTGATTAAATATCATTATAATGTATGACTATTTTTACATTTCAGTGTGTTTGTCTGGAAATGCATATAGGATTTACCAAATTTTGAAAACGGGACAATAACAACTCTACGAAAGATTAACACATTCCTTCTCATAAACAATAAGTTATTAAGATAGTTCTGGTGTAATAGTGAGTGGTTGTACAACTAATTAAAGCCATTTCATTGGCTGATTAACAGTCTGGTGTCAGTGTTTTAGACCAATGAGCATCACCTTTAGTAATTGTTTACGTTTTTCAGAACTGCCATTTCGTTGGTTGATTAATGATCTGGTGACAGTGTTTTAGACCAATGAGCAATACCTTTAGTGATTGTTTACATTTTTCAGAACTGCCATTTTATTGGTTGATTTATTATATGGTGAAGATGTTTTAGACCAATGAACTGTATTTTTATAATACTACACACATTTTGAAGTTATATTTAGAATAATCCTTTTGGTATTTTGTGTGTAAAGTCTGCACATATTTGTTGCGGATGTGGATATTCAGATCTGAAGTTTTTACATATCAGTTAATAGATACTTTTTTTGTGATTATAAATATTCAAGTTTATAAGTCAAGTTTTAAATATGTTATCTTTATTGCTATTTATAATATAAGTAAACTTATATACTAGTATACATTTTTTTAATGAAATTTTTTTTTGATTTTTTTTTTTGCTACATCATTTTGGAAGTAAACTATGAAACTGATATTTACTAAAATAGAATACACTAAAAACGGAGGAAATTATGGTTTACTATAAGGTTTAGAAGCATCAATCCTGTAAACATAAAAAACAACATATAATAACATTTTTTTTGGTATGTTTGTAAAACAATGAATGGTTTTGGTGCTCAAAAATTTTAATTTGCTCATTTTCAGTCCATTTCTCTGTCGCTTGAATCATTCAAAAATAATTGTTTTGGTTTACATTAAAGCTGAAGTTTAAATTCTGTTTTTTACTCTTTATATTATATCATATTCAGGTACATTGTATATTAAGACTGTATAATTGCTTATGTGTATATTTAGAACTATGAAATTATGTACATTATTTTGTATTTACATATTAACACATATCAAAGTTGTTACTTTCTGAAGATGCTTATTTACATATTTACCATTTACTATTGTATGAATTGTGTTTAAAGAGGTCAAGGTAAAACCGTCATTTATCAGTAGAATTAATTAAGGAAGGTGTTTAAAGGGGCTCTCTGAAGGTCTTGTGGTCAAGGTCTCTCACATTGAATCTTTTCAACCTCACCACTGTAGGTTCAAATCCAGTGAGGAACTTTGGATTCTTTAATGTTAGGAAGCTATCTAGCTAGCTTATAGAAGGTTATTGCTTGTACTCAGGTGACCACTTGTACTCAGGCAACCGATGTACTTGTGTGACTGCTGGTACTAAGACCTGATTGTACTCAGGCAGCTGCTTGTATTCAGGTGAATAATGTACAGAGGAGCACATAAAGTTTTACTTAGGAACATTTGATCTCACAATATAACATTAAACAATTACAGTGTTAGTGTGTCTTGAAGTTGAAATTGAACCAAACAGAAATTGAGATTATGATAGGGATACCTTGATCTCTTTGATTTTGCGTAAAGTATGTTTTATTAGTGCTTTTTCTCATTCTCTCCGTCCAAAGATAAATGACTTTTTCACTACATGTCCTTTTATATGCGGTATACAAAAATATTACATTTTAGAATGTACATGATACAAATGTTTATTGTTTAGAATACTAGTACATGTAGTACTATTGTTTGTTTGTAAATATATGTATACTTTCTTTAAGTTAAGTCAACTTTTTATGACCTTGACTTTAAAAAATTTGACATTTGAGATTTGTAACCACAATGGCTGTTGGCAGCTATGTTCCCGTTTATAAGACTCAATCCCTCGGGGCCAATACTCATTAACCCTTTCACTGCCATAGGGACGGCTTAAGCCGTCCCTGTTATTTTCGGCGTAATTTTGCCATATGGACGGCTTTAGCTGTTTCTATAATAATAATAGTAATAATAATAAATAAGTAATAATAAAAATAATAATAAATATAAAGAAAATTATACCATCGGCAATAATTATTATTCGGATTTGGAAACATATATAATTATTATAATACTAATTACAAATAATAATAATTATATTAATTATTAATATAGTAATTTCTTAGAAAACCTCTGGCAAATAGGTGATCAATAAAACAATAACCCTCTGGCAGTGGAAGGGTTAAGGTGGCAAATTATCACCATTGAGCCCTGCACTGCTTTGGTTTAACTCTCTAGTAATATCAACAAATATTTTTTTTCTGAATATACACATTTTATTTAAATGACTGTGATAGTAAATATTTTGTCTTTTTTGAAATGTATATTTTGTTTGTATTGTAAATTATATTTCATTACATTTGTTTATATTTATATTAAGGTACCTTGATATTGTATATTTTGATTATAAATCTCTCAAATGTGCTTATTAGTAAAGACCACAGAGTGTAACCTCTGCAGAACAAATACCTCAAGTAGGACTCCACGACAAATTTCACCTCCCCAAAGAGCAATTCCTCTCAACAACAACCAAAGGGTGTTACTCTGTGGAGGTTATACTATGTCTCGATATACATATAAATATGATTATGTACTTTAAAAGTAAAAGTTTTAAGAGTATTTTAAAGGAACTCCACTGAGGCTCAAAAAACCTAGAAACATAAAATTTGAATTTCTTTCATAGAGCAACTGGAGTACTTTAAACAGAACAGTATGCATAGATAATTTAGAAAAACAATTGGAAACAAATTTAAAATCGTATTTTTGTGCTACTATTCTAAACCCGATTTGAGTGAAAAGCGTTGCAATGCCTTTCAATTTTTGGTCATTTTTCACAATTAGAATAGTTATTTTGGAAAAACTGAGCGAGTGAATTATCGGAAATTTTGCACACAAGTTTTAAGTCTAGACCTACATCAAATGAAACATTAATCTCTAAAATTATTTCCAGTCCTGTCACATCAAAAAACCACAGTGGAGTCCCTTTAAGTGTAGGACTGGACTTATGAAATGAAAAGTTTATTATTGAGAAACTAAAAGAAAAAAGGTAGAAGAACTTAGACCTTTATTCAAATGGAGGTTATCTTCTATGATTATGCCATAATCATGGCTAGAGTTCCTGTATATTTCAATCATGACAATTTTTGTATTTTGTTTTTTAAATTTTTTATGGAGTTCATGTAACTTTACTATTTGTAGCAAATGGTAGTTGATCTGAAGTTAGTGTAATGTAGATTTAAGTTTTTACATACTTTGATAATAATGTATTATAAGATAGATTTAAATTTTTCTCATGCTTTTCTCCAGCTTATCATAGGTAGATTCTCGTTAATAGTTAGTGAAACAAATACGTTTAAGTATTATGTATTCAAAACTGAAATTTGAAATATTAATGAATTTCTAATTAATAAATCTATCAAATAATTTGCGGAACTATGGTTTTTCACTGAAATTGTTTGGAATTACACATGCAAGGCATATTATTGCCACTGAAACATGTAAGTTAAGAAGAGTTTGGAAATAAAAATAAAAAAAACTTCTAATATTTCCTTATACAAACAGATAAATATTTACTTTTCAAATCTTTTTTACAGACTTTTTTGTCAGTATGTAAACATTTTCTTTTTGCCAATTATAGGCAAGATTATGGTAGTTTTTTTTTACACCAATTTAGACATAAAATTTCATACAGAATTAATGTGCTGTTTCTGAATGTTCCTCTTTCCTACATGTATATAGAAAAGCAGAGCAAGTCTCGTTAGATTACCAGTATGGTATCTTATTATTTATTACAATTTTTAAGCTTTACAAATTATCAAGGCAGCTAGGTTTAGTGTTTAAAATAACATTCTACATTAAAATTTAGTAGTAATCTCATGTACATTAGATAAATAAACTATATAATATTTAAAGTATTTCCTGTTATGTTATTTTCCCCCGAGTTTACCATCTTTCGTATAACGTTGAAGTCTTCCTTCATTTAGAAGTAAAATTTCTGACTGGATTGTTCACACCCGACGGTTCTTCAGTTAGAGTCTACAAAAGTTCAATTTTTTAGAACTCTTTGATTCCTACACTGACCTTTTCAGGTATATGCCACCAGTATTGAGCTAGGTAAGCATGCATTGCTGAGCCTTATAATTGTTAAAGTGAATAGCTCGATTAGTTTTGAAGATAAATGTTTCACCAAGAATTTTTTTGAGTCCACAAGGGGCCTTAATTTTCTCATAATCTGTGCTAGAGTTATGTGCTTTGAGTAGTGACCTCCTACTATTATTTTAAAGATGTTTGTGAAGTTAAAGCAAATTTCTTAACCCTTTCACTGCCATAGGGACAGCATATGCCATCCCTATTATTTTTGACGTATTTGCCATATGGACAGCTTTTGCCGTTTCTATAACAATAATAATAAATATATACATAATTATACCATCGACAATAATTATTATTATACTAGCAGATTTGGAAACCTATATAATTATTATAATACTAATAACAAATAATAATAATATTAATTAATAATATAGTAATTTCTTAGAAAACCTGGCAAATAGGTGATCAATAAATAAATAACCCTCTGGCAGCGAAAGTGTTAAACTTGATACATGTTAACATGTCCATGGCCTATTAATACTTTGACATGGATTTTGACTGAATTATGGCCCTTTGTGAACTTACAAAATGTTTTGCTTGCAACATCATTCTTCAAAATTCACTGAAACTTTAAATTATAAATTGATGTCAGTGTCAAAGGCCCAAGTACCGTCTGATTAGCTCAATTGATAGAATGTTGGACTTTTAGCCTGGATTCAGTTTCTGGACAGTGCAAGTCAATTTCATTGTTACTGATCATGAAATTCTTTCTTTCTTCCCTTTAGTTTTTTTTCCACTATATAATTTGACTCTTACCAATGGTCACCTCTCGACACCAGCCAACAGCCACTTATTTTTCTAAACAAAGGAAAAATTACCCCTTGAACTGCCAGCAAACATTTTTGCTGACTGTGCTATTTATGCTTGTCAGTGTCAGCAAGTAATGAATACCTATATATACAAGAAAGGGTCCTGTATTCCCCATTTTTTATGTCTCTACAACCATAACACTTCAATGACATTAAAACATTGTGTCGTCTGTGACAGGCAAACCCTCCGAGCAATAGCAGCCAATTTGCTGATGGCTGTTGAAGGGAGGTTGCAGTCTGTAAATGTATAAATCCCTATGTTGGGAGGGGGTAGTGAACAAACATTGTAAAATTTGTCAAATTTATTAACAACAATTCGATATATAAATACATAGGTAAAAAAATGAATAAATATCACAGTGTTAAGGGAATCATCAATCAAAAATATGTTAGTTTGTAATCAATACAATGTAGTCATGTGAAATACTGAAATGGGATAAAACGTACATACATGTTCATTCTCTTTATACATTGACCCTGACCTTTTTGGCTTTACAAAATGGTGAGAAATTATTTATTTTTAAAACAGTTACATTGACATTCATAAATTTCATGTACACAGTCTCTACATAATGATTTAACTAAAAACCAAATCTGTTAGTGTTATTTAATTAAGATTTAAACAGTTTTGTAATATTCTAATGTAATTTTTTAAACCAGTATGATTTCAATTCATTTAGAATATGTTTTATGAATAAAAAAGATATTTATTGCAATAGTATTTCCTTTTGTTTATCATAACAAATATTGCCATTCTAAATGTGCCAGTTTTCAAAATTGATACTTATGACAACAGCTACGTTAATCACACATCAACTGTTTTGGAATTGAACCCAACTGTACTGTAAGCATGAAGCTTATATTGTCACCTCAGTGCAGTAACAGGTTCACTCCTATTAAATCATATAAGAAGTTAACTTATTTCTGCACCAAGGTGATGCTATGACTGGATCGTATAAGCTTATATAAATTATACATGTATAATAACCTATAAACAATTCAAATTTAAGAAATTCTTAATATTTCTTTGGTTGGTAACTTGGTAACACATAAATAAAACATTAGACAGTGTGTTGGACTACTCTTGGTGCTTGATACTAATAATGTAAAATTTTCTAAATTGAATAATGGCTATAATTCTGTCAAAATTTATGTTAAATTTATGGACCTTAAACAGTGACCTCATACTGTGCTCTGAAATAAGTGTGTGAAGTTTCAACCTATTCCCTTGGGTACTTTTGGAGAAAACAAGTCACACACAAAAACTAAGTAACCAAAGTGTGACACAGACACCTTGGTGAGTTAAAATAGCTTTCCCTTAATTCTGCAAATATTCAAACTAAAAATGTGACATAAGTACAGAAAACTTTAAAAATATCTTACACTAAAGTTTCATTTTGTCATAAAGTTTGGGTTTTTTTGTGGTAAATTTTGACATGATTCTTTTCTGTAACAACAGTAACATTCTATGTTACAGTCCTGGAAATAAAAAAAGGGTTAATAATGTTAGCAAATTTGGCTAAAACCAAACTCCAGTTTCCTATTGAAATAATGTTACATTTTTTTGGCAATATGCGGAATAAAGTTCCTATCTAACACTCAAACATACACACACAAGTACAGAATTCTTAAAAAATAAATTTGGGGGGAAAATTGTCTACATTTTCACAAATCAATTGTCCATTTCTGATAATGTATACATAAGTGATAATGTACATAACCTCTGTTCCACACATTAATTGTATATAAAAGACACAATCTAAACTATTTCTTAGACATGTTTCTTAAATGAAGACCTATGTCTGAATAATTAAGACTAGTATTAGATAATCTAAAACTACTTTCTTTTAATTACTATAACATGTGACAATTTATACTTAATTTCTAACAATAGAAAGACTACTTATCTAAAAATATTTTGACATAAGCTAAGAAGATTGACCAAGTAACCCTTACTCTGCTGAGATGATCAGTCTAGGCGACCAGACTATAGAGTTAGTCCAGTCTGCACATACGAGCAGTTAGACCAATCTCTATACAGGCTGACTACCTAAAAATTTCCATCTTTGCATCCCCAAAATTGGTAATGAGAAGTTTCAAAAATGGAAGCTGGCCAAGTCCATTTAAGAAATTCAGCAGGTTAAAGGGTTAAAAAGTAAGAAGAGGTATAATGGTGACTGATAAAACTACATATATATCATACTGATTCAAATAAATGCCCCTACCTGGTGAGTTGATATTGAAGACAGACACATTAAAGGAATCACTCAAAATAGTGCTTATTTCAATATCATTATAATCAATTTTCTTTGTTTGATTAGATAAAGTTCATATAAAATTTTTTAATATAATTTCACAATAATTATTATGACTCATAGTTGAAATATTGTATTCATGAATGTCTATCCATACCCCAGCTCATAGTAAGTAGTAAGTGCATGTAAATGACTAAATGTCAAGCTTCCGGGCTTTTAAATAACCTAAGAAAATGAGATGTATGGTCTAATTACTGAACTATAATTTATAAATATAATTTCTTACTGGGCTAATTGGTACTATGATTTGAGATTCATTCCTGGAACAGCATTTCTAAGAATCAGTATGATATCATTTCTACATTGACTAGTTATCACAATACATTCATGTTTCAACATTAATGCTGGTTTAAATGGCTAAAACTGTAAGAATATTGCCAATTGATAGATCCCTTCTCTGACCTTTCAGTTAAGTAATAGCAGACGATGTCGTCAAATTCTGATTGTAATCCACTTATCTGATAATTTAAATTTGACAGAATTAAGTCATGAAGGGACCTATACATTGGCTTATATTGTACATAATTTATATCAGTACATTTTGAAATTTCACCAATTTACAAAAGCATACTTCATTCTGTTAACATTTTTAACAGTGTCAAAATCACATCAAAACATGAAAAAATAATATTCAGTTTAACATAAACAGAAAAAAAACTTGTTAATCATACTTCATATTTTCTTCTTTTCAGTATCATTTTTATCTAGTCTGATGTTCTGAAAGTTTTAAACTTTCAAATGAGAAAAAGTTAAAAGTTACTTTTAACTATAAAAGCAATAATAAATCGTAATATTTGGAAATTTTAATACCAAGAAAGAAATTGGTATAACCAAGTTTACCCTAAAGATTATAATACAGAAGTGTGAACATATTGCTTGAATTTCATTTAAAACTAATCTCTGAATCATGACCGGCTCAGATAAAATATAAATTCACAGCTGATGAAAAATTCAAAATGAGCCAAAATATTGATGAAACATTAAAATAAAAATCATTTCTTTTCCTGGCTCTTTTCTTGGTCTCTTTCTTTTTTCATTCTCTCAACCTCATTCATCATGTATTCTAAAGGCTTTTCTGGCTTTGTGTATACAATACTAGCTGTTAGTTGCTGAAAAAAATGAGAAAAACGTTGTCATTTGACTAGCCTAAACATAAACAGTCTTATATCATGTCATAGGATATAGTCTGAATGCAGTATACAGTAGGCATTTGCTATAAAGATATTAATAGTGTGGGTGGACCAACACTCGGCGTAAAAATACTATATTTGATAAGGCAAATTCAAATCAACTTCAACAAACCTCAATGTTATATGTCCATTTTCAAGACCTATGATATTTTTTTAAATAGCCATCGTGTAAAATTCGCTAATCCCAAAATGATGTGCATGGCTGGAGCTATAGAAAGTCCTGATAAACAAGAGTCAGAGTGGTTTGTGTGAAATTGTAACATAACTTGACGTACAATACTACATGATGCAGGATTGTTTTTCGAATAAAATCTCTTTTTTATCTTATGAAGAAAAGATATTGAATAAATTGTAACAACAAAATTAGGTTCATGCATTTACAAGTATCCAACTTTTTGTTTAAATTTTACAGCCCCAGAACTTATGTGTTAAAAGATTTCAATTATTTATATGTTGGGGATTACATACGGTTGTTTGTCTGCTATAAGCATGACTTTACCAGCAGTGAATCACACCAGGATAACATAGTGAAAGATGTAAATAAAAGCACCAGTGACCTAAATTGGAGATAACTCGAGTCATTTTCAGATATTCTAAAAATAATGTTTTTTACAGCCAGCATTGGTTTCACCACTCTAATTATCACATACCGTGTCGCTTCTGCCACTCAGTACAAATGGTCAGCTTTTGCGCGGCCATGTGATTTCATTATGAATGTTATTTGCATTATACTAAAATAGAGTAAAGGCTAGCTAACAGTAAGCATTTCACACTACACTTGTAAATGAAAAATGATTCTTTCTCACTTTCAACAATCTTTATTTTGGGTATGTGATAAATAGAAGTTTATTTTTGTTGATTCATTACTGAATATATTGATCATATCCCTGCAATTTTAGCACCAAAACAAAACCATAGATTAAGTGACAGGTATATGCATTTATTTGTTCTAACATAAATACATACCTGAAAGAGTTGAAGAATATTATGGTTTTCTAAGTAAGTAATTGCTTTATTGTATGGATCTTTCATCGGTTGAACATATTCAATGTCCTGTTCTGTGACTATAGACGAATCTTTCAGGGAATTTGACGTTGCTTCATCTTTGGAATTGTTTGAAATATTGTTCATTGCTTTATTCATTGCCTGTGCAATCTCATTTTGTGCTGCTTTGACAATTTCATCGTTTTTCGATGTGCTTCCCTCTCCATCCGCCATGTTTGTTTACTTCCGGTGTCATGGAATTATGGTCAAAGACCACTAAATTTATAGAAGTTCGGACCATGGACGTTTCGGACCAGATTTTTTGTTTTTTTCGGACCAGATTTTGGGACATATCGGACCATGTGATGATCATTACGGATCATGATGTGGACACTGTGAACCAGAATATATATTCCTTTTTATATGTAATAATTTCTTATTTCAGGATGTATTTACAAGAATTAGTAAGGATTCGCCATTCTAACGATTCGCCACATAACGATTCGACACAGAGTAATAACGATTAGCCACAGTTAAATAACGATTCGCCACGGTATGATTATTAGTATGATGATTTTTTTAGTAATCAACAAACTTTTTTCTTTTTATAATAATTTGACAATGACAAGAATTTAATATTGTTGATTACTACAAGTAATATGAAGTTAAGCCCACATCGCGGACTTTCAATTTATCAAAGTAACATTATTGCAGGAGTACAATTATAAGAAAGTAATTATATGTTGAAATAAATATTGAATTAATCGTAAACATATATGGCAATTAATATTTATATTTATATATATCATGGAGCTAAATATATCTGTGTATATATATATTTATATATATATTATAGAATGTCAAATATTTAAAAAAAAAGGGGGGGGGGTCATGTGTATTGCAAAAACATGTGTTTATTACGAAAATTGATATATGATAATTGATTAAAGAACGCATATCTAAAACATTTGTCACACGTTTTATCTTAGGATTTTTGTAGAAATATTTAATCGACGCCGAAATAATCCTTTAATTCTCTAACAATGTGAACAACTGTGCACAATCTGAGTTCCCTCACAATTGGATACTCCTACATGTAGTTTTTGTCACTTTGTTATGTTAACAATGTGTTATCTTATTTTGGAAATAAAAAAAAATATTGAGAGAGTAATTATAAAAAAGATGTTATAAAAAAGGATATGTTAATTTGTATTTTTTCTGACAATAGAAATAACTGTAATTTTGGTAGATCTAATTAAATATGTTTTCACAGATATATTAACAATCTTATATTTAACTCCATGATGTTTTTATGTGTTTCTATTCAATAACAGCTGATTTTGTTAAAATTTTAAAAAAGTAAAGATTTTTACTCTGTGTTTGTAAATTTTGTAATGAAATATGTTTGTTATCATGTGTCTTTATTCAATAAAAGCTGTTTTCGCATAATTTTCCAGTTTACGTAAATAACAAAGTTTAACTTATATACAATGTGTAATGTAATTTTGGTAATAAAATATTTGGTTTTCGTGTATTTTTATTCAAAAAATATGTTTTTAATATAAATAATTTATGTAATTAACAAATGAAATATATATATATTATTCATTCGAAAAATAAATATGATTAAGTACTGGATAAAAATCTTAAAACAGAATGATACTGCTCTGGTTAGAAGAAGCTATTTAATGTTAAAAGTAGATGCAGATCGTAATTTAAAATATAATGGGAAAAATTGGGCTTTTCAAATAAAAAATATTTTACAAGAACATGGTTTATTGTATGTATGGAATGATCAATTTGAAATCGATATTCCTTTTTCATTGATTAAACAGAGAATTATTGATAACTTTTTACAAAAATGGTACTCTGATATCAATAACTCCAATCGTTTACAGTCATATTGTGTCTTTAAGTATGAATTCGAATTAGAAGAATATCTGAAAGTGATTACTGATAAGAAATATAGAATTGCTATGTCAAGATTTAGAACTTCATCACATAATCTTTTTATAGAATCTGGAAGATATAATGATACTCCACGAGAACAGAGACTCTGCAAATCGAGCAATATGAAAACCATTGAAAATGAGTACCATTTTTTGCTAGTATGTCCATTTCACCGTGACTTAAGAAGTAAATTTTTTAAACAATATTATTGTCGTTGGCCAAATATCACTAAATTTGAAAAATTAATGTCATCAAAATCTAAATCTGTTCTACTGAACTTAGCAAAATATATTTATTTTGCAATGAAAAACCGCATCTCATAATACACTCTCTAAATTTAAATATCTTTATTACTAACTCTATTTTTTCCTTAACAACTAGAACTTTTTTTAATATATATATGTAACAATATATTTAGTTTTTTTGTATATCTAGACAGTTTGTGAGAATTGTTTATGTAATTTGAACTACTCTCTTCGGATAAAATTTCATTTCTTTTGTCATGTCTGTCGCTGAACATTTTTGTTTGTATTGGCTCTAAACATATGTTTATGTTTTATGCTGAATAAAATTTTGTATTGTATTGTATTGTATATAGTATGTAAAAAAGTTTGCCATCAACAGTTTGAAAACAGGTGTGAAAAAGTTCGTATTTGAACACGTGGCGAATCGTTATTAAACTGTTGCGAATCGTTGATAATCGATCTGTGTCGAATCGTTAGTGTGGCGAATCGTTACATTACCATTTACAATATTTTCTAATAATAAATGCAACAAATATTTGACATTTTATATCTTATGATATCAAAAATGCAAGCAGTAATGACCTGTCTGACGAGATTTTCACATTTTCTGACAAGCTTATATTACCATTGTTTTGACTATCCATGTGAAATATTTCTATCATAATTCATTTATGTATTTCTATACGCTGACATTGTTTAAATATTGAAAAAAAAACAAAAACAACAACAATAAAAAAAAAAAAAAAAAAAAAAAAAAAAAAAAAAACAATAATAGCCATGGAAGTTGATGATTTCATAATAAATTGTCTGCAAACGTGTGTCATTAAAACACTGCTATTTTTTTTTTTAATTTTCTTCATTTAAAGTGCAAAATAAATAAAATCTGAATCGGGATAGGTGTAAAATATTCCCATGGTGTCTCATATATTCTAAAGTTACACTTTAGTTTATTGAATAATTGAAGCATGATGACTTTTTATTTCTATGAATGATAATGAAATTGTGATGTTCTTTGTTCCTTATTTGCAGCTGTCTGTTCTCCGTAAGAATGTCATCAGTTAAAAGTTTTTATATTCTTCTTATTATTTTTTTCTTTGCTTTTGTCTTGTGACCACAGAATTATTATATTTGTAATTATTGTATGTAACGAGATACTGTAAATGTATAAGTTACCGGAATAAACTATTTTTTCTCTCTTCTCTCTTCCCTGTAAAAAGATGATATTTATTCTGGTCCGAAATGTCCAAATCAATGGTCCGAAGTGTCTAACACATGATCCCAAATGTCCAACACATTGTCCGAAATTTCCAAAACAGTGGTCCGAAGTGTCTAACGCATGATCCGAAATGTGCAACACATGGTCCGAAATGTCCAAAAATCTGGTCCGAAATGTCCCTAAATATGGTCCGAAGTGTCCCAAAATCTGGTCCGATATGTCTTGTCCGAAACGTCCATGGTCCGAAATGTCCTATTACCAATTTATGTATGTATCCCATCACCATATATCCATATACCATAACTAAACCAGCTTGAGAAAAGGTGTTGTCGTTTTCAGCAATTTGGGAAAGAAATAAAGTCAAAGGAGTTTCAAGAAAAATTCAGATATATATTCAGTTATTTATGCTTTAAATTACAAAAATCAAAGACATAGATAACAGAGATAGGCAACTTCCTAGCCAGTTAAAATATCACGCGTTCCTGCTAAACTTAAAACTTGTAGCAAGTAAAACTTATTAACTAGATATCCAAATCAGTAAAATAATCCATTTTCTGAAAGCTTATGCATTTGTCTATGGCTGCAGGTAAAAATATTTACAGTTCCCATTTGAATAAATATTACATTATTTTTTAAAGAGAACTACTTAATAATTTTTGTTACAAAACTATAGGACAAAAAACTGGCTCAGTGGGTATGTTCTGCCATGTTTTTCTAAGTGAAAGGCATGTAAAGTTACAAATATTTTAACATGCAGCAATAGACAAAAGATTTATCTTTCAAATGGTATATAATATTAAAAGATCAAATGAACAGCCATTAAGTTTTATTTGCTACAAAATGCCTAATTTTTCACTTTTTGATAGGCATGAGTGATATTTCAATGGAGTATATAGGAGCTGCTTTGAATCATTGATTTAGATTTTGTACAGAAACCAATTAGTGAGTCTGGCGTACCATGCAAGGCCTGCTTCATCGTTTGAGAAGAAAGCATCAGGAATTAAGAAATTGCAATATTAAACTCTAAATTAGTTAAGAGTTTGATACTGTTCCGTACGATCGCCTATTGCAAGAAAGTTAAAGGTTATCTTCTGTCCTGGTTGTCGCCCCTCCTTAAAGACAGATCAATGAAAGTGGTTACTCGAAAATAATACATGTTGACGCCGGCGTGCCGCAGGGAAAGGTACTCGGTCCATTTATGTTCCTGTGTCATATACCACGACCTACCACTTAGTGTAAAATCTCAGGTTAGACTTTTTGCAGATGATTGTCTGTTATACAGACACATCTTAGATCATTTCAAACTCCAAGAAGATCTAGTCGCTTTGGAACGTTGGGCCTCAAACTGGGGCATGAAATTTAATGCGAAAATGTGTTACATCCTTAGTGTCAAAAGCAATAGTGCTCACTTCTACAAACCGAATAAAACCATATTATAACATGTAAACTCAAATCTCTTTCTCGGTTAACTTATATCGAACAATTTTACTTGGTCGAATCATTTTCATTTGCAATAAGAACAACTCGACACTGGGTAGCTTAGACGGAATTTTAAACACTGTCCTAGCTCTTGAATGTTTTAAATCAGCTTTCATAGCACTCGTGAGATCACAACTGGAATATGGTCCTATCATTTGGGACCCGTATTTCAAAAAGGATATTGAAAAAAAATTGAAAAAGTCCAACGCCTCGGCGCTTGTTTTATTATGAACAACTACAGGTCCACAGAAGAAGGAAGTGTCACTCATATTGAACATAAATCTCTTAGAGACCGACATGTGTACAACCGGTTGAAGATGCTCTACAAGATAGCAGGGTATATGTTTACCTAACACCTAGTCATCATAGA